TGGGATTACGATCGCATCACTACGCAAATTTATATGCCACTGGAATGAGGGACGCAGAGTGTTGCGAGTAAAACCCTAGCTCTATCTTTGGGTCATATGGGCTTAGAATGAACCTTTAGCATTGGCCTGTTGGGTCTTCCAAGATCAGCCCATGATTGTCTCCGTTGAGTTTTTGTTTTCGGTTTTCTTTTGGAAGAAAATAATCAGAATTATGGTTATAGAAATTAAATGAAATTAAATGAAAACTTAATTAATTAGTTGAAATTTGGTTTGGTAAGTCCAAGTAAAGTCGATAAAAAAAATTACAGCAGTCTCGAATTAAAATAGGTTTTTTTTTTGGCAGACAAAATTGAAATAGTTCTTTCTATTTAATAATTAAGTTTAGTTTTTAATAAAATTGGTGCGGATGGCTTCTCATTTGATAAACTATGAAATTATGTTATCAAAAGAGTTCACCAAAAATATCTAAACTCAAAAGTAAAAATAGAAGAGAGTACTAAGAATGAGATTATTCTCATTTTAAGAATCTTTGACATATCTATGAGAACCACTTGTAATATGTGTCTCTTTTTCATTAGTTTATGTCATTTTTTTCGAAAACGAAGTTAGTTATATACGGGATTTTTTTGTTTCAATTTATATGGAGTTTTCAAGTTTTAATGCAACATTAAATGTGCTGTTGTTGATTTTTTTTTTTAATAATGCAGCTTGTTTTTCATTGGTTCAATTGTTTTGGAATTGATGATAAAACATACTTTATTTTGAAAGTTTATAAATTTAAATGAATTCTTCATATTTTTGTCAAATCCTAAAACCCTTTATAATACAAAATATAAATAGATGGAGTAACGGAATTTTGTTAAAATAATAATATTTATTCTTTAAAAACCTCAAAAAAATATAAACCAATGAAAACTAATGAAACATGTGAAAAAAAAAATTTACATTGGACAAATGCAAGGTGAAGCTTTGTAATATTTTTTTTTTTGTTATAACTTTTGCAATTTTTGGTATGTTATTTTTGTTTACAGAAAATAAATTTATAGAAGGCATATATCATTTTATGACTTGTTCAGATTTTTTTGGATAAATCAAATATAGTATTGTTTTGTAATTTTGCTTTATAAATTAAAATTTTCTATCTGTCAAGCTCCATTATTCATAAGTTCATAATATATAGTAATAGTTTGTTTCAAATGATATATTTAAATATAGTAAATATTTTATACCATTTTTTAGTTAATACAATATATAGTATTATATATATTTTAAAAAAAAACTGAGTTTAAAAAAGTTAAAAATATATTCTTGACATTTTATCAAAGTCATTTATAATTATTACTCTCTCTGCCTCATAATGTAAGTTGTTTTGAGTTTAAAATTTTATCCCACAATATAACCTGTTTCACAAATCAATGTAAAAAAGAGAGAAAGTTAAAGATTGGTTAACTTTTAATTTTTTATTTAATTAAGTATTTTGAAGGATGAAAAAAACATAAAGTAATATTGTCTAAATATTTGTTCTCAGACCCGAAACAGTTTATAATTTGGGACATAGAAAGTATTTTATTATATATATCAAGTTCATATCTTCATCTTATCATCATCATACACTCAATTTTTATTTTCTTTTTCTAATTATTTTTAGATTATGGATTCAAACTTCAAACAATCTAGGGTTGGTCCCTTTGTGTTCCAGGTTCAACTCCTATAGACCAATGTTTATTTTTGAAATGGAATATAGAAAAGGTCGAGTCTGGGCACAGGAAATTCAGAGAGATTATGAGCCAAAAGGTCCGGAACTTTCACGCTTTAAAGGAAAAAGAAACTTCAAACAATCTAATTTATATATACTCCCTCTGTTCTCCAATAAGTGTCCTTTTAACCTTGTGCATACATATTAATAAATTATTAAATTTTTTTAATTTTTCCAAAATAAAACATGTTTTATCATCAACTTCAATATAATTCAACAAATAAAAAATCTATATGCAGAATTTAAACAGTCAAAATAACAAAAAAAAAAGTCATAGACTTTTGTACTGATTTGTGAGAAAAACACTTATTTGTGAACAAAGTTTTTTTTTCTAAAAAGACACTTATTAGAGAATAGAGGGAGTATTATATAATCTGATATGTTTAAAAAATATAAATGGCAGACTTACTACATATTGAATAATATAAAAAATGTTAATATTATATTAATAAAAAAACTCCATATGTTTCTCACTTATCAAAATATATTATTATTATATTGATGAGAGATTTTATAGATATCTTATCAGTACTAGGCGTATAGGCCACTAACACAGTGTCAGTCACACTATCGACCTCCTGAGATTCTCTTTAAATAAAGTGATAGAGATATATGTTCATTAGCATTGCATAGCTTTTGAAGTTGAAGGCGTCAAGAGAGAGAGAGACCTATGGCGAAATTTTTGATTCCATCCAAAGGGATTCTGAAGAACGATGATCTAAAAAAGGTCTCTTCTAATCACTTTATTTATCTCCTCCTAGCTACTTAAATGTTTGTTCCGATCTAAAATCTTGCATGTGATCTGCAAAATTAACTTAGTTTTGTATGATGAGATGAAACATTATCATTTAGTGATTAAGATGTGAAGCAAAACTTGTGATATGTGACAGTACATCTTGGAAACGACGGCGTATCCAAGAGAGCATGAACAGCTCAAGAAGTTACGAGAAGCTACGGTCCACAAGTATGGCAATTTGTAAGTCTGATCTGCAACCATTTTTTACTCGATCAGCTAATTTCTTGCAAGAGTCTAAATGATAACACCCTCTTATATGTGGATTTTTTTTATTATTAGTTTTGTTTCTGATTTTAATATTGTAGTTTCACTTTTTTTGGTAAAGCTATATTGTAGTTTCACTTGAAGATAAAGAAGACACCATATTATTAACACGTGTACACAAAAACTAACGCAAACAAAGAACCGATACTAAAAATATTATACTGATTTTTGTGTGTTGATATGCGTAGAAGCGAGATGGGGGTACCGGTTGATGAAGGGCTTTTCCTATCGATGCTTATAAAGATGATGAATGCCAAAAATACGCTAGAGCTCGGTGTTTTCACCGGCTATTCATTGTTCACGACGGCTCTCGCATTGCCTGAGGATGGTCGTGTATGTATATATACAACACTACTCCGATCCTTACTTAAGCAAAAATGAACAAGAGCTAATTAACATCTTTATATGAACTCTTTTTGGATATATATTCAGGTTACTGGAATAGACATTGACAAAGAAGCTTACGAGATGGGTCTAGAGTTCATAAAAAATGCAGGTGTTGATCACAAAATCAATTTCATCCAATCCGATTGTCTTCAGGCCTTAGACAAGATGTTGAGCGTACGTTATCATCCTCTATAAATATCACTCATGCAATTATTTTGGGGCAATTCTCACACCTACCATTAAAATGTTTTTTGATTCTTCTCATACCATCACTAGTTTTTTTTTTCATTCATAAAAGTAACTTTAAAACATCAAAACTAACCACAAACTTTCAAAACTAAACCCAAATGTTTAAATTATAAACTCTTATAAAAATGGTACATAGGAAAAAAATACTAGTGATGTTATGAGAGGAATTAAAAAAAAAAATTCATGCTATATTATGGCTGTTCTCATTATTTGGCTCTTTTTTGTTATATTTTCTTGAATAAAAAGCTATATATTTTTTGACCAAAAAAAAAAAAGCTATATATTATTGACTTATTGGTTTATGGACCACAGGAGGATCCAAAACCGGAGTTTGATTTCGCATTTGTTGATGCTGATAAACCAGACTATGCCAACATACACGAGAGACTAATGAAGCTGGTGAAAGTTGGTGGAATCATAGCTTTTGATAACACACTGTGGTTTGGGTTTGTGGCTGAGTGTGAAGAAAGCGTGGCAGATCCTCACTTGAGAGTAAACAGAAAAGCCCTTATGGACTTGAACAAACAGCTCGCTTCTGATCCTCGAATCGAGCTATCTCAAGTCTCCATTGGTGATGGAGTCACTCTCTGCAGACGCCTTGTGTGATTGATTAAGAAAGTCATCAAATCCCTAATGTTCTCGGTTTGTAATTTAATCAAACAGTTAAGAGTCTCTCTAATGCTTTCTCGTCCTCTCTGTTCTTGCTCATCGTCTAGGGCGAGATGGGTTGTGTCTTTGTGTGTGTGTGTGTGTGTGTGTGTGTGTGTGTGTGTGTGTGTGTGTGTGTGTGTGTGTGTGTGTGTGTGTGTGTGTGTGTGTGTGTGTGTGTGTTGGGTTATGCTAAAGATTTGCTCCTTTTCTTCTTTAGCTCTAAATAAGATATATCACCTATTGGCAAGATTCTGTGTTCTTTGGGAACTTGAGATGTTGTCTGTGATCCTGAGATGCAAACCAAACAAGAATCTATAAGCAAAAAGTTAAAAGCTAAACAAGCGTGCCTTTATATAAACCATAAATCATATATCAGCAAAACCAAAATACAAACGAATAATCAATCAATCACACAAAAGAAAGCAGTAGATTACAAACAAATAATGAATCAGAGGTACACAAACTCTCTTTTAAAGCTCTCTAAACCTATACACACACTCAAACAAACTAACTTCCGAAAAAGAGACGAAAACGTTAGCCAAAATGTCAACATCTCTCTCTTCTTCGGCTTTTCTTCTCCTCCCTCTAAACCACTTTAAACCCAATCTTCTACGTCACAAACTCTGTCAAACTCTTCTTTCCTTTTTACTGGACTATACGTGTGAGGATGGGATTTATCAGCATTTTCTAAGTTATATGGTAATACAATCAAAAACACAAAGTAAAAAGCAAGTGAAAGAAGAAGATATATATAAGGTTAAACTTAATAACAAGAGCCTATAAGATTCTTTTTACTTGTTATCTCTGGAATCTCATCCCGCAGGGAAGGATGTCACAGAATTCTATCCTCCACATCTGAGTATGGTGTGGACTATGGTGAGACGTTTAGTCCGGTGGTCAAGTCAGTGACAATGGAAACTCGGATTCGACAAATTGAACATGTCGGGAAGTATAGATCCGTCCGGTGGAGGCATCAAGACAGAGATATGCGCTTTGTGACAAGGAGTAGCCAAGAAACGTGCACGGAGAAGAGCGACTCTCCAATTTGTTGGTGGTGTAGGGTCTCAACCATGGAAAGCACAATGACCCAAACACACGCAGCTTGGTATAGTTTGGCGATTGTTGGAATAGCTTCTCATATGGTGATTGGTGAGCAATGACAGGTGTTGGTAACCGGTTAATGAGATAAACGGCTGTGGAGAAGGCATACGTCCAGTACGTCGTCGGAATAGAGGCTTGATGGAGAAGAGTTAAGCCCGTTTCCACGATATGGCGGTGTTTCCTTTCGGCGACACCGTTATGCTCCGGAGTGTGAGGCAGTGAGGTGAGATGAGAGGCGCCATGGGAGGTGAGGAATGACCGTAGTGCAATGAACTCGCCCCCGTTATCCGAGTACAAGTTGCAGATTGTGCATTGGAACCGTTTCTCGACTAGTGCTTTGAAGGCCACAAAGGTTTCCTTCACTTGAGACTTGAAGCGCAGAGGATAAAACCATGTATACCTCGTGAAGTGATCAACGAAAATGAGGTAATACTTGAAATTATCCACAGATAGAACCGGAGAGGTCCAAACATCTGTGTAAATGTATTCAAGAGGATGATGTGAAGTAATTGTGTTTGAATGAAATGGGAGCTTGTGACTTTTATTAACGAGACAATGAGAGCAAGGAGTCTGAATAGGTGAATTGTTTTGAATTGGAAGAGAATATTTTGAAATAACAGATTGCAAAACAGATAACGAAGGATGTCCCAATCAGGAATGCCAAAAAGAAAATGTTGTTTTAGGTGAAGGTGAAGCAAAGAGGGAGATTTTGTTTGGTGGAGAGACCGGCCATTCGTACAACTCGTCTTTAGTTCTGCCTTGGAGTAATTGGACCCCCGTACTGAGATCCTTCACCTGAAAATGGGCAGGGAAGAATTCAATTCTTCCCCAGACACATTGTTAGCGTTACACAAACGTAAACCGAGATTAAGTTTTTATGTATGTGAGGCACACAGAGAATGTCGTTTAAAGTTAAGGTTCGAAAGGGAGTGTTTAAGAAAGATGAACCAGTATGCGAGATCGAGAGCGCAGAGCCGTCGGCAATGGTGACTTCCTCGCCACCAGTATAGGGCTGATGGAGAGCAAGGTTGTTCAAGTCGGTGGTGAGGTGATGGGTAGCTCCGCTGTCGATAACCCAATTGTTTGGATTGTATGGTTGTGCGACGGCCATGTTGGCACGAGGTTGCCATGAGGATGTCGGCATAGAGACAGGGCGTGAATTGTTGTTGTATGAGCCAGGGAGGGGAAGCTGAGGGCATCTCCTTGCACTGTGGCCATGAACACCACAAATTTGGCAGCGACCTTGATATCCGCGTTGGGTGTTTTGATCACTGCGATTTGAAAACTGTTGTTGCTGCCATGTCTGAGAGTTGCGGTTGTTGTTGTTGTTGCGTTGCTGACCTTGATAGTTATTGCGAGGGTTGGAGCGGTTGCCGTGACTATTGTTGTTGTTAGGACCACGAAAATCAACAGCGTTAGCCGTGATGGGAAGGTTTGCAGCTGGAGGTGTCTTTGACTGAAGCTTAACCTCAAAGTTAATTAGTTTCTCATGAACTTCAGTCAAGGAAGGGGTCACCTCACGACCTTCAATCTGATCTACCACTTGTTTGTACTCCTCTGGTAAGCCTTCGAGGACGTACTCGATCTGATCTTCACGATCTATTGCCTTCCCTAGAAGTGCCAATTGATCAAAACGGGTGGTAAAGCCTTGGACATAGGCATCGATGGACATCTTTCCTTTAGTCCACTGCTTCACCTGCTGCTTGAGCTGTTTGACATGTCCCCGACTCGGTTTTGCGTAGGTAGCGGAGAGCGTATCCCAGATCTGAGCGGATGTCGTGGTGGTGGAGAGAATTGGCTGAATAGACACCATGATTGCGCCGAGTAAAGCACTGTAGATTAGTTTATCTTGTCGCTTCCAGAGTGTGTACGCTGGATTCACCGTGGTGACATCGTTGGCAGTGAGTGTCGACGGTGGGATCTCCATGGATCCGTCGACATAGCCGGCTAGGTCGTAGCCGTCGAGCAAGGCGTGCACTTGACGGCTCCACATGAGGAAGTTGGAGGCCGTGAGCTTCGTAACATTCGTCATATTGACATTGTGAAGACTTGGAGTGGTGAACACGATGACAGTGTCATTTGAGGAAGTTTGAGTTGAGCCCATGGCTGTAGAATAGAGCGAGAAGAAAGGTTTGAAAAAAAAAAATGAGAGAGAGGCGGCTAAATATTTTAGGTTATGCCTGCTCTGATACCATATAGGATTATAGACTGAATGTATTGATATTAGAGAAGGGAATTACAGTATATATACAGAGATTACACGAGAGGAACTAGGTATCAGCTATTGACTAATCAGTCCTTTCCATATATACTCTTACAGCTCTATGAAAAGTGCTTGTGTTCTCATCCCCAGCCTTAAGCCACTGCAGCCTGGACTTCTGCCGAAAGAACTGTTCTTCAATAGAAGCAAAATGGTGCCCACTTTCTGCCGCAGCAGAGACTGCTTCAAAATTGGCAGGAGTAGGTGACAAGAGAGCTTGTTGTTGCCAATCGCAAAGGTACTGAAAATCTTGTTTCGTCCTCTGGGGGAGATTCCCGTAATGGGTTCGATTTAGAGCGCGCATCTCAAACTTCAACTGTTTCAGCTTTTTATGAAACCGCTGCAGCGCCGCTCGCGAGTGGTATAGCGGTCATGATGTGTCCCAAACCCGCTTAACCACTGGAAGAAACTCATCATGATCTGCTAGAAAGTTAAAGAACTTAAAAGGCTTATGGGCACCCACTTCTTGAGGAGATATATGTATCAGACACCTCGCGTGATCGGAGATCCCTCCTACATCAAATTTTGCAAAGGACTGGGGAAAGGAGCTAAGCCAGTCAGCATTGATCAAAGCGCGGTTCAACTTCTTGCTAACCGGGCTCATGGGGCAATTGTTACACCAAGTGAATAAGGATCCGATGTATGCAAGATCTGAGAGGTTACAGTCCACTGTAAGGTTCTGAAACTCCCGCATTCCTGTTTGATGAACATTGTAGTCTAGAAATCGAGAATGCTCCGTAGAGGAGAGGATCTCGTTATAGTCGCCTAGAAGGATCCATGGTAACTGAAGATGACTGTAAGCTGACTGTGTTGTCCGGATGTCGTCTCATAGACGCTGCCTTTCCGTAGCGAAATTTGAGGCATAGATAGCCGAGCAAACAAACTTCGCATCCGTGCTAATAATATGCACTAGACAAGTAATTACCTGAGCACTTCAAAATAGGAGAACAACATCCACTGTATCTGACCAGCAGAACCAGATACGGCCCAAACGGTGATTGTCGTAGTTAGTAAAATATTTCCAGCCTGGAAGAGCAGAGTTGAGAATAGTAGAGTGTCCATTTTGAAGGACCTTTGTTTCCAAAAGTGCACCAAAAACCGGTTTTGCTTCAAGAATTTTCTATATTAGTTTTCTAAAATTAAGAATTGAACCAAATCTTTTTTTGGTTTTTGTAGGTATACAATTTCATTTTCTGATGACTTGTTGTTGTCCGAAGGTCGGACAATGACCCGAACTGACATAAAGTCTGAATATTTATATTATTTATTTGATCTGTATTTGTTCTATATAGTTTTCTTGATATGTATTTGTTCTGTATGATCTGGATTTACTGTTTGATCTGCATTTTTTTGGACTGCATCACCATTCGAAACCCATGTAAAACAATCTCATTCTAATAAAAAAAAGGGAAATTGCAATAGATGACAATATTTTAACCTATAATTAAGAATCTAACAATAGTACATTCATGTCTACGATATTCTTTGTATTTTCTGCAATATATACAAAAAACTCCTTCGAGGAGAGAGAAATTTAAAATTTCAAAAGTTATGGCAATTTCGATACAAGGGTCTACACCTTGCTGTAGTAGTTTCATTATTCACACCCGCAGAGGCAATTAGCAGAGACGGTGGCGAAATTGAAAGTCGGGAATCTTTCATCACCCATCGTGAGCCCCAAACACAACAATCGGTGGATACTTTCGGTGGAGAAACCTTCTTCAACAATCGGATTCCTCTACATATAAGCTTAATATTCCTCTACAGATAAGCTTAATATTCCTCGATATCTACTTCGTCGACCTCTGCATAACTCGGAAGAACATAGGCACCGGGATAATAAGAGTCCACGGTTAAATCTTTCTAAGATCTAGGTTAGTTTCGTTCCTCCATCGAAGGTACTTTCCCTTATATTCGATTGATTTGTCTTCTTTATCCTATATGTGTTAATCTTGACCGGCTTTAGTATGGTTATAGAATTTCGATTGTAGAATTTCGCCAATCTCTTGCCATTTGCCATGTGACGGCGATGATTAGGTTTTGTTTGGGTTTATGTAAAATTGGATGAATTTCGCTATTCTGTGAATTTGATTTGCTTATATTTTTTAGAATAGCGACTAAGATTTTCTTCTTTATCTGATTCATGTTTGTTAATTGGATAGATACGATAACATATTCTGAAAAAGGGATTCGCTGAATTCGGGCTTTACTATATCATTGGGTATAGCCGTATAGTATAAGAGAACACAAAAGTTATTTGTTTTCAGTAAATAATTGTACATACGTTTTTAAGATTGCTTTTCATAGAACTAATAATAAGTTATGGGAGATTTTGGTGGTTAACAGGTTTCCTTTTTTCAGTTAAGGAGTTTATTGATTGCCAACATCATAACCTAACATTTTCAGCTATTTTGCCATAGATTTTAACATGGAAGAGGAAGGCTTGCCAAACAGGATGTTTGAAACTGGATTTAAGTAGTATGAATTTCTATATATTTGTACTATTTTAATTAGTATGGATTTCTATATGTGTATACTATTTTTTCTTTCTTAATAGTATGCACTCAAGATTTGTGGAATATGTTATCGCTCATTTGTAAAATCATGTAGCAAGTATGAATGTATGTACTATAAATTTCACTTTGTCAAACGAAATATATGCTTAAAGTTACAGATCAAAGTTTTTTATTTATGGTTAATGTTCATATTTACGAAATAGGTTTGAATGGTATGTTGTGCTTCGTGTGGTTCATATGATAGCTAGGCTCGGTTTCCATTCGACTGATTAGGGTGTAAGGCTTATGGTGAAGGGTTTTGATGGACTGGGTTAGGATTTAGGTTTTGTGTTTAGGGTTTAGTGATTTGGGATTAGGGATTAAATTTAATAGTTAGGTGTTTAGAGTTTAGGTTTAGGGTTTAGTGTTTTGGATTAGGGATTAAATATATGAGTTTTATGAAAATAGTTTAGGATATATGGTTTATGATATAGGGAATAGGGTTTTGGGTGTATAATGTTTGGCGGTTACGGTCGTGGGTTTAGGGTATAACAACCAAACAATTATGCAACCAAACCAACCAAAGTTTTTATATACTATTTTTTAGTGTGCAAATATGCATCATAATTATTCGTGTGTTTGAAGTATACTACTGAAATGAATATGTAGAACTAATTACAGTTACAGGAAAAACAATTATTACTACGGTGAACTTTTGGGAGGGAAAAGTCCCGCTCGTTTAAGGAAGAGAATGGATTAGGAAAGATTTCTCTCTGTTAGTTCTTTAATTTTAAAACACAATGGCTATATTTTTAATTTAGAGGCTCAGTATGGCTACACAGCAAATTAACCCAAAAAAAAGACTCTGTGTTTTAATTTTTTTTTAACAACTCCATGTGTACTGATAAGAGCATGTACAATGCACATACCCATATGGGTATGTTCCCACATTTAATATATTAAAAAAATATTATTTTAGTTAAAGAGTTTTGGAAAAACTTGAGAATTATGGCACAACATTGCACATACCATATGGGTTTCTTTAAAAAAAAAAAATTATGATTTTTTTTTAAGTTTTATAAAATTGAAAAAATATTATTATTCATAATAACTAGAATACATTATTAAAAAGACAAATACAACATTTATTACATATAAAACGAGGAAAAAAACGTATCAGAGAAAACACAAAGACAAACATACATGTTCTAAACCATATGAAAACATGATTAATGACCAAATTTGTTCCAAATATGCTCAACCAAATCAGCTTTCAATTGGTGATGCTTTTGTTGGTCACGAATATCAGCTCGATTAGCCATAATATTGTGGACATTCGACGGCAAGTGGAGTACTTGTGAAGACCCGCTCCCGTCTGCTCCTCCTTGTTGGAATTCCGTTACGTTATCTATAGTTTCAGCGTCTCTTTCATCTTCCACAATCATATTGTGTAATATGATACAAGCCTTCATTATATTCCCTATCTTCTCCTTATCCATGTAAGAGACGGGTTTTTAACAATTGCAAATCGAGCTTGTAAGACTCCAAAAGCGCGCTCAACTTCTTTGCGGGCAAACGATTGATGGGCACAAAATAATTTTGCTTTCGGTTCTCCTGGCTGAGGAATTGGTTTGACAAAAGTGGACCATTCCGGATATATACCATCTGTGAGATAGTAAGCCTTCTTGTATCGGTGTCCATTAACAGAGAATGACACCTTAGGAGCTCGACCTTCTAATATATCATCAAACACGGGTGAGCGGTGGAGAACATTAATGTCGTTTAAAGTACCTGGAGGTCCGAAAAATGCGTGCCAAATCCACAGATCATACGACGCGACAGCCTCTAAAACGATTGTTGGTTTTGCATGACCCCGTGCATATTGCCCTTTCCATTCCGTGGGACAATTTTTCCACTCCCAATGCATACAGTCAATGCTTCCTATTGAGCCAGGAAATCCACGCGTCTCTCCGACCTTGAGTAATCGTTTAAGATCTGCTGGTGTAGGCCTTCTGAGATAGTCCTCCTCGTAAAAACCGATGATTGCGTAAATTTATGCAAGCATTTCAGCGCAGTGCTCGCTCCTAGTCTGAGGTATTCATCGCTGCATCAGCTGCATTGCCATATGCGAGCATACGAATGGCGGCAGTGCATTTTTGTAAGCCGGTCAAACCGGGCTTTCCAGTACCATCCGGTATGTGCTGAAAGAAGGGTAAGTCGGATAGCTTGTTAACTATACGCATGAACAATGGTCGGTTCATCCGGAAGCGACGTCGGAAAATGGCCTCGGGATAGATAGCATTCTCACTGAAATAATCATTGATCAAGCGGATGTTCCCTTCTTCACGTCTTCGATCTATGACCGCTCGTTTTTCCCTTCTCTTCTCTGGCTCAAGAACTTCATTTATATCATCTAAACACTCTCTCATAGAGTTTGCAAACTCATAATCGATTGCTTGTTGAAACTCATCATAAATGAAAAAGGATGGTTGGAAGAAGATGCCATTTTTAGGTTTCTTTGCAATTTAGAAAAGAGTTGGTGTTTTAATGAATGGAATAAAGTTTCCAATTTTGTAAAGATTTTTTTGTGTTGTAATGAAAGAAGAATGTAATGAAAGAAGAGAGTTTATGATGAATGCAATACAAAGACATAAAGGTTTTATAGAGTTTATGAAATTTCACTTGGCCGAGAGTTGCATGTGACATGGCCGAGACAAAACAGAAACAAACGAAAATAGTGGCCGAGTTTGTTTTTTCTGGCCGACAAAACTAAAAAACAAGTTTCAAAAAGAAAAAAAGATGTGTCACACAAACGACCAAAACAAGAGGTCGGCAACAACAACAAAACAAGTTTTCAGTGACAAGGAGAGAAACAAGATGTCGGCAACAACAACTACACTTCTCTTGCTCCAGGATCCTCCTTTTAGTCTGGATACACGAAAAACCATTGCTTAGTATCATAAACACATATACTAAATTCAAGGAAAATTTAAAGAACACATATGCATTGATAGAAGCAGAACACATTACCTAAGTTCAAGGATCGTTTCACCACTTGCGCCTTTTCTCCCATCTTCGCAGAGGTCTCTTTCAGACGCCCTAAACAATCCTCCATCTCTCTATCGGCCTCACGGGAAGCTGCTCCACAGTCCAAGCAATCTTGCTCTGCTTCCATCAGTAAGTTTTCACAGGCGGCCATATCTTCCCTCAACTGGAGTGTGTGACGCTGAAGAGACCTAAACCGATCGTAAGATGCCATGAATGCTTTCTGAACATGTTTGTGTTTGATTTGGAGCAAGTCCAACCGGCGCTTTTCCGAGTTGTACTCCTCAAGTAGGTCCTGCAAGAACCATAACAACAAAGCAGTATACATTACTTCAAGCTTAAACATAAACAACAAACGTTAAACTTCAAGCATACATAACAACAAACATGACCATCACGAAGCATAAACAGCAATATTAACAACAATACGAAAACAAGAGTGTAACTAAACTCAGTATTGACAAATGTTTAGTTTAATGGAACAATCATGAACCTCAGTATCAATATTTGAAACATTACATGAAGCATAAACAAGAATAAAACATTACTTTCATAAAACAAGTTTAACATTACCACGAAGCATTAAAACATGATTTTCATATAAGGAACGGGAACACAAGGCATCAGGAACACACGGCATTAGGACAAGGCATTAAACAAGGCATTAGGACATTTCACTTAACTGAAACCTAAAGATAAAACCGACTAAATAGCCTATCCTTGACCGCTTTCTCTATATCGTTAAGTGGTTCGGTTTTTCCTAAGAGGTTAGATAGGACTTGTTTATCCGCTAATATCTCTTTGTTAGTGAACTCCTTCTCACTTAGAGCAGCCACGGCTTGGAGGTTCTTCAAAGCAGCCTCCTTCTCTTCGCTGGTTCTCTTCACGGTCTTGGATCCTCTCAACTTTGCAGCCTTTGCTGCCTTCACACCCATCGGTCTCTCTTCTTCTGGTTCCTCCCTGGGACCAACGCCTCCGGAATCATGTGGCTGTGCTCTTTTGTTTGCTCTGCTTTTGCCTTTATTTATTGAGAACACCACTTCTGATCGTTTCTAAGAGCTCTCCACGCATGGTCTAAGACGAAGTTGGTCTTATGATCCTGGTAATAGAACTTGTAAGCCATCTGGAAGATATCATCATCGGATTGGCCGCTTGTAGCTTGACGGCTCGCCATGTCAAAGCATCCGCAAAACCACTGCACTTCTTTGTTTATTTTCGTCCATCTCTGCTTGCAAGTATTCCACAGGCGAGGAGGGAAGTCCTTCACCGCAGTACACCCATGATAGTAGATGCAAACCCGTTTCCAAAACGCTTGAGCTTTCTGTTCATTTGCAGTCACGCCATCTTTGCTAGTGTTTAACCACGCGGTCACCAGCGCCCCATCTTCTGCGATTGACCATCTTCTTCTCGCTTCCCGTGTAGCCAATGGTGAGCTCTCGTCTCCATCATCAGCGTCATCTGCGGTGGAGCTGGTTTGGGTACTAAAGAGAGGAGTTTGGTCACCGAAGAGAGGTGTCTGAGTACTAAACAGAGGAGTTTGGGTACCAAAGAGAGGTGTTTGGGTACTAAACGAAGGTGATTGGGTACAAAACGGAGGTGTTTGAGGTGTACCGGTTTGGTTCATGAGGTATGTGAAGGATCTAGGAAAGCTCGAGGGACTATTGGAACCCATTTCGTAAACAGAAAAAGATGAGTGAAGAAAAGCTCGTGTTTTAGGGTTAGCGATATGAGTGAAGAAGAAGCTCATCAAGTTGTGTTTTTATAGGCAAAATTGGGTGTTACTAAAAGCGACAAGACATGAAACTGTTTTTTAAATTTTTTTTAACTCATTTAACTCTACACTTTAGTGGTTGACATTGCATTTAACTCAACATTAAAGCTAACATACAAGCAAAATTCCTAATCGCTCACAACCTAAATCAGACCTATGAACCAATTAAAAGCAAACAACAACCGCAACCATTAACACCTCTCTACCTAAACAGCAAACAATAACTACAGCCGCAAGCTAATCTATCACACAAAGGCGGAAACCTAACCTTGTACTTTCTCGAGCTGATTTGAGTTGCCATCATCTCCACCAGCTGTCTTCTTCGACGCCATCTCGAGACATGAGGAAAAAGAAGAAAGAATACATGTTAGTTAAAAGAAAAGAGCATTCAAAGCTCTAAGATTAATGCTTCTAGTTCCAAATGAATCATAAAACACAAGAGACACCAAAAGCATTATAGTATATGTTCCGTTGGATTCAGATATGGTTTTAAGAATCAATGTCACGCAGAAAGCATTCAACCGACATGATACAAAACGAATCAACATGAGCTCGCAAACCATTTCCGGGAGATTACAATCACGGTTCAGACAAACATATACTATAAACAGTTTCACACAATTCGATTCACCTCAGATTAAATCAGACAACCACACATGGCAAATCAATTAAACATTTCCCAGCAAACTCAATTTCCTAAATCACAAATCCGATTTACGTTTTCAAACTACTCAACCACCAAAATTCATTTTATACTGTTTGGATAGAGGTCCATACCTGAGAAACTCGCCGAAATTCAAAAAACTCCTGGAAATCGCCTGAGATGAACACGAAAAAAACGAGAACTGCGAGACGACGAAGAAGATGAAGAAGAACAGAGGAGAAGAAGAAATGGACGAAGGAGAAGAAGAACTGGACGAAGGAGAGGAAGAACAGAGCGTAAATGGGTATCGGAGACAGAAATCTCGTGTCGCCGATTTCAGATCGGTTTGAGAGACGGAGAAAGCGAGGAGGCAACTGAAATGAAAAACAAAAAAAAAACTTGGGACACCGAATTTTTCACAAACGCGGCTCTTCCTGCAGCTGACACGTGGTCGCAACAACCGGTTGTGGGCTGCTTCCTGGAGAGACGATTGTTTAAGTTGGGTTTGCCGCATATATAATTATTAGCAATTGTTATTTATTTTTGGGCTAAAGAAACCCATGCAATATGTGCGTTGCACATGCTCTAAGACTCCATGTGTATGATAAGACTCCATGTGTACTGATAAGACTCCACGTGTTTCTCAATGACTAAAAATATTACTATTATATTGATGAGGGATAAGAGATTTTATAGAGATCTTATCAGTACCAGGCGTATAGGCCACTAACACTGTGTCAGTTACACTATCGACCTCCTGAGATTCTCTTTAAATAAAGTGATAGAGTTAGAGATATGTGTTCATTAGCATTGCATGGCTTTTGAAGTTGAAGGCGTCAAGAGAGAGAGAGAGAGAGAGCTATGGAGAAGTTTTTGATTCCGTCCAAAGGGATTCTAAAGAGCGATGATCTAAAAAAGGTCACTTCTAATCACTTTATTTACGTGTTTGTTCCGATCTAACATCTTGCATGTGATCTGCAAAATTAACTTAGTTCTGTATGATGAGATGAAGCAGCATTATCAATAAATGATCAAGATTTTCCTGTGAAATCTGAACCAACAAATATATAATACTATTATATGCGGCTGTGATTGTGAATCAAAACTTGTGATATGTGAGACAGTACATCTTGGAAACGACGGCGTATCCAAGAGAGCATGAACAGCTCAAGAAGTTACGAGAAGCTACGGTCCACAAGTATGGCAATTTGTAAGTCTGATCTGCAACCATTATTGACTTGATCAGCTAATTTCTTGCAAGAGTCTAAATGATCACACTCTTGTTCTTGATTTCGAACATGCAATTGCAAGTTTCATAACGTTAGATGATCCTAGATATGTTTGTACTTCGTACTCTCAGCTCGCATTTTTATATGTGGATTTTGGTTTCAACTTTTGTAACGTAAATTAAACCATTTCATTTTTTTTTAAACACAAATATTGTAAGAGCAATAGTTTTGTTTCTGTTTTTAATATTGTAATTTCACTTGAAGATAAAGAAGACACCATATTATTAGCACGTGTACACAAAAACTAACGCAAACAAATAATCAATCAATACTGAGAATATTATACTGATTTTTGTGTGTTGATACTTGATATGCGTAGAAGCGAGATAGGGGTACCGGTTGATGAAGGGCTTTTCCTATCGATGCTTATAAAGATGATGAATGCCAAAAATACGCTAGAGCTTGGCGTCTTCACCGGCTATTCATTGCTCACGACGGCTCTCGCATTGCCTGAAGATGGTCGTGTATGCATATATACAAATACAACACTCCTCCGATCCTTAATTACGTCAAAAAAAAAAATGAATCAGAGCTAATTAACATCTATATATGAACTCTTTTTGGATATACAGGTTACTGCAATAGACATTGACAAAGAAGCTTACGAGATGGGTCTAGAGTTCATCAAGAATGCAGGTGTTGATCACAAAATCAATTTCATCCAGTCTGATTCTCTTCAGGCCTTAGACAAGATGTTGAGCGTACGTTATCCTCTATAAATATCACTCATGCAAATATTTTGCTCATTTTGTGTTATATTTTCTTCAATAAAAAGCTATATATATATATATATATATTGTTGAGTTATTGGTTTATATATGGACCACAGGAGAATCCAAAACCGGAGTTTGATTTCGCATTTGTTGATGCTGATAAACCAGACTATGCCAACATACACGAGAGACTAATGAAGCTGGTGAAAGTTGGTGGAATCATAGCTTTTGATAACACGTTATGGTCTGGGTTTGTAGCTGAGGGTGAGGAAAGCATGCCAGATCCGCACATGAGAGTTTACAGAAAAGCCCTTATGGACTTGAACAAACAGCTCGCTTCTGATCCTCGAATCGAGCTGTCTCAAGTCTCCATTGGTGATGGAGTCACTCTCTGCAGACGCCTTGTGTGATTAAGAAGTTCATCAATTACCAAATGTTCGTTGTTTGTAATTTAATCAAACAGTTAAGAGTCTCTCTAATGCTTTCTCGTCCTCTCTGTTCTTGCTCATCGTCTAGGGCGAGATGGGTTGTGTTTTGCGTGTGTGTGTGTGTGTGTGTGTGTGTGTGTGTGAAGGTTATGCTAAAGATTTGCTCCTTTTCTTCTTTAGCTCTAAATAAGATATATTACCTATTGGCAAGATTCTGTTCTTTGGGAACCTGTGATTTTCAGATGCAAACCAAACAAGAATCTATAAGCTAAAGGTAACCAAGCGTGAGACAAAAGGGAAGTGTTAAAGTGAGCTTCAAAGGTACGAGTAGGGAGGACTTTATATAAACCGTAAATCATATATCAGCAAAACCAAAATACAAACGAATAATCAATCAATCACACAAAGAAAGCAGTAGATTACAAACAAATAATGAATCAGAGGAACACAAACTCTCTCTTAAAGCTCTCTAAACCCTATACACACACACCCAAACAAACTAAACTCCGAAAAAGAGACGAAAACGTTAGCCAAAATGTCAACATCTCTCTCCTCTTCGGCTTTTCTTCTCCTCCCTCTAAACCACTTTAAACCCAATCTTCTACGTCACAAACTCTCTCAAACTCTTCTTTCCTTTTTACTGGATGATACGTGTGAGGATGGGATTTATCAGCATTTTCTAAGTTATATGGTAATACAATCAAAAACACAAAGTAAAAAGCAAGTGAAAGAAGAAGATATATATAAGGTTAAACAACTTAATAACAAGAGCCTATAAGATTCTTTTTACTTGTTATCTCTGGAATCTCATCTCACTGTGTACTCTTGGTTAAGCTGCTTCGTCCACTAGCTCTGCGCAAATCCAAACGCCAAAATCAATTTGAATCAATCACTCTTAAATGTAAACTATAAAATAGATAGATATGTGTATACCTTCCGGCAAGAATCTGAGCGGTGTTGGAAGGGATTGGGGTCTTGATATTTGAAAACCTTTTGGCTCTTATGTCCTGATCTTTCTCCACACGCATAGCAGCAACTTCTTTCTCCATCGCAGACACTTCCCTTCTCATCTTCTTCGCTTCAACCTCCATTGCCTTTGTTAATGTTTCCACCTTCTTCGCTAGCATCTACAAAAACCATACTCCCTCCGTTTTACAAACAAGAACAGATTCTCATATGCGCCACATAACAGAAACAATATGTGAGAAACTATATACCTCAATAGCATCATCCTTGTCTTTGAGGCTTTGATCCTTTTCATGAGAAGCTTTCCTCAAACAAACTACTTCCTTCTGTAGCAAATCATACAAAACACCTGGCACACTATCCTCACTCGCTGCTGCTTCTGCTACATGGGTGGTTTCACTCTGTGGCTTCTCCTCTGCATTTTCTTTCCACCCATTGTTATCTGACTCTGGCTCCTTAGTTTCCTCAGAAGCCTTGCCGAAAGAATAGTTCCCAGGTCCGTTTAAAAGTGCTTTGCCTCTGTCCAAGGACCTTGTGCCTCCGTCGAATGACTTAGACGTTCCTTTAGCGTTCTTCAACGCAGAAGTTGAATTACTAGACAAGGAGTGTCTCATCTGAGAAGCTGGGGATTTCTTTGAAAAGGAACCATTTGATTGAAATTTTGTTAAGTTCTCAGCTCCACCAAGCGACTGCCTGCGAGAAGGTCCGTTACTCATGCTCCTTGCCTCCGGTGTGTTCCTGCTGCTGCTGCTGCTTGAAGTTCCTCTAAGTGTCTCCTCAAGCACTTTAAGCCGCAGTTGAAACTTTTCCTAATAATTTCACAAACAAATCTATTACTACTTGTTTTGTGTAACAAGATCAACTGAGAGAAGCTGACAAAAGCTGACAAGATCAGTTTACTTTAAGCTGTGCTTCCGATTTAGCAGCTCGGTCTGTTATGGCAAGCTTATCACGAAGTTGCTGCATTTCTCCCTGCAAAGAGTAGAGAGAATCAAGAGCTTAGAATCTCAATATGGCACTGCAAAGAATTTTGCATCCTAAGAATATAATTAAACCTGTAGAAATCTTCTTTCTTCAAGCCATTGCTTTACAGGCATCACTTTATCGTTACCATCTTTCCACTCATTAGCTACCACCGTGGCAACTCTGTTTGCTGTAACCTTCGCACGTGCAAGCTCCCGGTCAAGAGTTTTCCGTTCTTCCTGAAAGACAAATCAAGAAATATATTCCTTCATCAGTAGTCAATTTTCTTGATTCTTTCTTTGGCAGACTTTGTGAAGTGTGTGGATAGTTACATTCATCTCTTGAAATTTCCGCTGGTAATCCCTCACGGCATTTGCAGCAGCACCACCTGCAAGAACAGCTTCTTCAAGCTCTCGCACCGTCTGAGTCAGCTTTTCCACTTCAGCAACCTTCTGCCTATGCATTTTGTCTAGAATCTTGTTTTCTTCCTAAACCATGAAACAAATATCAAATCAGATTTGTTGGCAAACGAACATGTGACAGGTAAAATCCAAATAATCAAGATGATAACTAACGACTAACGAACCTGACAGATTTCTATTTGTTTCATCAACTCCTGGTTCTTGTTCTGAAGATCATCAACCATGGCTGCTTTAGCCAGGGCACCTTCGATGGTCCTCTCAGCATCAAGTAAAGCAGCTTCCTTTGACTTAGTAAGACGATCCAAAGCCCTGTTATCTTCTTGAAGCTTCCCAATCTATATGCAGAAACAAGGCAGTTGATCAGTGACTTCGCCTAATTTTCAATTAGACTTTTGAAGAAGGCAATGGAAATACCTCTGATCTCGCAAGCTTAAGCTCAGCTTCCAATGGAGCAAGAATGGCTTCAATTGGAGGCATGTCATCATCCTTCTGAGCAGCATGGACCCTTCTTAAGGTGGCTTCAGCAGCAAACTGAGCAGCCATTGAGGCTTTCTTTTCCTCATTGATTTTCTTGATCTCTAGATTCTGCCAAACACGGTTGATTAACATATTGTCTATTAGCATACGCAAGTGGAAGGTAAAAAGGTAACAGAGCTAAGGGAGGATTTATGAGAAATACTTTGCTTTCGAGATTGGATTCAGTCAGCTTGAGCTTCTCATCCAACTTAGCAAGCTCCTCGGTAAGCTAATGTTCCAACAACAACAACAAAAAACACAGGAGGAAAAGTCAGTCCATGAGAAGCATGAAAATGTGACCCCAAATCAAATGTGAAATTTAGCAAATCATTATTTTAATTAATCGAATCGAGCAATGATTGAAGTTTGCTAAAATGTGAAAATGGAAAACAGCTTGTAGAATTTCAAACGAACACAAAACAATACAAAAATAGAAAAATCAGAATATAACACAATACATATTGATACATACCTCTTCAACAGCTTTCTCTCTCTGTCTCTCAGATAACCTGAGCGCTTTGATCTCGGCGTGTGCCTCCCCTAACTCTCGATCCTTATCTGCACAGAAATTCGATTAAATCAAAAAGAAGAAACGAATCGACGCATAAACAAGTATAGATCGATGGAGGAAGCAATTTGAAACCTCGAACTTCGTTCTCAAGTCGATTCAGCTCCACCTTCACTGGATCCGAGCCATGGAGCAGAGTGATGAACTCATTGTCCGCCGCGGCGTCGAAGCTAGGCCTAATTGGTCTCCGCTTCGACGAGGACGACGAGCTTTTTCCTCCGCCGCTCTCCTTGTAAGACGCCGACACCGTCAGTGACGGATACGACGCCACCGGTTGCGCTGACTGCTCAGTTACCGTCGCCGACACATCTCCGTCGCCGGAAACATCCGACATCTCCGATCTAAATCCAAATGCTAAGAGATGGATGATAAATGCCAAATAAAAAGTATCAGCACTGAGCTCTGAATAATGCAGATTTCTATAGAGAGAGAGAGATAGAGAGAAGACACATACAAAGACGAAGAAGCTAAAGAGTTATTTGGATCCAAATGCTCTCTCTGGTTTTCAGAGAATGATGCTGAATTGCTTAACCTAGAGAGAGAGAGTAGAGAGCTCTTTCGTTTCTTTTTTCTAGTGAGAGAAGAGAATGAGATTAGAGAAAAAGAGAAGAGAGATTTAAATGCTGTTACAGTTGTTTCTTTCTCAGGCCTCTCTCTATCTCTCTCTCTCTAATAGATTTGACAAGACAGCTAGAGGATGACGCAAGATTATGTTAATTAATCTCTTCTTAAACACTAACATGCTACTTTCCAGATTTAATCAATAAACTATCTAAGATAATCGAAGATTAGTACTATGTTTTCTACTGTTTTAATGTAGTTGCTTACAGTGAATTGTGTCGCCTCATCTCTGAAAGTAACTCTTGGTGTGTAACTAAATAAATGAATAAAAAGTTAAAAATCGTTTAGGATGAATCTGAATTTTGCAGAAGAAAATTTAGTTGAATTTATATTCGCAACGGTATCCACTTTTTTCATCTTTTTGAAGTGGTATATCTGAATGTCATAGAATTTTGTTTGATTTATTTATTAAGTATTTTACGTTTCATAAAAGACTAATCAATCACTAGTTCTCTTTTTAGATTTGTATTTTGTTTGTACACTCTTTAAAAAAAAAAGATAATTCACATATAAGATACACACCATTCAAATTCTATTTCTTGCTTTTTTTTTTTTTTTTTTTTTTCAACAGCCTAAATTCCTATACCGGTCCGGGAAGCGGAATCGGGGGAACTGAGTTTATGTAATACACATCATGGGGCTGAGCTCGAGCACTCCGTGCTAGCTTGTCTGCCCTTGTGTTCTTCGTTCTGGGAATGTATGTGAGGGAGAACGCCTGGAACATCCCTCTACAATGCTCCACTTCTTCAAGCAAGATCGCAAAAGCTGGCCACTCGGCAGGTTTGGACACCATCTTCACCAACTGAGCGCTATCTGTTTGGAAATTCATCCGTCGTTTGTTATGGACTAGCATACTTTGCATAGCCCAAACCAATGCCTCCAATTCTGTTTGAAGAGGAGATAAACCCCGCCGTAGGTTGCTAGACCCCATCAGGACAGAGCCCGAATCCGGGTCAAAATTGTACCATCCAAGTCCAGCCCGACTGTCTGTCACTTTCCACGCTCCATCAATCTGACACCACTCTCCCGGTGGGACGTGGCCGGAGTTGATGGAGATACTATTGGATACTCCGTCTGCTACCGTTTGTGCTGCTACCCATGCCCGGGATTCCGTTATCGCAGATTCCATTACTTCCTGCGGATTTTGATCATCATTTGAGAAAACTTTGTAATTACGAGCTTTCCAAATAAACCAGAGTAACCATGGATACATCAACATGTCATCATTGTCTGGGAGGTTCCAGAATAGATGTGCCATATTTGAGTACAGTGCTCCCGTAGGAAAAAACTGGGGAGGCGTAGGTATGGGAGAGAGTGCCCAGGCCTGTCGGGCCGGGGGACACTCAAAGAGCATATGATTGATAGTCTCATCTCCCATACCACATCTCACGCACAGTGGGTCCACACGCATTCCCCGACTACATAAACGTGCGCCAACCGATAAACATCCGATAATAATTCTATTTCTTGCATAAGCAATATATATGATATATGGTGAGATGTATTTAACTTTTGATGATAAAAGGTAGTACTAGTAGATAATCAGAATTATGATTAAAATATGTTGACGAGGTCAATATGTTCAATTGTCTGATTATTAGTAAGAAAAAGGTGTAGTTAGTAATTAGTGAAGATTAGATGCTTTGCGCGTGAAAAGAGGGAAAATGTTCGATGTCCCAAATATTTGTATCCCTTTTCTCCCTTTTCGAGGGATAATGCTTGCTTCTTCTCTTTTCTCTCAAGCAAGGTTAGTTGCTTCTATCCCTTTGTGAAAATCAATGGACGATCATAAGAAAAGTATATAAATTGTAACTATTATTTACTAATATTTAGAATCATATTCTTAAAGATCACCTGAGATTATCAGCCTTAAGTTAAGAATAAAGAGCTAATCTATGATTATTTTCATAGATGCATAGAGGCAAATAAAGTATCTACATCCTCGGTCTTGGGAGATTATGGATTTATTAAGGCTCAGCATATTTTTATTACAAAATAAAAAATTAAGTGTTTACCTTGTTGTTGACCAGAAACATTTGCTTTAGAATTTAGATGTAAATTTTAAAGATCCAAAAATTGCGGAATCCATTATTTAGTGAAGTGTTTAATGTAATTATGAATTTGATCAAAAAGTTATATAGATGAAGAGGTCCGTCTATGAATTAAAATTAAAAGAAAAAAAAATGTGAAGTTTTCTTAAGTTGTTAACATATTCAGAAACATTTATAAAATAACGAAAACTTTTACAAATCGAATAGTTTTCACGTGATTAACAAAATGCCCACTAAGAACTTTTTTTTGCCTGTGAACAGTGTTACTTTCATCATAACTTACCTAAAACTGTTATATATAAGCAATACCTTAAGAAAATGAGTTGGTCCTCAAATTCACTATTTTTATATCTTGTAAAATTAAGATGGGGATTAAGAAATAGAATATATAAATATAGGATAATGTCTGAAATCTCTCTTCAAATTGACCAAAATATACTTTTGTCCGTTTTCCTAGAAACAAGAAGTATAAATTAAGCAGCTGATACACTTTGATATTCCTCAGTCGAAAATTCTGCGATCTTACTTAACGATGTTGTATTTAATTAGTATTTTACACACCCATGCTTGCTTCCACTACATTGTCGATAAAGTAACAAACACAACGGGACCAAACTCATTTGATTATTCCGAACATATTGATACAAAAATATCAATACCTTGGCTCTAGAACTTGAAATAATGTAATATTTTATTCAAAATATAGATATTTAGACTCTTTCGTGCTGATTTTTTGCTACCAACTCAACTATATGACATATGGATAACGCTTTGTCGAAAACGTTTACAAAAAAGTTCGACAAAACATCTAACCTCTCGGATAAATAGCAGGCAGCAGATTCCATTGTTTAATGGACTATCGAGGAATCGATAAACGGATCATCTTCCTAAATAATTGTAGCGGAAGAATCACAGTCCAAACCTCATAAAACTGGCTAGACATTAATACACTCCTACGAAAAAGCATGTTAAATTCAACTTCATATAGAGCATAGGACATCAATAAATATTCAACGAAATGCACCAAGGTTATTATTACATCACATCACACCTACCGAAAACACATTGAAATCGATATTTTAGAATCTTACGACTATAAAGTTTACAAGATCTCTGTTTTTGATAAGAAAAAATGGTGAGATATACACTTTCAAAGATTTTATCTTGTGATATCACATCGTACCACCAAAAATACATTCGGGTTCGGCTACATCTTACTTTAATTTTTTTTTTTTTTTATCTAGAACTGCTAGCAATGTCACGAAACTTGCTAATTCCTTGTTGTTTTACTCTAATAAACCGTAATGTCACCAAATTTGTTTAGCGTAAGCCAAATGATTTGAAAGGAAAGGGAGAATAAAATAAAAGAGAAAAAGTTGAAAAAGAGAAGCAAGGAAGAAAGCTGCATGCACCCATGTGCCACTTCCTTGCTATGCCTTGAAGAATCAAACAACGCGAGTGGAGCGTAGAGACTTTGATCCTAATACCACTCCTTAACATATGCCCATCCTATCATTATTTCACAACGCATATTTACTACTAAATGTTATTAAATTAATTATTTCCTTAACATATGCCCATCCTATCATTATTTCACAACGCATATTTACTACTAAATGTTATTAAATTAATTATTCTTTAAAATGTTATAGCGTAACATTTGAGGTTCCAAATTTCATTATTCTACGGCTGTGATTCACTTTCCCTCCATATTACAAAAATACAAATATATTGCAAATTATCATGCATAAAAATATATATCTAAAAGAAGAAATTCCTCTACATTATCTGAAAATGAAAGAAAAATATATTTACCAAAAATAGAAAATATTGAAAGGACTAATTATATAAATTAATCTGGTCATATTTATGAAACATGACATTCATCAATGCTCTGATAATGATTTGAACATCTGATTTTTTCTTTTTTTTTTTTTTTTTTTTTTTTTTTATGAATCAACTAAAGCTTACAAACTGGTTTTGGAAAACAGTTTGTTACGATAGTACCTAAACTAGTTTAGTGTTTTAACAATTAGTACCAAGTGTAATTAAATCCAATAGAGCAGACAAGAAAATCACATATTGGTACGGTCTTAGGATAACTTAAACAAAAAAAAAAAGGATCAAAACTTCTGCGGAATGTGGATTTGGACAACGAGCACACTCTTCAGCCGATGATGAGAAGACGTGCCAAGTCATTATGCAGTGCATGACTCGCCTGCATTTGAGAGAGAAACAAAACAAACGCATTCTATAAGAAAAAAAAAAAAAAAACAGTTTTCTCTTTCGATGTCAAGAAAACATTAAGACGTTTTAAAAGTGTAGCAACTTGCCTTGAATGCGACTATGTGAGCCACAGGAAGTCCTCCGTTCCCTTCTCTTGCTACAAGTGAGAGGTCACCGATAAGGTCCAAGATCTTATGCCGACACGGCTCATCATCGAACCGCAGCGGCGGATTCATCCATCCACGCTCCGCGCTAACATTAGAGACGGACTTTCAGTTGAAAATCATAGGGAAATCCATACTCTTTCCAAAATGCAAGAAACTCTTTACCTACAAACGATTGCGTTCTCCAGAGAACCTCCTTTAATCAGCCCTGCTTCTCGCATCCTCTCCACCTCTTCATAGACACAAAAGGTTCTTGATGGTGCAATATCCTTTTCAAAGCAAGATTCACGTACAGGTCTCCAAGAAAACCACTGGCAGCCAATAGCAGGGACCTGTAAGTACAAACCTCATCATGAAAACCCAACAGACCGAGTCAATACCCACAAGTCTATTCACAAAATGCTTTAGGAGACTGAAGAACCTGTGGGAAGTCGATACCACAAGTGATGCGAGTCTCTATAGACGGAAACGCAGCTACAAAAGAATCGTTCTTGCAAACGTGCACGGGTTTGTTCAGATGTGTTACCATCTTCTCCACGCTTTCACCAACATGGTTTCGAGCCACGTTTATGCCAATCTCTTCAATCGCATCAACCCATTCTTTAGCTGATCCATCCAAAATTGGGACCTGTCTCACTTTGGTTAGTGTTTGTTTGCATTCATCATCACATCACCAATCGAGCCAAGCCTCTAAGCACAAAATTTTCTTCAGAAAAAGTTACACAGCTTTGCATTCAAATTCAATCAAACCATTCGAGAGTAGCTAATGGTTACTCGAAATCTGGAAACAAACCTCGACTTCCCGATCATCTGCACTTTCGCTTTCGATTTGAATCCTGCAATTATCAACGCCCTTTGCCTCCAGAGCTGACAACAAATGTTCAACGGTTCTGATTTGGAGGCCGTCTTTGAACAGCGTAGTGCAAAGAGGCGATTCCTGAGAAAATTCAATCGACGCGGGGATGGATCTGGAGCGGAACTCGAAGCACCTCCCAGCTCCGGCGATCTCCGGCAGTAGCTTCACCGTAGAAAGCTTACCGGAATGCAGAGACTTCCCTTTCACTTCCACACATCCAGAGAGAGTTTGCTGTAATCTTCCACTCTAGTATCGAAACGCCCAAGAAGAAGGAAGAAAAAACAATCGTAATGATTCCAGTGCACAGAGATCAAGTCTTTTACATATATATATGCATGCGAGAGAGAGAGAGAGAGAGAGAGAGAGAGAGAGAGAGAGAGAGAGAGAGAGAGAGAGAGAGAGGTTTACTGGACTCAAGGAGACTGTTGACGACGAGGACGACGCGGCGGAGGAAACGGAGAAGAATCGGATCAAAGAGATGAGAGTAGAGTTCTTGGCTTTGACGGCGACGGAGAGGCTCATTGATTCGACTCCGTCCGATTTCAGTAGAACGGAAGTCGTACTCACTAATTGGGGAAGAGACTGGATTAGCGGTTAACCGATTAATTAACCTAAACGAACGATCGGTTTCATTACCTGGTTTAGAAAAGTCAACAAGAGTAAGCTTCTAAACCGATTTCAATATTGAAACCAAACAAGTGTGGGCTCATGAAAAGCTTTCTGTTTAACCATAACACATTGCTCGTAACGGTCGAATTAACCAAAGAACAGAAACTGAGAATTTCATATTTGTCAATCACATAGTTTTCTGTTTTCCAAATTTCCACAAATCAAGAAAAATGGAGGAAGAAATCGAAACCTTATGATAGAAAACAATGGGGAGGAAGATGACAAAAGGAACATGTTTGCATTGGCAAACTTTTATTACAAGAGTGCTAATTTTCTCATTTAGGCAACGTCTCAGCCTCTTTTTTCTCTACAAGTTTGATGAAGTTGCGGACGATTGTCTTGCCTTCAGTTGTTATAATACTCTCTGGATGAAACTGAACTCCCTGTGAAACCAATTTTCACAAGACTCTTTAAGGATAATGGAGAGGAGGCAAAGAAGAAACATGAAACAGTTTTGAGTGAGTGTGTTTTTTTTTTTTTTTACCTGTATATGCTTGTACTTCCTGTGTCGTGCCGCCATAACCAAACCATCGTCTGTCCACGCAGTAACCTCGAGCTCACCACTGGGAAACGTATCCTTCTCGATCACCAGGCTGTGATATCTACCTACAAGAAAAGGGCTGCAAAACACAGACAACAACAAGATTTGTTTTTAGTACACTGTCTCATGATTATGGTATAAAAAAGGGAAGAAGCCCTGAGTCATTACTTTGATAACCCAGAGAACAAGCCTTCTTCTCCTTTCTCATCATAGTGAACCATGGAGCTTTTCCCATGCATAACACCAAATGGTGACCGCACGATCTTCCCTGTAACAAAAGAGTATAAACCATATGTAACAACACTGATATATGAAACTAACTATGTCCTTTTTTTGATGAAGACTAACCTCCAAAGGCTTCTCCTATACACTGCAAACCCATACATACTCCAAATAAAGGAACACGTGGTCCGAGTTCCAACACAGTTTGTAAGGAAATCCCAGAGTCTTGTGGGGTACCTATCAAGCATTCAAGAAATTAACTTGTTCATCTTCCTTTTCAATCTTCCCTGCAAGAATCTTATAAGTATTCAACAGGCTATAATTTTTACCAGGGCCAGGAGAAATCAGCACTCCTCTTGGATTTTTACTGCAAAAAAGAATAATAAATGAATCAACAATCCAATTTGATTAGCAAGACTACGTTTTATAGTTTTCTTATTTACCTTTTGAGCTCCTCTACTGTAAGTTCGTCGTTGCGGTAAACTTCAAAATCACATCCTAGCTCTCCCATATACTGTTGGAATGCAGAAAAACCAAAAACTTGTTTCTCATAATGCATAAGAAACCATATCATGACAAGGGACGGTTAACGACAAATTGAATGACTTTTACACGATTATGTGTGGAGAGATCTACAAGTGAGACATGATCACATTGTATATATATAAGGAATCTATGCATTATGGGAGATATATAGAGCAGTCAAAATTCCACGAGACAGAGATTGGTTAAAAACTACAGGGCAGCACAAAGAAGTGATGTATTAGATTTTACTGGATCAAGAACTACTCCTTACAACGACAAACAGGAGCATTTCTACATACAAAAGAAAAAGAAACACTTTTCTTCAGAGAGAATCATCATCTACATTCCATAGTTTTTTGTGTATTAGCATGTGAAACGAAGATTGGATTGTGAGAAATAACGAGATTTTAACAAAATATTACAACGCATACTTGAATACACATCCCTATAAATTCAAAGACTTGCAATTAGCCAGCAAACTTATCTATTGAGCAAAACCAAAACTTTTAAGATTTCTCCAAATAATCATCATTTCAGCTGATTTTCCCCCAAAAAACAGATTCAAATTCAAAAATCATAAAAGGCTTAGAGGTTAATCAAATCAAATCAAACCTGGCAGAGATTGTAGGTGAAGCTGTCGTAATTATCAATCACAATGATGGGACCATTCTTCTTCTTAGAGGAATTGACAACAACGGAAGCTGTCGAGTTCGATTCCGCCATTTCAATCGAAGCTTTCGCGATTACATCTCTACGACTCTTCCCCAACACCGAAACTCCTATCACAAAGGGAAAAAAAAAACCAAAAGAGATAAGAATCGAAAACCCTTCGATTCGAATTAACGCCTCCTCTCTCTCCGAGATTCAGCGAGACTTACTGGTCGGATTCGGAAGGTGTTTAACGAGACAAGGGTTAAGGCGAGTGGTGGAACCGGACTTGGGTTGAAGAAGACAAGACTTGTACGATGTAGCAGCCGCCATTGTCCGAAATTCAAAGATCCTTCTCTGATTCTCAGAAGAGAGAGGGAGAGGAGTTTATAGGAGAGGAATTGATAGGTAAAGTAACGTTAGCGGTTGTATAAATATGAACCACGTGCTTAATCAGTAGGTGCGTTCTTTGATTATAATTCTGTTTTGGTCAAAGTACAACCATATTTATCTAAATCGGCGTTTAGAATCAGTCTACTCGCAGACGCAGCGTCATATTTTTGACGTATACCCACATGAAATAAGCGATTGATAACCAACGCACTCATATGGAACACAATTAATATACAGTATCAATTCGTTAAAAAGAAGAATGATGAATATAGTCTCCTAATCTAAATCCTTGAATTACATTTTTGATGTGTCCCACTTGTGAAGAATATTGCCGGAGACATCATAAAAAGCGATACTCATATCGGTTCTAGTGATCTTAACCGACATGAAACCTTGTCCATCGTAGAAGAATTTCATGTCCTCTGATGTTGTCCAATTGTAGTAGCCTCTCCATGCCTTCGATCCACTTCCGCTGGTTATAAACTGAATTGGACTGCAAGAAAATAGAATAAATTAGTCCACCTCCTTTTATCTTTCTCTTTGAGTAGCCGTTTCATCTAAATGCAACTTTCGATTCTATATAACAATCGGTGTTACCTCTGAGATGTGCTAATTTGTTGCAAGCAATGATCATGACCGTTCACATAGAGATCAACGTTATTCGCCTGGAAAATCCCAATAATAAAAATGAAATTACATGTTATGATAGCCTTTTCTTTATCTCCCAAACGAAAGTACAACACTTGTTAGTATTTTCAACAAAATTGATTTGTTTTTTTTTGGTTAGTTGACGCAATATAATATAGAATCCACATAACTACTCTAATAAGTAATAAGAAGAAAATGAACCTCAAGGATGGGTAAGAGGAGAGATTCAAGCTCTTTGGTATTCCCATGACTGGAAGCACTCTTGATGGCATGATGACCCACCACAATTTTCCACTTTGCTCTTGATTCTCTTAGACCCATCTCCAAGTCCTACACATTATAGTTAGTCTTAATAAGACTGTACTTTTATGAACGCCATCAGGCAAATCCATATATACAAATTACTACATATATATATATATATATATTATGATTTATGTGTTCTCAAGTACCGTTAAGATTGTTTGAAGATAGCATTCTCGGGGTGATACGCCTCTCCAGTCGTAATCTTGGCCATTTGGATTGAGGAAATAATCATCTACAAAAGGAGTGGTGTCGACAAAGAAGAGCTCTGCAATCTCTGCCCGAATGTTTCAGCCATATATGTATGGTTAGGTAACAAAAAAAAATGTAACATGCATACTAATTAAACACTACATACAGAATGTATGTAATTAATATGACTACATACCAGCGTCTACGATGAAGGATCTCATGCAAATCCAACGGCTGTCTATTGACCTGAGGAGAGGACTCAACTGTGCTTCAACATCTCCTCTATAGTCGTGATTCCCCAATACTGTGTAGAATGGACAGTGACATATCTATTATTCTCTATTTTTTTTTTTTTTTTTTTTTTTCCGTTTTAGCATTAGTTACATTTAAATTATTGTAATTTTTAGTGATAGGAGACATTATTACCTAGGTACCAAGGCTTTTGCAAGCTAGGAGAAGTGTAGATATTAGTAAAGGAGAGCTGGATCGTCGATGCTTTTCAGCCCATTATCGTAGATGTTGTCACCCGTTGATACCACAAAATCGATGTCCAACTTCTCCCCGATTCTTCCCATCTATATGTTAACATCAAAACAATATTCAATATATAAAAAAATGTGTATATATGTAGACATCTACTACGTGTGGATAAAGACCTGGAGAGCAACTTGGGACTGGTTGTAGAGTCCACGTCTTCCCCAATCTCCAATGACTAGAAAAGTGACCGACCCATCAGACTTTGGAGCTTGTTCGACCGTTGTGAGGTTGGCCTCGAGTTTTGGAGCCAGTGAAAAAATCAAAGTTATTACAATGCTCAAGGAGACGATTCCAAACTTAGAATCCATTATCTTCTCTTTTGTTTAAAGAGTTTTATGTGATAAACAACAGCATATATATATATATATATTTATACAAGTAATAACACACGAAAAGAAAGAGGAAAAGTTCAATACTTTCTAAATATGTGATCTTACATTTTTATAATTGTGTACACATTTAATGATAGTTATATATATTTTATATTTTAGTGATAAACTTATGAATAATTTACATTTTTGGTGGTAAACCTATGGATAACCCATTACCTAATGGATGGGTAATGGGTTAATCCAGTGACGGAGGTAGAAAATAATTTTGTTGGATTCAAGATTAGAATTGCCAAAAACAAAGGGGGCATTGCTGGATTTGTTTAGAAATAACATGAGATTTTGAGAAAGCATTGGGGGCATATGACCCCATCTTGTTGAACGTGGCTCCGCCACTGGGTTAATCCAATAGTACATTATACTGTCCAATTCAATAAAAAAATATATGATGAATATAGTCTCCTAAACTACAAATATCTTTCGTAATGTCTAACACTAGTAGAGTACCCGCACGTTTGTGCGGTGTGACGTTGTTGTTTTGTGTAGAAAATTTAAACCCTAAATCCGAACCCGACAAAAAACCCTAATCAAAAAATTTAAAAACCCAAACTTTTTTAATAGGTCTAAACATGAAAATCCGAAATCAAAAAAATCCCGAAAACCCTGACTGAACAAAAAAAATCTGGAAACTTTTTCACCCGGAACCCGACCCCAATACCTAATCAAAATTTTAAAATACTCAATTTTTTTAATATATCTAAACCCGAAAACCAGAAATCTAAAAAATCCGGAAAACCCTAAACTGAAAAAAAAATTGAACCTAACCCGAACAGAAATTTTCAAAGAAACCCGAACAATTTCTATATCTCTATAAAATTATGTCTCAGATTTTCACCCAAACCCGAACTTGTCTATAAAAACCCGAAAATCCAAAAAGCATATTCTATTGATTTGGAATTATCGTTAGATTATGTTAAGTTTTTTTTTTGCAGATTTTTAAGAGATGGAAAACGGAAGTTTTCTAAACCATCGGTTTATTTTAAGTTATTATTCTTGTATCCAAACAATTTTTTCCATTTATTCTTCTATCCAAATAGATTTTTCTCTTATTCTTATATCCAAACAACTTTTGTTTCCATTTATTCTTCTATCCAAATAGATGTTTCTCTAATTCTTGTATCCAAACATTAGAATGTACTTCTCAATTAATAATATAAAAATTGTATTACTTTACCAAGCATGGTCAGTTTGCGTTTTATTTGCTTTGATATTAATAGATCATAAGACGAATATCATGTCTCATACGCCTCAGATAAACATGTGACCACTTCAGATCACGTATCAGTTTTCAACATTTTTGCATGGACTTCATGTGTTCCCTCATACTATTCGTTTTTTTTGTTGTTGAAAAAATTTGGAGTCACTTATTAAAAATAATACATTATGTAAAATCTAGTGTTTTAATTGTCTTTTCACGTGACTTGCAACGAATTACAATGGGAAATCTAAATCGATGTATAACATTTTTGATGTTTCCCACTTGTGAAGAATATTGCCGGTGACATCATAGAAAACGATACCCATTTCGGTTCTCGTGATCTTAACCGACATAAAACCTTGTCCATCGTAGAAAAATTTCATATCCTCTGGTGTTGTCCAATTGTAATAGCCTCTCCATGCCTTTGATCCACCTCCACTCGTTATAAACTGAATTGGACTGCAGCAAAAAATATATATAGTTTAATCCACACCTCTTCTCTTTCACTACCCGTTTCATCTAAATGAAACTTTAGATTCTATATAACAATTGGTTTTACCTCTGAGATGTGCTAATTTGTTGCAAGCAATGATCATGACCGTTCACATAGAGATCAACGTTATTCGCCTGAAAAAATCCAAAAATAAAATAAATTTATCTCCTATAAAGCGTTACCTTTTTTTTTCCCAAACGAAATTACAACATTTAGTATAATCTGTTAGTTGTTTCAACAAAATTGAAATGTCAAGTCGTTTGTGTTTGTGTTTGTTTCTTAGCAAAATCGTTTTATGAAAAACTTAATGTTTAAATTTTAATAAAAGAAATATATAAGTATAAATATAAATATATCTAGAAAATAAAAATCTACATAAGTACTCCAATAAGAAGAAAATGAACCTCAAGGATGGGTAAAATGAGAGTTTCAAGCTCTTTGGTATTTCCATGAATGGAAGCACTCTTGATGGCATGATGACCCACCACAATTTTCCACTTTGCTCTTGATTCTCTTAGACCCATCTCCAAATCCTACACATTATAGTTAGTCTTAGAGCATGTCTAGCCCTAATACTCTAAATTGAGTCTCAGTTGCATTTTAAATTAATATATATATATTTTTTAAATTTAAATTTAAAATAAATAAAAATGTAACTAATCACAGACTGCCATCTCTTTTTTAATCTCTCAGATTTGCTGAGACAGTCTCTTTAATAATATACGTCTTACGTTCTCTCTCTTTTTCCCCTTTTTTTCTTCTTTTTTATTTTTCTTTAATTATAAAAGATCAGATAGATCTCTCTTATGATCGCCATCAGGCTTATTACTACATATATTATGATTTATGTGTTATCAGTCTCAAGTACCGTTAAGATTGTTTGAAGATAGGATTCTCGCGGTGATACGCCTCTCCAGTCGTAATATTGGCCATTTGGATTGAGGAAATAATCATCTACAAAAGGAGTGGTGTCGACAAAGAAGATCTCTGCAATCTCTGCCAGAATTTTTGAGCCATACATGTATGATTAGGTAACACAAACATGTAACATGCATATTTAACACTACATATGTATCTAATTAATATGAGTGTATATATACCAGCGTCTACGATGAAGGATCTCATGCAAATCCAACGGCTGTCTATTGACCTGAGGAGAGGACTCAACTGTGCTTCAACATCTCCTCTATAGTCGTGATTCCCCAAAACTGAGTATAATGGTCAGTGACATCTATTAGTCTCTTTTTCCGTTTTACCATTAGTTTTTTTTTTATAGTATTAAAAATTTAAAATAGGCCAAAAGAAAAAATCATATCTATGTGGCCAAGTAGAAATATTTAATAATTCCATGTTTGAGGAGAATCCATCATTGATCTAGACCAATATGGCAACTCCTCATCCCTCAAGTGGGAACCACTAGACCATCACCAATTGGTTACAGTGACATCTATTGTTCTCGCTTTAGCATTAGTTACATTTGAGTTATTGTAATTTCTAATGATTGGGGACATTATTACCAAGGTACCAAGGCTTTTGCAAGCTAGGAGAAGTGTAGATATTAGTAAAGGAGATTTGAAAGGCTGGATCGTCGATGCTTTTCATCCCATTATCGTAGATGTTATCGCCCGTTGATACCACAAAATCGATGTCCAACTTCTCCCCGATTCTTCCCATCTATGTGTTAACATCACGACAATATTCAATATATAACATGCAAATGTGTATATATAGTTCGTGTGGATAAAGACCTGGAGAGCAACTTGGGACTGGTTGTAGAGTCCACGTCTTCCCCAATCTCCAATGACCAGAAAAGTGACCGACCCATCAGAGTTTGGAGCTTGTTCGACCGTTGTGAGCTCGGCCTGGTGTTTTGGAGCCAAAGAGAGAATCAAAGTCACTACAATGCTCAAGGAGACGATTGCAAACTTAGAACCCATTCTCTTTTCTTTTGTTTATGTGATAAAAAGAAACATATATATATATAAGTCGACTGTGCATGTGAGTCCTAGTGGTTTCTCGCTTGTAAATAACATTTAGATAGTAGCTTCCACATGGTGGGCCAAACAAAGCTATGTATGATTAATCATAAGCTCTATATCATCTTTAGATAGCTTTATTTGAAATTAGTTCCCCCTCAAACAATTATATACAAATATTACATGTTTTGCTTTTTATCTCACCGTCACATGTATGATGTCACGTGAATCATACAACACCAAAATCTTTGAATTATTAGGAAGCATGTGATTGATTTTTAAATGCGAAGAAATCGTTTTATATTTGAGTGGTGAGTATGTAGATATGATCCATTTTGGATAGAAAAAAGGTTTATAATAGATCAGAAGACAAATTTTGCCCATACGCAATCAAGTTTTTGCTGTTCTCCGAAACAGCTCCGCGCAAATGCCAACTACTCGTAAGTGATGTACACAAATCAAATTCTCTACCAAAAGCAAAACAACAAAAATATATGCATCTACCATGCCATTTATAATCTTTATAGAACTGTTATATCCAATAAATTTGTTCAATTTTTTATTTCCAAATATAATTATATAACCAAAATAAGTAAATGTTACAAAAATTTACATAACCTAAATGGAAATACCACATAGTCTATGAGTTAGACCTCGTTTGTATCGGAAAAAATGGAATGAGTCAATATCACATAAGGAGACCTTCTAGATAGTCCAGCAGGTTTACCTACTGACTCAGAGAGTAAGTCGGTGGATGGTCTATTACTAATTTACTACCCTAGTCTTCGGCCAAAAGGATTATAGTCGAATATTAGAAATGGATGCGTGTTATAAATAAACTAAAACTGTACCACTATATTTGATATAGTGGATGATTAAGTTTAAGTAATAAAGAAGAAGAAGGAGGTGTGATAGAGAGAGAGAGTTACATATGTAGGTGAGAAGGAGATGGAGAGAGATAGTTGTACGTGGAGGAAGAAGAGAGAATTATAGAGTGAATTTCTTTCTATTGAACTTTCTGTTTTGTATTAACTTAACTTAATACAAGCATCGAACTCTCTATTTATAGAGGACTAAAATATTAAACTATGACAAGTCGGTAACTTTGAAGTCGATAAGATAAACTTAGTGTAGAAGTAAATATTAAATATTCATAGGGATAATTATCCTTTCTAACACTCCCCTTAATTATCCGCTGTATTATGTACGGTCTCGTTAAAAAACCTATGTCATAGAAAAACCCAATGGGATAAAAACTATGACTTAGGAAAAAGAGTACCGTAGCATAATCTCCCCTGGAAAAGATAAATCTTTTCTTTTCACAAGTTTTGTAGACGACGCATTCCGATACTGTGAACATGCTTCTTGAACACTGTAGTAGGAAGCGCCTTTGTAAAAAGATCGGCTGCATTGTCACTTGAACGAACATACTCGATGTCCACTTCTTGATTTTTCTGGAGTTCTTGAGTGTATGAGAAAAATCTTGGAGGAATATGCTTCGTTCTGTCACTCTTGATATAACCTTCTTTGAGTTGTGTGACACATGCAGAATTGTCTTCAAATATTTTTGTTGGCTCTTTCTCTGTGACTATTCCACTTGATTCTTGTATGTGATGAGTCATAGACCGGAGCCACACACACTCTCTACATGCTTCATGGAGAGCAATAGTTTCTGCATAATTTGAAGACGTTGCAACCAAAGTTTGCTTTTGCGAACGCCAGGAGACCGCGGTTCCACCAATTGTGAAAACATAACCTGTTTGTGATCTAGCTTTGTGTGGATCTGATAGATATCCTGCATCAGCAAAACCAACTAAAACACATTTTGAGTTTTTAGGATAAAATAATCCTAAATCAATTGATCCTTGAAGATAACGAAAAATATGTTTTATTCCATTCCAATGTCTGCGCGTAGGGGACGAACTATATCTTGCAAGCAGATTAGTAGCGAATGCTATATCTGGTCTAGTGCAATTTGCAAGATACATTAGTCCACCAATAGCGCTCATGTAAGGTACTTCAGGACCTAACACTTCCTCGTTATCCTCACAAGGACGGAATGGATCCTTTTCAACATCAAGAGATCTATTAACCATTGGAGTACTCAAAGGAGTTGCTTTGTCCATATAAAAGCGTTTTAACACTCTTTTAGTGTAATTTGACTGATGCACAAATATACCATCTTGGAAATGCTCTATCTGGAGCCCAAGACAAAACTTTGTCTTTCCAAGATCTTTCATTTCAAACTCTTCTTTCATATGAGTTCTTGCATCATCAATTTCCTTTTGAGTTCCAATCATGTTCAGGTCATCTACATATACAGCAATAATCACAAATCCTGACGAGGATTTCTTAATGAATACGCAAGGGCATATCGCATTGTTGACGTAATCTTTACTCAACAAATATTCACTTAAGCGATTATACCACATGCGTCCGGACTGTTTTAGTCCATAAAGTGATCGCTGTAATCTGACCGAACAGATCTCCTTAGCCTTTGATTTCAAATCCTCAGGCATTTTTAATCCTTCTGGGATTTTCATATATATCTCATTTTCAAGAGATCCATATAGATATGCTGTCACAACATCCATGAGATACATTTCAAGATTTTGAGACGCTGCTAAGCTCATCAAAAATCTGAATGTTATGGCATCCATTACGGGGAATATGTTTCTTCATAATCAATTCCCGGTCTTTGAGAAAAACCTTGAGCCACAAGTCGGGCTTTATATCTTGTGACCTCATTTTTCTCATTTCTTTTTCTTACAAAAACCCATTTGTGCCCGACGGGTTTTGTATTCTCAGGAGTTGTGACAATAGGTCCAAAAACACTTCTTTTATTGAGGGAGAGTAATTCAGCTTGGATGGCCATTTTCCATTTCTCCCAATCAGGTCTTTTCAGACACTCTGATATTGTTTCTGGATCTGGATCATCACTTTCATGATCAATTCTTTGTATACAGAAAAAGAGAATATTCCATCATCATCTTCTATTTCATTTCTTGTCCATACTTTTCCATTTTGGGCGAAGTTGATGGAAATCTCAAATTTTTCTGTATCATGTTCGTCTTCTGGACGAATCTCTTTCTCTGGTTCTTCAAAAACCAGTTTGTTTATGTCTTCAGGACATATTTCTTTACTAGGTTCTTCTTGAACCTTTTCTCCCAAATTCTTTTTCTTTCGGGGATTTTTATCTTTAGAGCCCATCGGCCTCCCCCTCTTTAATTGGACTTTGGGTGCATTTGCTATGCTTCCATCATTTTGTTCCTTAGAACATCTATCTTTGATGGAACGTTTGCAGCGGGTATATATGATTTCGTCACTCTTTTTGTATCTGTGAACGAATCTGGTAATTGATTTGCCATATTTTGTAAATGTATAATTTTCTGAACTTCCAATTCGCGTTGTTTTGTCGGGGGATCAAAGTGTACAAATTCGGTGTACACCATGTGAGGTCTTTTGGAACCTCTTTAATTCCTCCCCCTAACGCTGGAAATTCATCTTCATTAAAATGGCAATCGGCAAAACGTGCCGTAAACATATCACCAGTTTGAGGTTCAAGATACCGAATAATACTCGGTGACGTATACCCAACGTATATTCCCAATCTCCTTTGTGGCCCCATTTTTGTTCTTTGTGGCGGTGCTATCGGAACATAAACCGCACAACCAAAAACACGGAGATGGGATACGTTTGGCTCCTGACCAGATGCTAATTGTAATGGGGAATATATATTATAAGCACTTGGTCGTATTTGGAGCAACGCTGCAGCATGCAAAATAGCATGACCCCATATTGAAATTGGGAGTTTTGTTCTCATTATTAACGGTCTTGCAATCAGTTGCAACCGTTTAATCAAAGACTCAGCCATGCCATTTTGTGTATGGACATGTGGAACCGGATGCTCAACATCGATTCCCAATGACATGCAATAGTCATTAAAGGCTGTGAAGTGAATTCACCAGCGTTATCTAATCTCACTTTCTTAATAGTATAATCAGGGAATTGTGCTCTCAACCTGATTATTTGGGCAATGAATCTTGCGAAAGCCGTATTTCGTGTTGTCAAAAGACACACATGTGACCATCTACTTGATGCGTCAATTAATACCATAAAGTATTGAAACGGTCCGCATGGTGGGTGAATAGGCCCACATATATCACCGTGTATTCTCTCTAAGAACACAGGGATTCATTCCCAACTTTCGCTGGTGATGGCCGAGTTATGAGTTTTCCTTGAGAACATGCATTACATATGAACTCGCCCGTTTCTAAAATTTTCCCGTATTTCAACGGATGGCCATTTGAGTTTTGCACAATTTTTCTCATCATGACTGAACCTGGATGCCCTAGCCTTTCATGCCAGATTTTGAATGTACTAGTAAACTTCGGGTTTACTGTAACATATGATTCAGTCAGAGTAATATTTGTGCAATATAATCCGGAGGACACATTTTCAATTCTTCCAATATTTGTCCCTCCGATTTGATGCAAAGGATTTCAATGCCATTCTTATTTATAGTCTCTATGTGATATCCATTTTTACGGATATCTTTGAAACTTAATAAGTTTCTGTAAGACTTCGGGGAATATAATGCATCATTTATTTCAAACTTTGTTCCCCTTGGCATTGAAAAATTGGCTCTTCCAGAGCCCAATATTATTTTTGCACCACCAGAAATGGTATTCACGCTTTCAACGGAATCTTTAATTTTGAGACCGGAGAAATATCTTTTATCTTTGAGTATTGTGTGCGTTGTAGCACTGTCTGCAAGACACATATCTCCATCACGAGTCTCAAATTTCGTCATTTCTGGATTTAACAAAGATGCATTAATAAGTATTAAACAATACAAAGCTTATATCACAAGATACAAAATACCACATTAAAAACTATTTTACAACAAAAAGATCAAACTTTTAGGTTATCTTATTCAGGAAGATAACTATGTATATCATGTCCTTTTAGTCGTCTGTTTTTCCGTTGATCTCTTCGGAGTCAACCAGAAAATCTGAAACATCAAGATGAGTATCATCGTTTAGGCCGTGAAAGGAAGGACCGGGTTCATTGGAGATGAAGTTAGTCTCACTTTCTTTCTCCTTTGCTTTTTGTGATTCCCGGTACAGATCGGCTAAGTGTCTGGGTGTACGACAAGTACGCTCCCAGTGATTTTTCATGCCGCATCTGTAGCAAACACTTTCTTTTTGCTTTTTAGAATCTCGGCCGTAATCATTTGCTCGAGATCTTTTATATTCCTTTCATTGTTGGACTCGTCGGGACGGTACTCTTTTCCTTGTCCCCGACCACGTCCACGGCCACGGCCACGACCTCGGTTTCGACCATATCCACGTCCACGTCCTCGTCCATTATTTTGGCTGGACGATGCTACATTCGCTTCTGGGAATGGAGCAGCTCCAGTGGGACGAGTCTGATGGTTCATCATCACAAGCTCGTTATTCTGTTCTGCAACAAGGAGAACTTCCATTCAATTTTGAATAACGAGTATAGCCATTTGCCCGATATTGTTGTTGCAGGACTATATTTCCAGGGTGAAATGTGGAGAGCGTTTTTTCAATCATATCATAATCGCTCACATTTTCTCCACATAGCACCATTTGGAAATTATTCTGAACATAGCAGAATTATATTCAACAACACTTTTATAGTCCTGAAATCGGAGGTGTAGCCACTGGTATTTGGCTTTGGGCAAATCTATATATTTTTGATGGTCAAATCTTTCTTTCAAAGATTGCCAAAGATCCGCAGGATCTTCTTTAGTGATGTATTCATCTTTTAAACCATCGTGGATGTGATGAAGTAAAAGATCATGGCTTTCGCCTTTTTCTCATCGGATGTTTCTTTCGACTTGTCAATGGCATCAAGAAGCCCATTTCCTTTTAGATGCATTTTTGCACCTATTGCCCATGTCATATAATTGTTTCCAGAAATATCAAGGGCGGAAATTTCGAGCTTAGCCAAATTTGACATGATATCTGCATAGATCATATCAGTTCATTAATTAAATCAATTAAATTCAAATTTGCGTAATAAAAATTTGAGCATTATAACAGCATAAATTTAGTAAAAATAAGGTGCTGAATTTAAATTGCAAGAAAGTAAATAGCAGAAATTTAAATGGCAGAAAGTAAATAGCGAAAAAGTAAATTACAGAAAAGTAAATATTCAGGAGGAGGCAAAGTCTCAACTCCAAGAGGAGGTTTTTACCATCAACTCTTATATGATCTAAGGTGACATAGTCTACCATATGATCATTTGCTCGGAGTAGGTACAACCTAGCATCCCGGCATACATATAAAAAAAATGACAGAATATAAGAGCAGTTCGTGCTGATAACGTGTTATAAATAAACTAAACTGTACCACTATATTTGATATAGTGGATGATTAAGTTTAATAATAAAGAAGAAGAAGAAGGAGGTGTGATAGAGAGAGAGAGTTACATATGTAGGTGAGAAGAGATGGAGAGAGATAGGTTGTACGTGGAGGAAGAAGAGAGAATTATAGAGTGAATTTCTTTCTATTGAACTTTCTGTTTTGTATTAAACTTAACTTAATAACAAGCATCGAACTCTCTATTTATAGAGGGACTAAAATATTAAACTATGACAAGTCGGTAACTTTGAAGTCGATAAGATAAACTTAATGTAGAAATAAATACTTAAATATTCATAGGGGATAATTATCCTTTTCAACAGCGGTGACTTTTGGAATCATAGTCGGAATTATCATCCTCTTCTTCTGCATCGTCTGCTTTATCACCATTGAGGGCACTTGCAAGCGCCGCTCTTCATCAAGATGAGATGCTTTTTTTCAATTTTTTTTTCTAGCTAAGAAAAACTGCTTAACTTTTCTTATAATTAATTTCTTACTAGTTCCGTGTCTAGTAACCGTGATGGCTCTATGTTTCGCTGACTGAAATTTATTTGGTATTTTGTTTATTTACTAATTCTTTGATGAAGAGATGTATATCTATTTCGGCTTCAATTATTGTTACTAATTTTGTGTGGAAAAATTCTGTTATTTTAAAAGGTTACAATTTGTTACTATTATTCAATCGCAGTAACCGGAAGATTTTATATTGCCTATCTTACATTTCTGCTCATTTATATGAGAAGCTTTGGATGGATCTTTCCGTAAGGTGAGTGCGTTATCATACAATCTTGTTTCATCATGATGTTGCAGAACTTATATGTACGACGTCATATGAATATGTGTGTTATCATAATCTTGTTTAATTTCTGTCTTAAGAGGTTTAATTAGCATTTGAATTTTGTAATTTGTAGATTTGAAATCTATGCTTCTATTGTATGCACACATCTATTCTTTGAATCTGTATTTGAAGCCAACACTTACCCAAACTCGAGATGGCTTTCGTTTTGTGAAACTAGTGAGAGTAGGCGTGATGGTAACAAAAGTTTTGTAACAAAACCACTCTTCTTCAACACTTGTAGAATACTTTTACTTGTAAGATGTTTCTAGTTTCAGTTCTTAATTAAAGTGGAGTATATCATGATAAGATAAAATATAACAAGGTGATGAAACCGTGTCTTGACGCCGACGTGCCCAAAACTAAGCAAAAACGTGTAGCGAACCACACGTGCCAGCTTCTGTTTCTAGACTTGTTGTCAATTAAAAAACAAACGAAAAACCGGTTACAACGGTCAAAAGCAAGGGTGGCAAAAAGAAACAAAACTTAAAATAGAGACAAAAGAAAGGTTTGGTCTGAGAAAAAAAATAGAAGAGAAGAAAGGACAAAGAAGAAGAAGGAGGAGGAGGAGGCTGATGATGAAGCTATGGAAACGGGCTTCCGGTGCTATCAAAGACCGGAAAACCTTGTTTTCCATCGGCTTCTCCCGGAAAACCTCCTTCCGGAACCCTGACCTTGATTCCGCCATCATCCACGCAACCTCTCACGATGACTCATCCGTCGATTACCACAACGCTCACCGAGTCTACAAATGGATCCGCTCCTCTCCCTCTAACCTCAAGCCATTTGTCCACGCGCTCTCCTCTCGTGTTAACCGCACAAGAAGCTGGATCGTCGCCTTGAAAACCCTAATGCTCGTCCACGGTGTCCTCTGCTGCAAAGTCCCTTCCCTTCAGGAGATTCGTCGCCTCCCATTCGACCTCTCCGATTTCTCCGACGGCCATTCCCGTCCCAGCAAGACTTGGGGTTTCAACGCTTTTGTCCGAGCCTATTTCTCGTTTCTTGACCAATACTCTTTCTTTTTGTCCGACCAAATCCGTCGCCGCCACAAAAAGCCTCAAGCAGATTCGGTTAACCAAGAACTCGAGAGGATCCAGAAACTTCAGTCTCTCCTCCATATGCTTCTCCAAATCCGTCCGATGGCTGATAACATGAAGAAGACGCTTATCCTTGAAGCCATGGACTGCGTTGTGATGGAGATCTTCGACGTTTATGGAAGAATCTGCAGTGCCATCGCCAAGCTTCTTATCAAGATCCATCCAGCTGCTGGAAAAGCAGAAGCCGTGATGGCTCTCAAGATCGTAAAGAAGGCTACATCTCAAGGAGAAGATCTCGCTCTCTACTTTGAGTTCTGCAAAGAATTTGGGGTCTCAAACGCGCATGAGATCCCTAAATTCGTCAGAATCCCGGAAGAAGACATTCAAGCAATCGAGAATGTCATCAATGGAGTCGACGTAAAAGAGGAGACAAAGGAGATGGAGGAGGAAGTAGAGGAAGAAAAGGGTATCATATTAGTGGAGAGGCCGGAGTTGAAGACAATCATAACCGATAAATGGGAAGTTTTCGAAGACGACTATTTTTTAACAAGTCATGAGATTAAAGAAGCTGATCAGCATAGAAAGTACGACGTGGATCCGAGTCCGCTGCCTCTTATAGTTATCGACGAGCCAGTTTACTTCACTCACACGTTACCAGATTTGATTACCTTCTAATTGCAACTTGGTCAGTTTTTTTTGTTTATATTATTGTCTTTTGGTTCTCTTCTGTTTTTTTTTTCCTTTCTTGTGTTGAGTATGCGAATGGTAATAAACGTTGGTTAGATATAATCTCAAGCTTTCCACGATTTTATTTAGTACGCATATTCTTTTTTAATCTTATGAGGGTGATCGGATGCTCCCGAGGAGGCGAGGAGTGATGTAGGAGATATTTTGGAGATTTTCACAAATTTCCTTTTTCTTAATTATGTTTTTCCTTTTGGGTTTTGGATATTTTCTAGGGTTTTGTTTTCCTATATAAACACTTTTAAGTTGTAGCCATGAAGGCATATCATATCTTATTATTCTAATTAATCAAAGCAGAGAGCTTTTCTCTAATCTGGTGGATTTCCAGAGTTTTCTCTTCAAGTTCATGCTTGTGAACTTGAATTCAATCTAGGTTTAGTGCTTGCTATTCCTAGGGTTTTCCGACTGCGTCAAGTGGTATCAGAGCAGGCTTTCTCCTGTCTCTTTTTCGAGCTTGAACAGCTATGGGAGATCAACCATTGACCAAAGCAGATTTTCAGGGTTTTACCGTGGCTCTAACCTCGGCCCTAACTGCTTTGACTAATCAGATGAAAGTTTTAACCAATCAGACGGAAGCTTTAACCAACAAGGTTATCAAAGCCGGACAAAGAGAAAGGAGAGGAGAACGAATTAGGGTTCTACATGTTCAAGACAATAGTGTCGAATTTAGCAATCACATGAACATGCTAATCGATAGATTGAAGATAGCCGGCAAAAGTCAGAAAATAGACAAAGAAGGAGATTCAATTAGGGTTCCAAGAGATGAAAACAATTGTGTTGTTGTTATTGAAAACCCTAGTTCTCTTGAAGAAGACTTTGTAGAGAAAGAGATTGATCAACAGAATCTGCATGATAATAATGCTTTTCACACTAAGGCAGATATTTCATTATCCTATGAAATCCCAGAAGTGGAGAAGACAGAAGTTCCAGAAGGAGTGCTAGTGATCTACAAAGATTTTAAGAAACTGATTGCAGATGAACAAGGGAAGAAAAAGATTGATGTTGGCAAGCAGAAGGGAACCAAAGTTTTCAAAGAGGATGATGATTTAATTGTGTTCCTCCATAACAAGAAGTTTCAAGTTGTTACATACAACAAAGCACAACCTAGCAACTATGGTCAGCCTTTTAAAGAAGATGTGATTATTTATCCAGAAAAGAATTTGAGGAATAATAAGCTCCAACCTAGCAAATATGGTCCTTTCAAGGTGTTGCGGAAAATCAATGATGATGTTTATGTAGTGGCTCTCCAGTTTCTAAGACTTTCAATGTGGTTGGCATTCATGAGTACCATTCATATGAGATTCTTAATCTAGAAGAGAACTCGAGGTCGAGTTCTTTAGAGGTGGAGGAGACTGATGTAGGAGATATTTTGGAGATTTTCACAAATTTCCTTTTTCTCTAATTATGTTTTTCCTTTTGGGTTTTGGATATTTTCTAGGGTTTTGTTTTCCTATATAAACACTTTTAAGTTGTAGCCATGAGGCATATCATATCTTATTATTCTAATTAATCAAAGCAGAGAGCTTTTCTCTAATCTGGTGGATTTCCAGAGTTTTCTCTTCAAGTTCATGCTTGTGAACTTGAATTCAATCTAGGTTTAGTGCTTGCTATTCCTAGGGTTTTCCGACTGCGTCAAGGAGTGAAAGAGAAATCTGATCTTCAATTGGAAAGACTTGATCGTTGGAACAGATCACGTGGCCTTGATGGGATTTAATTACTGGATATTTGAGTAACTAATGATCCATGTTTACTAGATTCTTAGCTATATGATCATGGTTGGTTATGCAAAGTAGCATTTCCGAGTTCCATGAACCAAGTAGGAAAATATCTCGAGCTTTAGCTCGGGCTTATGATCGATGGGTTTGACATGGAGAAGGCTGTGGACCTTGGATCATGAATGTATAAGAAGATGGTTCAACAGAAAATGTATAAGAAGATGGTATTATTTTTTTTGTATTTGTGTAATTTATTTTTTGTCGCTTGTATTTGTGTTAGTTATTAAACACTTTTCAGATTATTTATACTTATGAGTTATGAGCCTCTTCACAATTTGCATGGTGGGTACTTTATTGTCTTTGATTTGGTAATAGAAAGTTAATCATTTTAACTTGACTTCTTTGATATGAAATGTTTGTAAATTTGATTTGAAATGAAAGCAATAACGTAGATGAGAAGTCGCTATCGTTCATAAGAATTGGTATGGCCAAAGCAAAGACTTTTAGGATGGTCATAAATTTTTTAGGACTAGTACTTTCTTACTAATAATTCTAGACCCCAACCAAAATTACTAAACGTATCACAAATTAAAAGACTAAAAACGTTGTACAACTAATCTATTTTTTAGAAGTAGATTATTCTGGTTTGTCCTAATTGTGATGCAATAAGTTGGAAAAGAAATTCCAAGAACTCAATTTAGGTCTTTTTAGTTATGAATAAAATCAACTGAAAACCATTACGGATCTCCAAAAGATGTTGTAAGTATGTCTTACTATACCAAAACTTGGTCGTTTGACTCGTGTCTATCGTAAATCTGCCTAAATAAAGACAGAACAAATCTGCCTAAATTAAGGCAGATATAAGCAACTATCTTGTGTGTTGTAGCCATAACACATTTAAAAGACACTTATAGAGTGTGCCCAAGTCATAATCGATGCCGAAAGTATATCATATTTGGTGTTAGTACGTCTTAGCCATAGCCATAGCCGTAGGCCCATAGCCCATAGTAGAGACTAGAGTACACAAAACTTCTCTCTAAGCTACACTAGTCTTATTAGACTTTTATATTAAGTTTGTCTAAGGTAGTAGACTTGCTATAAATGTGACATAAGTGTGTCATTATAAACATGAGGAGAAGAGAGTAGATCTGGATTTGAGGATAGTAACGTCGACGAGAGAGTAGGGTTAAAGGCGCTTGCCCGCCCATGTGGGCATGAGATATCTAAAGCTTTCTATGAAGATTACGACCGACTAAGACTCTAAGAGACAATGTCAGTTTTATATATTTATATGTAAAACCTTTTTTGTTACTTTATGGGCTGTCAAGAGAACTTTTTATCTCCTCCATTGTTACTCCTTCAAAAGCAAAAAGCCGATGGGGGCCAAGTCTCATGTTACATGACTCCTCGTCGTTAAGTATAAGCTAAATTAGATAAGTTAATTTTACATTAAATGCAAAAAAAAAGTTAGATAAGTTAACAGTGATAGTACTTATTTAGTTATTTTGTGTACTTGTCTCTTTTCATCGATTGACGCAATTTGTACCTCACATTTAATTAGAACAAGTCACGAATGTAATACTTTTACTTTTGCTATTCATTGTTACTTTCCGTAGGCAATATGTAGGGATGTTTCAGATTTTTGTAGAGACTTTGTGTCAATATGAAGACCAGACTTCAATATGTTGGTATAATTTGTTTTGTGAAAGGACGATGAATTTAACGAATATAATTCTTGAGGGTTCAGTCCTCGAAAAAGTCTCAGAAGAAATGTCTTATGTTCAATTTCAAATGGTATATTATTAAAAGCAGTTATACATAAACATAAGTATGAAACAAATGAAAAATAATGATACAGAAATGCGAGCATTCGAAGCATTGTTTATAATTGTTACGGTAAGAATACATAACTCTCCGATTCATTTTGGGATTATTATTACTAAACTGTTACAAAACAATCTCCCTTAATCTACATAAATTATTAGCAAATCGTGTTGGGATTCGAAACTCAGACTTATGTTTAGAAGCGTTGATTCTCTTCAACAACCACTAGACTAAAGGATTCCACAACATAACATAACAATTTCATAGTACCTAAAATTCAGCAACAAATCTCCTGGCTTCTAAAGCAGCATTTTGGCTCTATCGTGACACTTAAAAACCAGTCCAAACTCCGTCTAAAAAACTGATATGATGGCACCACATTGTATAGATTCCGTTTTACGTTCCTCACCCACACAGACACAAGACATGAGTTTATTGATTATGAGCACACAACACACGTAATAATAAGTAATGATTTTTCCGACTTCCAAAACAAAAACTCTCATGACCCCTTTATATACACATATATAGTACCAGGCTACCAGCTAGCCATAGCAATTATAAACTAGTAGTATCTCATAGTGTGCATCATTAGTACTTGTGAGAATAGTGAAGTTTCAATTCAAAATTAATCGATACGGATTGGTGTATGTTATTATACTAATCAATGTTAACCCTTTCTCAATTCTAATATAGGATCTCTAACAAGATGTTCTTTTTGTACTGATTGTTTCTTTCTTTCTCATTGATTATACTAGGTCTTGCGCGGGCCTTGTTTGCGATAGTTTTATCATATTTGAATTATGATGGTTTTGTATTAACTTTCATGTTTTTGGTATGCTTTGAGTTAACCCAACTACTAACATTAAAAATACGAACAATTTGTCTTTTATTTTATTAGAATGTTAACACCCCCACTTTATCTCGAGTTTCCTATTTCCAAAATTTTAGTATGTTATAAATATTATGTTGCATTTGACTCAACATTAAAATTTGTAAGCATAATGAAAAATCGCATTTGCACCCGAAATAAGATGAAAAAATAATATATATATATTTTTACATATCTACTTTGTTGTGGTAGCATATGAGCCTCATGATCATGACCATTGATTATTTTCTAATATGTTAGTTTTGTAAATATTAATTATATTTTGAAACAAACATATCACAATCTTAAAATTTTCATGTTTTTCACTTCAATTAAATTTATATATAAAAACTCGACTTCTGTTTTTAAAAAACAAACTCTAACTCTAATTTCTCATTGGCTTTTTATTATCTTAATTAATATATATACAATTTTTTAACTTGTAAACACATTATAACATTTTGAAATATAAAAAGGTAAATATATTTCATTTCAAGTTAAATATATTTTTACTGATATTCAATTTTTTGATAACTTTTAACATCAAATTATCACATACTTTAGTAACTTAATTGTGTATTTTTCTTAGTTTTATTTATATTAAAATATAAATATATGCAAAGAAATATGAATAGTCATATATTAAATTTTCTTAAAAACAATTTAATGAAATTTTTTGCTGATGTGGACACTCTTAAAGGAGAGAGTAAGAGCAGATACAACGGAAATACTCTCATAGGCTCTAATAACTCTAGGTTTAAAAAGAAAAAGAAAAAAAGAAAAGAAAAATGAGATGTCAAGAGAAAAGAGGAGAGACGTATGCTCCCATAGAGCCTGAAAAAAACCGTCTCTCAAAATAAGCTTGTCACATGTCAGTTTATAATTCGCCTGTTTATTTATTTCTTATATGCTTTTTTTTAAAAACTTTTTTAATATATTTTGAAGCTTCGGATGGGGCTCTCCATTGTATATGCTCTAACTCTCTAATTATATACTTACTCCGTTTCAAATTAGTTGTCATTTTGGCAAAATGTATCTACAAATATTTGGACGTATCTAGACATGTTTTGCATTACATATATATCTAAATAATTACAGATATATTTTCCCAAAACGACAATTAATTTGAAACGGAGGGAGTATAAGATTTAACTAACAATGTTTTTCCTATTTTATCTGTTTCGATTTAGTGGGCTCTGATAATATGTGCAAAATCGATTACTTTCAATAAATATACCTAATGGTAATAAGTGACTGTCACATATTCTTCAAACATTAACGTTGGTCTCCTTACAGTATTTATTTATAATAACATGACATCCATTATTTTACAGCTTATGGTTTATTTTTTTTACAGGAGCTTTACAGTGTAATCAGTTGCACAAGTGTGTGAGTTGTCGTCTTTTTCAGGAGTTAAATTAATTGATATTTTTCTTGAAAAGAAACTTCAAAATTTTTGTGGAGAATAAGATTTTGTGAAATGAAATAATAATGACTTCGATTTGTTTTGTTGTGAAAGGGGATGTTCTTTTGTTTCTTCTCTAAATATCTGTGGGCTCTTAAGTTTCAACCCCGTTTCCATTAGGTCACATGTATGTATGTGTATGCATTATGCATATACACACATATACATATATAGAGAGAGAAAGAGAGGGAGAAACAAAAAAAAAAGAGAGAAAGACGATGATGAGTGTTTGTAAAGTAGAAGATTAAACAATCAAAGACCATACGATGCCTTCTCCAGGTAAGGTGCGAGCGAGGTCAATGAAACAATTAACAAAAAGAAGAAACTTTTTTAACCATGAAAATTAAAAGAGGAGAGTAAAGGGAAAAGATAAAACTTTTAGGCCTCAAAAAAGAGAGCTGAAACAAAAGTTGGTTTCAGAAAGAAAAACCCTTTGTTTCTCCCTCTTAACTCATCTCTCTTTCTTCCTCTATTAGTAAAGCTGAGACAAGCACTATCCACCAAATAAAAGAAGAAAAGAAGAAAAATCTCTAATCTCCCACATGAAAAAACAAAAGATTCTTCAAATTTGCTTTTCTTTTTCAGTAGTGACACAGTAATATGTACACTTCCTCCAATACCACACGGTAATATGTACAAATCGCATCCGATGATAGATTACGAGAAAAACATCAACCATCGGAACTTTCCCTCTTCATCTTCATCCGATCTTCTTCTTGCCATCAATGGAGGAGCCTCAGTGGCCAATAAGAGAAAACGTAGACCAGCAGGGACACCAGGTTTTTAAATATGATTCAGTTTTAAGTTTTTAAAATTTGTATTGTCTATTACTCTATTATTAGGTTTTCAATAATTCAGCTAAAGATCTGATTTATGGGATTGGGTTTGCAATAACTTCCCAAAAAGTGTTTTTCTTCTCCAAATGAGTTATAGATATAATTATTATTTAATTTTTTAATAACTCACCTAAATATTTTATTGTTTTGTTTGTGTATTGGGGTTTCAATAAATGAAAGTTCAGACAAGTAAATATGATTTTGATGTTGGTTTTTGCGTTAGCTTCCCAACTAGAGTTGATTTTCGAGGATCGAAATTGATATTCCAAATGGCTAACCAAAATATATCATTTTTATCTTGTGTGTTCGTGGTGACAGATCCAGATGCAGAGGTGGTATCTTTATCACCAAGAACGTTGCTGGAGTCAGATCGGTACGTGTGCGAGATCTGCAACCAAGGGTTTCAGAGAGATCAGAATCTCCAGATGCACAGAAGAAGGCATAAAGTGCCATGGAAGCTTCTAAAGAGAGAGAAGAAAGATGAGGAAGTTAAGAAGAGAGTCTACGTGTGTCCTGAGCCGACGTGTCTCCACCACGACCCGTGTCACGCCCTCGGGGATCTTGTTGGAATCAAGAAGCACTTTCGCAGGAAACACAGCGTCCATAAGCAATGGGTTTGTGAGAGATGCTCTAAAGGCTACGCCGTTCAATCTGACTACAAAGCCCATCTCAAAACTTGCGGTTCACGCGGTCATTCCTGCGATTGCGGCCGCGTTTTCTCCAGGTTCCCCATCATCTCACTATCATCTTTCATTCTTTACTTTACTTAAAGAGTGTGGTGAATTTATTAGATTTTCTTTGGGAAACCCTAATAAATAGTGTGTCTATAATGATTTTAGTTAACTGGCTTTTCCAAAGTCATATTTGTTGTTTTCTTGAGATTTTATTAATTTAGCTTTTTAGGAAAGATTATAAATGGAAATTTGGAGTCCTTAAACTAAACCAAACAATGATTTATAATATGGAGGTATATTATTATGCACATCGATTTTCATTTTTTGAATGTGCACACAGATTTTGACACAGCCTACCAATAGAAGCTCAGTGCTCGACTATTCCCAGATAATTTTGTTTTATTTAATCATATAGTTATATATTATATTATATGGCTAATTAGTATGTGATCTCACATTGACCCCATTACGGATTTCCATTCCCCACGCTTTGTTGCATTTGTTTAATACACAAACTAAAAAGTCTTATAATCACATAATCCCTTTCCAAAGATACCTAAATCCATAACTCAATTTTATATTATTGACTTCTTCTTTTGATTACGTAAACTCCATCAAACACTATTCCTAGTGTTTTTAAACTCTTAACTTTAAACACTATACACTAATTTCAGTTCTTTTGGTTATCAAAACAAATATATACATATAGCTCATTCTTAATTCTTGTCTTGCTTTTTTCTTTTCAGGGTTGAGAGTTTCATAGAGCACCAAGATACTTGCACCATCAGGCAACCTCCACCCAGCAACCACCGTCCACAGCAGCACACGGCATGCCCTGCCGCTCCACCAAGAATCTTTTCGACCGCAAGCTTTGGCCCTTTATTGCATGGACTTCCTTTGTTAAGACCACCGCCACCGTCAAATCAACGCTCACTAGATTTGGCTTACCCTTACAACACTTCAGCAGCTCCTTTCGAAAGCCTCGAGCTTCAATTATCCATAGGTATGGCGAAAACATCAGCACAAGTAAAGAGAAACGAAGAGATAGAGGCGAGTTTAGCAAAGGAGAGAGCTTATGAGGAAGCCATGAAGGCGGATCAAATGAGACAAGAAGCCAAGAGGCAGATAGAGATGGCGGAGACGGATTTTGAGAATGCCAAGAGAATAAGGAAAGAAGCGAAAGCCGAGCTGGAGAAGGCTCATGTTGTTAGAGAAGTAGCAATCAAGAGGATCAATACAACAATGTTGGATATCACTTGCCACTCTTGCAAGCAACTGTTCCAGCTCCCTGTTATGGCTGATGAGAGCACGTCATCTCTTGTTATGAGTTACGTTTCTTCGGCGACAACGGAAGGGGAATGCGAGTGAATGAAATGAAATGATGGTACGTTAGTGTTTACCATTTTGTGGATCAATTTTTACTATATGCATCATTTTTTGTCACTGCTGAATTTACGTAACGATTGTAAATTTCGAAGAATTATTTTGGACTTCGGGTATTTGAAAATAATTTATGTAACATATTTCTTGGTTTTATATTTTAGTTATTTGGTTTTGTGTAACTTAAATACGATTTTTTTCCCAAAAAAAAAGATATGGTAGTTAATGGTGTGGGGTTTGTTTTATTTGTTGGTGTAATTAAGTTGTATCTTTTGCATTAGCGTAATAAAATGGTTTTAGAAAAGTTTTGTTCTCTCAAAAAAGTTAAAACCGATGTAGAGCACTCTAGACAAACAAAAAAACAAAAAACAATAATGAATGGAGCATTGATTGAGGAGGGGAAGGAGTAGTAATTTGCATTAAAGTGATAGAGGTCAAAATTTTGTGCATAAAATTATCAGAAGGAAATGATTGGTGTCCACCTAATAAAATATGAGCACGAGTCGCCTCTATCTCTCTTTCCCATCTTTACATTCTCGTAGTTGTAAACTTAGTCTCAATCCAACCAAACAAGAAATCATCTGTCTCACATAAATACGGATTCTTATAAGATGCCATTTGGAAAAGAAAAGAAAATTAATTGTTTCAAAAGTTTCTCAACACAAATTTTTACACGAGAAGAGGCAACTGAGGCAAGGCTATGTAAAATAAATGTCTTTGGCTCTTATGACACTACAAAAGAAGAAAAATAAACATATGTAAAGAAACGTGTAGCGAGATCCATCAAGACGAATACATAAAATAACAGATCTAGTGATATCAACTAAAATAAGTCCAAGAAAATATATATATTTTTCTATATCGGGATGAAACAAATAATATATAGTAATATACTATAATGTTAGGACAAATAGTAGTCAAGAAGATGGAAACTTATATAACACAATGTGATCAAACTACGTGATTTGTGTGTGTGTGTGTGTGAAAAAGGGCTAACCTACGTAATTGAGATTAATCATACAAGATAATTTAGCTACTTTTGTAGAGATGTGTTCTTGTCAAATAAAATTCTATACACTAAGTACGAATAAAAGATTAGCATTATGGCGATTTTAAAAGGGAGTCTATAATCTATTTTTTTTTTGTATGTATGTTGAAGTCTATATTCTGTGGATAGGTCAAGCTTTTGAATGGTTAAAGTTTTTGAGTTTTATTGTAACAAACGCCGTACTCTTTTGGTTAAAATTTAAAACAGGAGTAGTATTTATACGACTTCTCTTGGCAAAATTATATAAATACGAGGAACCATGTGCTATAAAATGGGAGGAACAAATTCAAAGATGCCAATTCATCATGAAAAAAGTTAAAAAATCAGTGTGAAAGATAGGGAGGGAGAGAGATATGGAATGATGTAAAGTTGTAAACACATAGGGAAAGAGAGAGATAGAGAGAGGAAGTAAATGGAGTTTTCAGAGCAGAAGTGGTTGTCGTTTCCTATAGAAGAAAAGAAACGACATGAAATTCAGTGCCCAAAAGATTGAAATGGTGGTTAGGAGTCAGGCTTCAGTCTCTCTCACACCTGACACTTCCCTCACTTCCATGATTTTCCTTCTTCTCTCCTTTTTCTCTTTTCTTACTTCTTCTTTTAAGCCCCACACACACACACTCTCTCTCTCTCTCTCATCTTATGTCACTTCATGGATCTCCACGAGTATCAAATCCCAGTCTCTTATGTTTGTTCGTTTTCGTTGTATGGCTAGGACTTTTACCGGAAACCCAAATCTAAACCATGAATCCGAATTAAAATATAAAAATATCCATTCCGTTTATATATTTCTAAACCCAAAAACACGATTTTTTATATTTAAAAAAAAAACGAAAAATCTGAAGAAAACCCAAAAGCTTGTTCGGGTTTCATGTACAACTCGAAAACCGACCTAAACCCGAAAACCCTGAATAGAACCCAATCCAAAATTCAAAAATACCTAAAGAGTTTTTGATATCTCTCCGAAATCCAAAACCCAAAAAATCCGATCTGAACCCTTACTCGAAACCCGAAGTGCCAGCTCTACTTGTATACTCTCTCTGTTTCTTTAAAATAATTTTTTAAGTTTTTCACATATATTAAGAAAACAGATTAAAATTAAATCATAAAAGTATAAATTCTTTAAATTAAACAACTTTAAACCAATAGGAATACAAGAAAAATAATAATAGTCATTGGATCTGAATTTTTTAATTTAATCAAGAAAAATTACTTTGAAAACTTTTAAAATTTATCTTTAAGGAACAATAAAAAAATGCTAGAAAATAAGCAAATACTAAAGGATAAGTACATGGAACTTGTTATCAAATCTGAGTTATCTACACGGACGGACACAAGTCCGTAAACCCAACAAGGCCCAAACATGAAATAAGGTAACAGTCAGTCTATGGAAATAGTTTCCATGTCTGTATAAGAAGCAAAAATCTATTCAAGATGATTTAAGAACAAGTTCCATTCCATGTAATTTGTGTAGGAAATTTTGCTCTACATTAATACGTTGAGGCAATGGTCTCTCATAAGATTTTGAATATTGTCGCATCACCGAAACAAAAATTGGTGTATAGAATTCGAATCGTTTCACATCAGAATCTACGTCAACTATTTTAAATCTGACGATTTTTATGTTCAAAGCAACCTCTACTAATGAATCGCAGCTTTGGAGTTTCGATCATTTATGCATGTTTATCAAAAAACAACAAGCCAACTTTAAATAGTCGTAATTAGAATTTGGTAAAGCTTGCAAATTTTTAGTATAACAGAAAATATAAGCTTTAAAAATCAAGATAGATATCTGTATTTCAGACAAGAACACTAGAATAGAGAACTCTCGAAGATAATTCGATATTCTACAAACATAAAACTTTGACATAATAAAACATCCAAGTGCAAACCACAAAGCCAGCTTAATCCAGGTGAGTAATGAGACATTGAGAAACTAAAAAGAGCAGAGTCAAAATCTTTTGGGTCTCTCTTTTTCTAAGAGGTTTCAACGTCAGAGAGATCCAAACCCTCACGGTAAAGCTCAAGGCCACTAGGGCTCCATCTGCAGACTAAGCTCAGTTTGAAAGTAGCCAACTTCATCCCCAACAGACGCTGCAATCATCATATAAAACAAAGTATGAGCAAATTCTCTAACTTTCAGAACACAAAAACACAAAAAGGAAAGGCTTTTCGGATAGCGATTCTTCTTACCAAAATGCGGGAAGATTCTGGCGAGAGTGGTTTCCCTTCTTCACAAACTACAAAGTCGGAGATTAACTCTATCGTACCTACACAGCAAATCAGCAAAAGAAGTAACTTTTAGGATCAAGATTTCTTGCAAAATCTCGTACGATAAACGGAAACTAAAATGGTGAGAGAGAGACAAGAAACCTTTGTTGAGTCTAACAGGCATACCCTGCTTCCTAAGAAGCGGCTCCATGTCATGTGTGAACTGTTCTAAAGGACCTTCCTTCAATTCAACCTGATACCAAAACAGAGTTTTTTCAGTAACTAAGAATCAAAGTGATGCAGAGTTTCAAGCTTCTTTGATATATACAGAGATGGTGCAAGATCTATTTCACAAACCGTTTCAACAGCAGTGCTTCCGGTTCTTGAAAAGTCGGCATCTTCATAAGCGTTAAACAAGCTGTGCAAATGAAACCACAAGAAGCATTTTTGAACGGTTAGGAACAAAGAGACAATGGATACAAAAAATAACTCAAGCTCCAAAGCAGATCATAAAGGCTTTACCTTTCGACCTCTTCCTTTGGCATATCAGTAACAAGAAGTCCAGCATCACCATGAAGCAGCTGAAAACAGTACCACACAAACATGCGTCAATGCCTAAAACAAACAACCATTGTGAGAAAAAAGCAGAGTAAACAAACAAACACAAACCTTGGATACTTTGTAGATACCAGGACGGATCTCATCAGAAGCAGAGCGGCCGATAGCAACCTGCATGACTTTGTTCGAGCCAAGGAAGAACCTGTGACGAACATGAACCAAAATGATATCAATAAACACTCAGTTACATTCAAGTGGCACCCAAGTTTATTCTATGAGTTGAAGAAAAGAAAGAAAACTGACTTTCCATTGTGCCTAAACTGCTGTCTAAACTCTTTGAATTTGAGATTTCTCATGTTTTCAAATGAGAAAACATAGACCGATGTGAACTTCTCCACTGCCTCTCTGATTCCATTCACAATACACTCTTTGTGCTCTCTTCCTTTCTTCTTCGTCTTCGACAAAGTCACTGCATCAATAACAACAACAACAACATAAGCAAAGATTTGGGTTTTCTTAAAAATCCTAAAAACCCTAAACCCTTGACGGCGGCGGCTACAAAACTAACAACAGACAATAGAACCATGAAAGAGTAGAGGAAGAAAGAATTCAAACCTGGTCTGTCTCTCTTTGATTTAGGCATATCTTAGGTTTTCGGATGTATGAACTTGCAAGTGAGAGATCAACCAAAAAACGGCTCCTTTCACTTTTCTTCTCTAGACTGAAAACCCTCGTGCCCTTCCCTCTGCTTTTAATTCGTCTTTTTCTTCTTCAATTCGGATCCCTAACTTAACCCGACCCGGATTCGGCCCAGATCCGGCCTGTTTTTGAATATATGGGCCTAAGTTTGTTGTCGTTCGAGTTTGGTGGCTTGACATTTTGACTTTTGACTTTTGAGAGAGAGACATTTGGTTAGCTCAACCAAAAACGCAACTAGTGAAGGAAAAGCTCTGTTTTTATTAAAGAAGAGATAAATCCAAACGTGTACAATAATCCATAAGAGGAAAATCAAATTTACAAACAACAAACAGTAAAAAATGTCTGAGAAAAAAAAAAAACTGTAAAACATCATCCATGAAGACATTGCTCTTCAAGGCCTTCCTACTTAATTCAGAAGGATTCACAAGGAATTAAGGAAAATATAAACAACAGAAATTGCTACCCACAGTATTACATGAGAATACATTCTTTATTAAAAACAACACAATGAAAGAGTGTAATATAACAATCCAAACCTCCTTTCTCCAACCTACATGCACTTGCAAACAAATTTGAGTAAAAATCCCAAAATATGTTAGAAACACTGAAAGGTTTTTCATCTTCTGGAAACTAATTTTTGTACCTTTCTACACAACCCCAACAGAGATTTTCCTTTTTAAGAGTCTTGTATTGTATCATCTAGGATGGTCTGAGTTCTGGTTAGCTTCTCTATCTACATCTCTACGTCTCCTACTAACTGATCTCCCCAAGAGAATCCTTCTTTGGCTCCTGATCCGGTTTGCCAACGACACTGCCCCATCCTCCTCAGGTCCAGAGGATTCCACATCACTCTCGTCGATCGTTAAGCCATTTGCATCCGTTCCTAGATCGTGTGATGTGTCAGATGCAAGACCAGTCGAATCAGAGCGCCTTGCGTTGTTGTTGTCTCCTGATGCTCCAAAAGACTGCAACAGAAGGAACACATTCACTAGGTTTCTACCTATTCCAGCAGTAATCCTCCCTACCTCCTCACTCTGCTCATCATCATCATTATCATCCTCGTCTGAATCTGAACCGTATGCACCTCTCTCAATCACGTAATCCCCGAAAACCGTGGCACCAGGCATCGTCGACCTGATTGTGCTGATCACATCGTTACGTTCCTGCTCAACCTCGAAGCTTCTCCATTTCTGCTCCACATCAGGGTCCACTTCACGCGGCTGAGCACAAGGATGGTCCGATTTCATGTGTTTCCTCAGCTCCTTAAAGCTTCCACCAAATGTGCAACTCTCCTGCATACAGCTCCTCTTCTTCAGATTCAGATCGTCTCTTGCAGGCTGCACAATCGTCCAACCTTTGACCTGGCCTCTACACAGTGGGCATTTTAGATTGGCAAGCTCAGACTTACTATCAATCGGTTGCTGATGCGATGGCAGTAGCTTAGCCGACGCCTTCTTGTACTGATCTAAGCAGTTGGAATACCGGAAGCTGGTTGCACACATGTAAGGACGACAACCCTTGTCGTGAGATGAACAGAGGAGAAGCACAGCATTGTGAGGACACTCCATACAAACGGAACATACAGCATCCTCCCACTCGTTCTTCTCCATCACCCTTGGACACTTGTTTGCTGCAAGCACGCTCCTCTTCTTCGAAGATGTGAATTTGTATGGCCTTGCTCTGATCCGTCGGGCAGAAACTCTGCGCCTAGCCCTTCTAACTTTCGCCATTTTCTTCTACCTGTAACAAGTTGTAGCCACACGCTTAGCAAAAGAGTTCATGAAAGAAAAGCAAGATATGTCTATCAAGAACACACATTTCACAAGAATAGTCAAAAGAAAGTGATTCATCATAACCAAGAAACGTTTACATCCATAGAAAAAGACTTACCTAGATAAAACAATAACTAGATTCTAAACTAACAGCATAGCTGCAACTTCTTCATTAAGAAGAGACAAATCATACAATCAAGAATGTAACTTGTACCTGCTACAAAACAGATGGAGTTTCAATGCAGAGAATGGAGAGACATAGTCGTGTATGATCAATAAAAAAGGAAAGGAATCACAGAAAAAAAAAAGAAAAAAGAAAAAAAAGATGGAAGATGTGCCAACACGTTACATGATCGACACTCTAAAGCAACGTGCTTTCACCAAACATTCACGCGACATGGCAGTGAATCAATTAATAAAGAAACAAGAAGAAAACCGTCGTCCATGTTACAAGAATCCTTAGCTCACATGGAGCAAAACTGCTTTCACAAATCTCAGATCCAGAACAATTAATAATACTATATGTTAAGAAAGGAAAGAAATAAAAAGAACACTACTTTACTAGCTAAACGTTCTTAATTACCATAGCCATATGTATCCTTGACATATTCTATCTCCGAGCTGATTAAAACAATTCATACTAAGCTTCAACGACTGAGGAATCAAATCTGAATCGAAATAACTTAACCCAAAGCTGAAAATTCGTACTCCATAGTAATCAAATTACACCGATTTCACAACCTCTAACACCAAAATTCACAAAAAACTGTAAAATTATAAATCCATTTTCTTATCTTGACATACAAACTCCACAGCGATACAATTAGGTCCAACACGACCAACGATCGCCGTAAAAATACGCAGGAAATGGAAATTGCAGCCATACCGGATGTATACAGCGACGCGGCTTAAGACTTGAGCTCGAGAATTGAGGGAACAAAGGATGAAGAGACCGGCGACGGGAAATGGACGCCGGATAAAGAGAGAGAGAGGAGGGAAATTACGGGAAGGAAGAGATTAGAAGCGCCTTGACGGCTCCAGAATCCAGATTACGAGTTTCTCTCTCCTCACGTCACGTGTCGTGGAAGCTAGAGCCACACGCGTCTCTCCTGTACGTACGTTTGACGCGCGTCTCGATATAAGGCTTTGAGGCCCGTTAATTGGATTAGCCTTTTATTGGGTCTTAGCCCATAGCTGTAATCTAAGAGCTTTATCAGGCCGGCCTGTTTGGCCCATAGCAACAATATATGTTTTTTTTTCACTACGATTTCAACTAGCTATGGACATTTCAGGACGGGAATCCCGTTTCCACTCTTACTCGTTTAAAATTTTCCGAACTTTTTGGGAATGAGAATTTGCAATTTCCCGTTTGGGAACATTTATTTTATTCAAACAGATAAGGGAAGGATTTGGGAAGGGTAAGGGATTTCCCGATTTTTCGTTTAAAAAATAAAAAAAAAATTGAAATTATATATTTTTTTTTAAATATCCCAATTTTCCCATATTTTCCCTAATTTTTCCATAATTTACCATATTTTCTCATAATTTTCTGTATTTTTCCCGTAATTTCATTTTCAACCAGTCAAATGATTGACTATTATGTCCAGAATAGTTCATATAGAAATCTAGAATGAATGTGCAATAATTAATTCCAATATAGTGACAAACTAATGATAAGTTTTTGTGTGTTTGGATTTATTTATTTATTAGCACTAAGTGGTTACATTAAAAAACAAAATCTAAGAAGGTAACTGGCCAAATCATGACATTTACATTGACTGCACATTAACTGTAGTCAACAACTTTAAACCGAAATTAGTAAGTTTTTTTTGTTGACCAACAAAAACAATTCAATATTTTTTTTGATGATGATTAGTCTAAAAATTTAATGCTAATTATGAAAAGTCATATTGATTTTTCTAATTTGTAAATCATATATTTTATATTTCTAACGGTATTAACGGTATTTCAAATCTCGTGGAAAAAAAACCTGTTATGATTGTTCGCGGGTAAAATTATTATTGTAGCAAATTTAGCAATAGAAATACATAATTTAGTTGATAGAATAATATTATAACACTATATATCTTATATTTTTTTTGTGCTAATCTCTAAGAGTTACATTGTTAAAATTATATTAATAAAAACTAGAGGAATAAATTACATATTTTTAATTTATATGGCATTTTTGGTAAATAACTAATTTTTTCTTGTCTTAATCTTTATCTTTCAATATAAATATGTGAGCAGAACATGATGAAAACCATTGTAATATCTTCTCTTTATAATCTATATTTTGAGTTTCATTTAGAAAAACAAAAAGTTTCATATCTCCCATGGATGCAAAGATGAGTCTAGAAAATCATGGAGCCAGCGGAAGCAGTGGTGATGGGAATGTGACTCGTAATTCAGTGGATATGGAGTTGGAGGGGCTTATAGAGGTTCCAATCGTAGAAAAAATGGTCGTTAAGAAAGAGTCTCTTGAAGATGTTGTCATTGGTGGTACCAACGAAGGCAATAGCGGCGAAGGCAGTGGTGAAAGGGCAGCCAACGATTTGAGCTTAGCGGTAAGTGTATATGATCCACGAAAATATAAAGTAACTGGATATAAAGTAAGATATATGTGATTATTACTTAATTATTGTTACAATATGGGTATATCAGTTTGTTTGACTTATTTTTGTGGTGGTTTTTGTTATGTCTAGGAAAATAACTTCGTTGACGTTCCTTTAAGGAGTGAAGGAGACAAAGGGAAAGCAATATGCATCCTTGACGAAAAAGCTATTTGGGCAAAAGAGAAAATGGTATCGAACACATTTGAGATTTATTTATTTATTTTAATTTTTTTAAAGTTGATTATTTGTCCTTGACAAGGTGTTTGGTTAATACTCATGATTTTTTTTCATTTCTTAATTTTTCTAGAAAAGTGAAGAACATGAACATTCATGGATATGGAAGCAGGGTGTCGGACATAGTTGTTGGATCTGTGACATTGTTGACGAGGTAAATGACTAATCCCTTTTGTTATAAATGATTGTATAATTTTAAATAAAATAACTTATTATGTTAATTCGTTTTTGAAACGAAACTAAGTTTCCTTCAAAAAATAAATCTAAACTCATTTTTGAAAAGAAATTAAGTTTCCTTCAAAAAATAAATCTAAACTCATTTTTCATGTATATAGATATTTGGGAATTATCATGAATATAATCAAAATCTCTATCATTTAAAAAAAAAAAATTTCTTAAAATTTGAAAATTCAAAAGTAGTTTAAATATAAAACATTAATTTCAATTCTCAATCCTAATGTTGCGAAAACTAAACATTCTGGCCCCTTTACTAATAAAAAGGATTATACATAAAATACGTTTCTCTGTTATCCTAAAAAATTGTTAAAAATTTATTAGGTATAAAAATGATTATTTGTAATCTATAAAAGTAATTTAGTATACAATAGTATTTAAGAAAGTAGTTACAAAATAGTATATCTACAATAAAGTAACATTTTTTTCTATGAAGTTTACAAATTTTACCTTTTTATTTTTCTTAATTATTTTCAATTTGTTTTCATGATCAGAAATGGTCGATGCCACCTGGATTCGGATCAGATATTCCCAAAGACATAATGTTGAGAGTTCCTCACAATGGATTTTTGGGAACTGGCATTTGTCCTCATCCTCTCCATAAAGGCAAAATGAAGTCTCACCATGTTCAAAGTCTTAACTTTATATGTAGAAACTTGGCAGTAGAGAATCCGAATGGATGCATTCTAGCTCAAGTTCCTACATATGAAAAGTCGTTCTTGATGATCAGTTTCATATTTGGTTATCTTGCCAAGAACCCTAATAGCAAACCTCTATTTCTGCTTCCCAAAGGGATGATTGAATTTTGGAAACAAGAGTTTGTTAATTTGGAGGTCAACGACGTCATGCTGTTTGACTTCCCCTCGGCCAAAGCGACCACTCGATCTCAGCAACTGGAGGTTTTGAAGCAGTGGATCTCAAGTCGAAGTATCCTTTTCTTGAGCCCCAAGATATTCGCTAACATGGTATCGGATGGAAACGATACGGAAGCTTCGAACACTTGCAGAGCTATTCTCTTAAACACTCCTTCAGCTGTCATATTCGACGTGGGAACAGATCCAAGGAACGAGATGATGAGGTTTCTCAAGGTTGTTGCTCGTATCAAAACTCCACAGAAAGTTTTACTCACTGGGTCACTGTCTCAAACCCATATCAGGGAGGTTTTCAATATAATTGAGGTTGTCTTTCCTGAGTTTCTGAAGCATCACCAATTCGGAAACAAGATCGGAAAGTTCTTGACTGTTGATGCCGCCGAAGTCGGTGGTTCTTCAACGGATGTGAAGACGTTCTTGCTTGATAAGCTGGAGGAGGCTATTCTTAGCTCGTTTACCGATCATGGTGACAGAGTTGTGTATTTATATGAGTTAAGAATGTTGACTCACAACATTATCTATAATCATAAAGGAGTGTTTCTACCTGAAGTCCCAAGCTTGATGGACTTCACAGTTGTTCTCAAACCAACTACAAGCCAGAGATCTGCATGGGAGTTTGAGAAAAACGCCAAAGGGAAGGGTTTCAAAACATTTTCTACACTGAGCGGAATCACCCTCCACCCGGTGCTACGTGTTTTCTCAGACCGGACAAAAGATGTTCCACCTCCAAATGAGCATGAGATCGATGAGATTCTCCAAGACATTGACGTAACAGATGGCGTGAAGACAAAGTTCTTTCTTGGTCTGGTGAAGTTATGCGGTCATACTCAAGAGAAGATTCTTGTGGTGAGCCAACATGTCATCCCACTGATGTTCCTCCAAAGACTCATGGCTAAGATCAAAGGGTGGGAATATGGTAAGGAGACATTCATGATCAAAGGCAGCACAAGTCTCGATGCTAGAAAAGTCTCAATTGATCAGTTCAACAGCTCGCCAGATGCAAGAGTCTTCTTTGTATCCATCAAAGCGTGTAGTGAGCGTATCACTCTCCCGGGTGCAACAAGGGTTGTAATGATGGATCTTATTGCCAACCCTTGTCTGGTTCGACAAAGCATAGAGTTGGCGTATCATCCAGGACAAGAAAAAAAAGTTTATTCCTATAGGTTGGTTGCTGCGGATACATCTGAAGAAGAAGAAGAAATGGTTGCAACTGGGAAAGAGGTCATAGCTGGAATTTGGCTTGATGGGAAGACATATCCCGACGATGGAAAGTTTCATATTCCATCCATTGATGGAAAGTATTGCAGCGATTACTTCCTTGGAGCTTCTTTTATGAAGGAAGACATCAAAGCCATTTACAAAAGGTTGGTTTTAGGGTTTACTGTTTTAGTCTATTATTAAATCGCTGGATAATGTTTTATCATTTTGAAAAAACTTGTAGATTGGTTAGACTAACAAAATAATATGCTGCCTTTGATAATACTTTTCAGGTGAAAGAAGAGCACTTCGGATCAAGCACTGATGGAAGTCAATGTTGACATTTTATGTTTTATGTTTTTTTTTTTTTAGTTTCAAAATAAACATGTCTTTTATTTTCGTTTTTTATGTTTTAATGTGGTCGTTTCTGAACAATTTTTCTTCTTTGTTTCCCTTCAATCAAACAAAGGTTTCAACAAAAACGATTATTTAGTTCATTTTGGTACATAGTTATGGTTTAATTGAGATATGATATGATATAAATTATTTATAAGGAAGACAAAAATCAAGAAATGTGCATATATATCTTAAATTTTATTTTGATTTTTAATGCTAAGAAACAAACCCAACATAAAATATGTTTTACTTACTACTCAAATAAATAAAATTTATTTACTTAAAGAAAGCAACAGATAAATTTATTACCAGTAATTTCGGGAAACAACTTTATACTTTTTTATTTATAATAGAAAATACTTTTTTCTGTTAAAGATTATAGAAAAATACTTTCTGTGATTCTATCTACATATTACATTATTTTAAAGATATTTACCTAAAATATTTTAAAAATATTTACCTAAGATATTCATCGTACATAGTCAACTAACTACGATATCTTATCATTCTTTTATTTGATTATAAAACTCTTTTAACTTTAGTTGCTAAGCCCTAAGTAAAAACAAAGCCAATATAGTATGAGAGTATTTTACTAATTTATCAACACTTTTGTTTGTTAAGAGTCAAACAATATTTTCTATATTTTTTTCCCTCAGTCAAACTATATTCCGCTCAGTCAAATTATAGTTATTCAGTAAATACTCTCATACTATACTAGATGTGTTCCCGCGCATAATGCGCGGGGTAATATTAATATTAATTTTTTTAATGTTATGTTAATTTTAATTTTTATAGACCCTAATAGGTATGTCTTTATTTTCTTAGTATTCTCATTAATATTTTATAACATATAAAAAGAAATATATTGTTTATGTTTTCGATCGAAAACATTATAATTTCACCTGTTCATTTCTTTTTTCTTAACATATATTATTTTGTTGTTGATTAAAAATATTTAGGTTTTTATTTTTAAATACAGTATGAATTCTCGGTTATCGATTTATGTATGTTATTTTTCATCTTAGCTGTTAAATATTTTCAAAATAATTATGTGAATCATTTCAAAATATTTAAAATTGCTTATGATTCAATTCAATTTAAAATATCTTTAGAAAAAAATGCTAAGAAAAATTAGCCTAATAAAATCTTTCTTAAAATACATAACTATTAATCGAGAAAAACAGAAAATAGCAATATCCAATATATAATTATCTAAAAGAATATGTTCAAACAATCTGATTTTATGGATTAATTTTCAAAAATATGATGAGTCCGCAAATTTTTATTTCTAATTTTTTCATCAGAGCCATGATTTCAAAAACCAAATCTCCAGAAAATGTTGTATTACAAATTTCCCATCAAAACTTTGTTCATCGAAACCATTATTCCAAAAACTATTTCCCAAAGCAATTTGATTCCACAAATTTCCCACAACAGAAGAAGTAAATGTGTTCATTTTTTTTGCAATCAATACTTGTACAATAAAGAAACTCAAATTAATTTTAAAAATAGATATTATCCCTGTTATCACATTCTATTTTTCGAAGATATACAGTATATGATGAGTTATAAATTTTATTTTGAAAAGATACTTATGTTATGTGATTCGTTTCTCAAATTTTTAAAATCACTTATTTAACAAAATTTAATAAAACTTCAGCAAAAATGCTAAAAATTCAGTGATGAAGAAACTATCTTCAAAACGCATAACTAAAAATCGATACAACAAATAGGAATATCCATTAATTACAAAAAAATAGGAATATCCATTACATATTTGATATTTCACTCAAAAAAATTATGTAACAATTTACATTTTAATATTTCATGCATCATGCACGGGATTAGTGTTAACTTTTAATTTAGTTAATTATGGTTGGGGTTTTGTTATTAAAGCTTAAATCTGCAAATTATCCGCCAATAATATTTTTTTTCTAAATATATGATTCTACATATTTTCAGCCTAAAAATAGAAATCTTTCTCCTTCCTAAATTTTATATGAATGACATGGTTATAAAAACCAAATTTCTGAAAGATTTTATACATTAATTCCTCAAACTTCCCGCAAATAAAGTAATAATGATTTGAAATAGATAATTGATTCCTAAAACTTCCCGCAATATATATTTTTTTCAAAACAAAAATTTCAAATCCACTCCCCACCCCTCCTTACATTAGATATCGCAATAGTTTTCTTTTCATATATTGAAAATATCCATGCTTTTACAAACTATAAGTAATGCTTACGTACTAAGAAAACATGACATAAAATAATAGGTTTTTCTGGTCCAGTAACGCATATAATGATTTTTATTCCGAATTGAGAAGAAGAAACTGCAAATAGTACATGGCAATACTTTAACAAAAGAAAATGGCAATAACTTGGCATTTGAATAATCAAATAAACAAAATTCTAATAGTAAAAAAAACATTTCTTTAAAATCTTCATTTCCACTTGTTTGCTTGTAAGGAAGCTTCATTTCCGGAGCAGATGTGAGACCATAGACCATGTGTGAAGTATCTGCATACATAATTTAAAGCACAAACTAAGTGTAAATAATTTTTAACACAAATAATAATTTAAATGGGTATAACCATAAAATACCTGTACACGATGTGTGGAAGAATGAATGGTGCAGCAAATGATACCGCCAATAACAACGTACAACGTATTACAAAAATATATATATAAAATAACAACGTACGTATAAAAATAGGAACAAACTAAAGTTCCCGATTCCGGAGTGATAATAGTTTTTCTTCGTTCACCGCTTTCGTGTATCGAATACCCATTTCAAATCCTACATCATCATAACATCATTATCAGTCAATAAATAAATAAATATGTTAAATACCTACTAATATTTACAGTGAAATCTTCAAGTTTTCATCTAATTTCAAACCAAATAGATCAGAAAAAATGATTTATAATCGCATAAAGATTTTACTTAGCAAACAAACACAAATTCCAATAGATAATAAAACAAATTAAATCTTACTACACATAATCCACTATTGGGGCTAGATCGTCTTGCTTGCTTACGTGGTTTCACCATAGATTCCTTTTTGTGATTTCATAGTTTCAAAGCAGAAATGAAAACGGACAGTAACAAACAAAATATATATATATATATATATATATATATATATATGAAACAGTTGGAACTTTCATAGTAAAGGTTAAAACTTTCTTTTTCTTCTTCGTGTGGTAACGATTGTAAAGAGACAGAGGAGTCAACGGAGCTGGAAACCAAAATCGGGGAGGATTAAAGTGGAAGATCAAATCGAAGAAGGAAGCATATGAGTAGTGAGAGAGATGAAGGATCCTTCATACCTACGATTGATTAGTAACCTCATATGATAACTCAAACCTAAATATTTCGATCGGAAGGATGATGAGAGGCAAACATGTAGAATACTCTGCTTAAATAGAAAAATGAGGTGATGCTTCTCTACTTAGGTTAAGCCACTGTCTGCAATATCTTTCTCATTAATTGTCATACATTATCGCAAGGAAAGTAGTTATACAATAGAAAATATGAACATCACTTTACCCTATTCTCTTCTGATTCGGGATATACAATTTAGGAATCTCTCAAACAATTAAGTTAGGCACGTCAAAGTAAGGAATACAGTAATTTACTTGAGGAAGAAGGTTTTCATTGTAATTGTTAATCGGATCATACATAGATTATATAGTATTCGAATATTACATTTAGGAAATAAAGTTGAATTCGTATTTAGATTTTAAGCAATAAGATGCAGCCTTAACTATGACGATTATATATATATGGAAACTGCTTACCAAAATAAAAAATATATATATATATATGGAAACTCGAAAAACTTGAAGAAAAAGTTTAAGATCATTTTATGGAAACGAAGAAGTTTGCAGAATCTTAACTTTGGGCCATCCATATTCCTAAATTTGATCCATAATAGAAGACAATATATTAAAAGCCCAGCAACCGGGTTAAATAAAGTAAGTATCCGTCAACGTTTTAAGGATCCGCGTGTTTATCCGTTTTTCGACCCGAATAATAATGTAATTATTTAAATAATTCAAAAATGAGTCCAAAAAACTGTGAGCTTGCCACATCAGCAAAAATGTATGGTTATTGTAGGATTTTAGTTGGGGAATGATCTTGACTTATTGACCAATGTGTAATTTTATCATTAATTTGGGTCACTATGAATAGATTTATTTTCGCACAAATTTTGACGAAAAAGAAATGATTTATTTGTTCAGTCTTACATATTATGTATGGTAAGGAACTAAAAGGATGCATAGTACGTAAACATGCCCCGGGTACAACATTGGATCTGTCATCTAAAGAGAATTTTGGAAATCTCATGAAAGATATATATTAGAAAAAATCGAAGAGAATCAAACCCAAAAACTTCCAAATTTGGATCTTTTCCAAGTGTACATAGCTTTACGCATGTTGCTTATTGACATTAATGACGTAGAAACCTTTGCCTCTCTTTTTGAGTTCGTGTGTGTGGCAAGATGCGGAAGGAAAACACAGAGCATGCTTAGAACGTGTCAACGTCAATCCAAGATGTTACTTTAATTAGATCTTGTTTAACTTTACAATTATGTTTTCAAGATGTTAATCGCTACATCACCGAACAGGTTGCTGCAGTGTCATTTTGGCTAAAAATAGTAAAACGCATTAGCCTTTGCATGAGAATTAATTTCTCGTTATTAAAGGAGAAATAGAAAGATGCTTTGGCCACCAAAAAAATTGCTTGCAAATGGTGCAATCTCGTGGAAGTCCATTCATTAGAACGATGATGAATAGTTTCTTCCTTTTTTTTTTGCATAACCTCTTCACTTACGTATTCTATTTTCCCCTTTCATCATGTATTTGCATTATAATACATAATCTGTCTTTTTCTCCACAATAAGTCTTCAAGTTTTTATTCTTAAAAACTTTGCTACTTTGTTCACTGGTTTCCATAAACAGGTACTTGAGTCTCACATCTTCTTATATCGCTTATCTTTTTTCATGGTCTCTAAAACTGAAGTGGAGCACAATGAAAAAAGTATAGGGGTAGACCTAACGACGAAGACACCTTGGATAAATTAATAAAGCTGATCAAAGGGCCAAGGAGCACTAAGATAGTTAATAGTTTGAGTTGGTATCAAAATAATATATAGAACTTGTGAGGCGAATTGGAGATATGTGGGAAGAAGTGAAAGCTATAATTGCAATGCTCGTGGTACAGTTTATGTTTGCAGGAATGTTCATTTTGTTTAAAATAACAGCCGATGATGGTACAAATCTCAAAGTTTTCGTGGCTTATCGTCTCTGTTTCGCTACTCTTTCCATGCTTCCCCTCGCCCTCATCTTCCAGAGGTTTCTTCTTCTTCCTTTTTTACTTCACATTTTGTTGTTATTTGTCTGCATTTTAGGTAATCATATATAACCATATATATATATATATGCGTTAAGCTGGATTTAAACACATAATATATGTCTACTCGAATGATAATGACCATGTTAGAATTCGGCAACCAATATTTACAATCATCAACTCTAATAAGTCACTTGTACGTGTGTTCATATTCAACTAATAAAACTCAATGTTCTATATTTTAACCAAGTGTTTTGTTTTGGGTTCCACGTTATCAGGGAGAAGCGGCCAGAGTTTACATGGAGGCTGCTCTTACTAGCATTTGTTTCGGGGTTGCTCGGGTACTCAGAAAACTAGTACAATAACTTAGTGTTTCCTTTTGTCAGCAGATAATTTTAGTTATTAACTGAAATCTTACTGTTTTAATTTATAGCGAGAATATAATGAAAATTATCAAAGTCAATAGATAAAACATTTTGTTTCTTTGTTAAAAAGAAATAGATAAAACATTGTTGCAACGTTGTTAAAATATATAATGCATCATATAGTTAGTATGTACAGTATATGTTCTGGTGAATGGTCGGGGCTTGTCAAATCGCAACAACAAATAATTTCATTTGAACTTAGAGCACACATGAAATTGTTGTTACATGGTGATAAATACATGGAATTTCATGGATTATTACAATATTCATGTTTTGACTACTTTACAGAGCGGCGATACCAAATATTCTCTATTTGCCAGGTATGGCTTTAACATCAGCTACATTTTCGACTGCGGCCAGTATCCTTGGTCCGTTGATCACCTTGGTTTTGGCCTTAATTTTTAGGTAAGCCACATCATTAAAGCACTCTAAAACATCCCTTCTTGGAATATATAGTTTGACCTATTAAACATTCGGTTGCGTGATATGTTACAAGGGTTATTTTTTTTCGATTATGAAGATAGGTGCTTTCGAAAATCTACAAAATATCAATTTATGTGAAAAAGTGTCTTAAGACATCGACATTTCTGCATAAACATTCTTATTTTTGTTTTGTAAAGCATAAATGAAAAACAGTTTAACCTTTTGAAACAGAGGAGATATGAATAAAAGCTTAAGTTAAAGTGCAAACTTGGCCCATTGAAAAGAAAAATTTAGGTGACGAGAAATTTAAAGGCTAATGATACCATTAAGCTATAACTCTTATTTGACAGGATGGAGACTCTACGGCTGGGATCGAACGAAGGGAGGGCTAAGTTGATGGGGACGCTGCTTGGTGCTGGTGGGGCCATCGTATTTCTATTATACAAAGGTGTTGAGATTCATATCTGGTCAACACACGTTGACTTACTTAAAAGCTCGAATAGTCATCAATCAAATGGCCAAGTCACTTCGAACCACCACATATCAATCCCTGGGGTTCTTATGGTTCTTGGCAGTAACGTTTCCTACTCATTTTGGCTACTATTGCAGGCAAGTGCTACACTAATTTTGGTTGGCTTATCTATCTTGTTATATCAAGGGGGTACCAAAAATGTTTTATTTATCTGTTAAAGAAGAGTGACTGCAAAAAAAAAAAAAAAAAAAAGAGAGAGAGAGCTATATATATTAAACTGGTTCACGTTTTGGGCGTCGAATCAAATGTTGCAAAACTTAACGTAAAATGTCTATAACAGGCAAAAGTAGGAAAGCAATTTGGAGGAAATTACTGGAACATAGGTCTGATGAATGCGATGGGAGGCTTGGTGTGCATGGTTGTTGCTCTATGCTCGGAGCATGACTGGAAGCAATGGCGATTAGGATGGAACATTAGCCTCTTAACTACCATTTATTCGGTAAATAAAAACATATATACTCACTGATTAATTAAAGATCATTACTCATTAGACATGTATGTGTGCGTGTGTGTGTTTGTTTGATACACTTATTTAATTATATTGTATATACGCTATGTATAGGGAGTCGTAGTTTCAGGAATGGTCATGCCTCTTATTGCGTGGTGCGTTGAAAGAAAAGGTCCGCTGTATGTTACGGTGTTTAGCCCTGTAAGACTAGTGATCGTAGCCCTCGCCGGATCATTTGCTTTAGAGGAAACTCTTCATTTGGGAAGGTATCAAATTAATGTTTTGTCATTTTGTGTATGACATATATATGTGAATCTTATTCGCTTTCTTTTTTATCTTATTTTGAGAAACTTAACAGTATAATCGGTGCAATGATAATGGTGGGAGGAGTATACCTGGTGGTGTGGTGTAAAATGAAGGAAACGAAGAGTGTCTCTACGACATCGGACAGTATTGAAATTGATAAGAATATCAAAGAAGTGAACCTGGGCAATATATCAGCAGTGAATAATAGAGATGTCCCATGAATCCACCATATAGCTACAATCAGTTAAAAAAATCTACTAAGGAAATCGATTATAAAATAAACTGAATAGATGTGGGAATTCTGATTGCTTAATTGGATTGGCTTTTAGCCTTGGGTGTGGACTGATAGATGAAGAAATTGGAGAACTCTTTTCATTTTCCACCGTTACTACAATAATAAAAGAAAAGTAACAACTTCTGAACTTCACACTTATACCTCTAAAATGCTATTATCTAATTCTATTTTGTTCCATTATATAAACTAGGTTTGAAGCCCCGCGCAAGCGCGGGGTTGTTTGCGATAGTTTTTCTGTTTAATTTTATTTATACTCGTTGATTTGAATTATGATGGTTTTGTGTTAACTTTCATGTTTTTGTTATGTTTTGAGTTAACTCAACCACTAACACTAAAAAATATGAATAATTTGTTTTTTATTTTAATTTATTAGGATATTAACACCCCGCTTTATCTCGAGTTTTCTATTTCTAAAATTTTATCATGTTATAAATATTATGTTTGTTTACTTTTTTTTTACTTCTATTAGACTGTAAACATGTATATGTATTTGATTGAAGGTTAAAATTTATAAATATGTATATGCATTTGACTGAAGGTTAAAATTTGTAAACATATTCTTGTTTTTCACTACAATTAAATTTACATATAAAACTCCATTTCTATTTGTTTAGAAAAACAAACTCTAACTCTAATTTTCATTAGCTTTCTATTATCTTAATTAATTTATATTCAACTTTTTAACTTGTAAACACATTATAACATTTTTAAATAGGATAAATCCTTTGAATAAAAAGGTAAATATATACTATTTGAAGTTAAATATTTCTTTACTCCATCTCTATTTTATATTCCAACTTTTTGATAACTTTTAACATCAAATTATCACATACTTTCTATTAATTAATTAATTTATTTGTATATTTTTATTAAATATGAATAAATGTAAAGAAATATGAATAGTCATATATTTAATAAATATTTTAAATACAATTTAATGTTTTTGTGCTGATGTGGACACTCTAGATGGAGAGAGCAACTCCCTAATTATATATAAGATGGTCGTATATTTTCTATTTCTAAACTCGTTAGGTTAGGTTTTGGGGTTCGAGTACCCATCGGGTCTTTGGTAAGAATTGGACCTGAATCTAACCTGTGGATATGGAAAGAAATTACCCAATAGGGTAAAATCTAATTACCATGACCCAATCGAAACCAGTTTTTCGGATCGGTTCCAGTTTGGTTCCTCGGATCCGAGTAAAAATGCCTAGGTTTAACTCGTATGGTAAGGATACATATTTGCTATTCATTATTATTGGATATCTCCTGTTTACAAACTTGTAATCTTAAGACGTATTGTTCCAAGTAAACCATTGAATCCGTCATCTAAAGAACATTTTGGAAATCACATGAAAGATATTAAATTAATTATGGGTTTAAAAATCAGCCCGGCCGGTGGTCAGACCGGATTCAGTCATGAACCGAAAACATTTTTGAGTTGGGTTATTTCTTATACTTATATATAGTTAGCCGATTAAAAATCTAAGTCCGACCAACAAAAGACCTAAACTAAACTGGATTTTCTAGTTAAAATTTATATTTTCTCTAGTTATTGTTATTTTTTAGTTTGTTAGTTTTAATAATTTTCAAACACTATGATTTTGAAATGATTTATTTGATTTTAGAAAAGCTATTCATATATTTTAACATTATTCAAATGTCTTATAATCATAAGAAAAACTAAAAAAAAATATATGTATTATTTTAGAAATAGTATCGACTCCTGGTTGAACTTGATCGAACCAAATTAACCCACAACCCAAAAGCTTTTCCAGTGGTTAGGTCACCGTTTTAAAAACATTGGAAAAGTCGAAGAGAATCCAAACCCAAAAACTTCCAAATTTGGATATTTACCAAGCGTACATGGTGGCTCTACGCATGTGGCTTATTAACATTAATTAATGACGTAGTAGCATTACTTTTTCTCTCTTTTGGAGTTCATGTGTGTGGCAAGATACGGAACGGAAACACAGAGCATGCTTAGCACGTGTCAACATCAACCCAAGCTGTTGCTTTAAGTAGATCTTGTTTAACTCTTCAGTTATGTTTTTGAGATTTTAAACTCTACATCACCAAACAGGTTACGTTGCTGCCATTTTGGCTAAAATAGTAAAACGCATTAGCGTTTGCACGAAAATGTTTTCTGGAACATAAAGATGCTTTGGCCACCCCAAAATGCTTTTGCAAATGGTGCAGTGCAACGTTCTTGATGAGATTTCGTGGAGGTCCATTCATTAGAGTGATAATAAATAGGTTGTTCCTCTTTTTTCTGCATAACCACTTCACTTGCGTATTTTATTTTCCCCTTTTATCATGTAAATGCATTAATACATAATCTCTCTTTTCCTTCGCACACTATAGTCTAGCCTTAATAAAATTTGCTATTTTGTTTACCAGTTTCCATAAACAAGCACTTGAATTTCACAACATCTTATAGCACGTAATTTAGTTTCATGGTCTCTAAAATTGAAGTGGAGTACAATGAAAAAACTGTAGGGGGTAGAACTATAGACGAAGACAACGAGGCAAGATAAATAAAGCTTTTCAAGAGACTAAGGAGCACCAGATAGTTCATCGTTTGAGTTGGCATCAAAGTAAAATATAGAAATTGGAGAAATGTGGGTGGAAGTGAAAGCTATAGCTGCAATGCTGGTGGTTCAGTTTATGTTTGCAGGAATGTTCGTTTTGTTTAAAATAACAATACATGATGGTACAAATCTCAAAGTTCTTGTGGCTTATCGCCTCTGCTTCGCTACTCTTTCCATTCTTTCCCTCGCCCTCATCTTCCAAAGGTTTCTTCTTCTTATTTCTTACGTTTTGTTTTTATTTGTGTATATTTTTGGCAATCATATATAACCTTATCGATGCCTAAAGCCAGATTTAAACGCATATTACCTATTTGGATAAGTGAAGGGAATAAAACTCGTATTCGAAATTCGGCATCCAATATATTTCAGTTCACTAAATCTAAGTCATTTAGTTTGTGTGTCCATACTCAATTAGTGTGATTTTATTTTGATTAAATGTTTTGTTTTTGGATTCCAGGAATAAACGGCCAGAATTTACATGGAGGCTGCTCTTACTAGCATTTGTTTCGGGGTTACTCGGGTACTCTGAACTACTACAATAATTTACTGTTTTTTAGCTGAAATCTTACTCTTTTAATATCAAAGTCGATAGATAAAAACATCGTTGCAAGTGGCAACGTTAATAACTTAAAATATTATCTTTTTTTTATCCAAAAAAAAAAAGTTAGTTGACATATACTATATATAAATATAATGTGCATCATTTAGTGTGTTTTACAAAAACAAAATCATATGTGTATCCGTTTTGATGAGTGATGAATGTTGGGGCTTTTCAAATCGCTACTACAAATAATATCATTTGAACTTAAAGTATACATGAAATTGTTGTTACATAGTGATATAAACATGGAATTTCAAGGATTACATCACAATATTCATGTTTTTGAATTTTGACTACTTTACAGAGCGGCGATACCAAATCTTCTCTATTTGCCAGGTATGGCTTTAACATCAGCTACATTTTCGACTGCGGTCAGTATCCTTGGTCCGTTGATTACCTTGGTATTGGCGTTAATTTTTAGGTAAGCCACATTAAAGCACTCTAAAACATCCCTTCTTGGAATATATAGTTTGACCTATTAAACATTCGGTTGCGTGATATGTTACAAGAGTTATTTTTTTTTTCGATTATGAAGATAGGTGCTTTCGAAATCTACAAAATATCAATTTATGTGAAAAGGTGTCTTAAGACATCGACATTTCTGCATAAACATTCTTATTTTTGTTTTGTAAAGCATAAATGAAAAACAGTTTAACCTTTTGAAACAGAGGAAATATGAATAAAAGCTTAAGTTAAAGTGAAAACTTGGTCCATTGAAAAGAAAAATTTAGGTGACGAGAAATTTAAAGGCTAATGATACCATTAAGCTATAACTCTTATTTGACAGGATGGAGACTCTACGGCTGGGATCGAACGAAGGGAGGGCTAAGTTGATGGGGACGCTGCTTGGTGCTGGTGGGGCCATCTTATTTCTATTATACAAAGGTGTTGAGATTCATATCTGGTCAACACACGTTGACTTACTTAAAAGCTCCAATACTCATCAATCAAATGGCCAAGCCACTTCGAACCACCACATATCCATCCCTGGGGTTCTTATGGTTCTTGGCAGTAACGTTTCCTACTCATTTTGGTTACTATTGCAGGCAAGTGCTACACTAATTTTGATTGGCTTATATATGATCTATCTACACTGTATCATGTTTTGGGCGTCGAATAAAATTTTGCAAAACTTAACGTAAAAGGTAAAAGTAGGCAAGCAATTTGGAGGAAATTATTGGAACATAGGTCTGATGAATGCGATGGGAGGCTTGGTGTGCATGGTTGTTGCTCTCTGTTCGGAGCATGACTGGAAGCAATGGCGATTAGGATGGAACATTAGCCTCCTAACTACCATTTATTCGGTAAATAAAAATATACATTTCTAATGATTAATTAAGGATCATTACACAATAGACATGTACGTGTGTGTGTTTTTGTTTGATACACTTATTTAATTATATGGTATATACGCTATGTGTAGGGAGTCGTGGTTTCAGGACTGGTCATGCCTCTTATTGCGTGGTGCGTTGCAAAAAAAGGTCCGTTGTATGTAACGGTGTTTAGCCCTGTAAGACTAGTGATCGTAGCCCTCGCCGGATCATTTGCTTTAGAGGAAACTCTTCATTTGGGAAGGTACACCAAAACTCTTGTGCCATCAAGCAAATGTTTTTGTGTATGATATATCATATATGTGAATCTTACTTGTTCTTTCTATTTTGAGAAACTTAACAGCATAATCGGTGCAGTTATAATGGTGGGAGGAGTGTACCTAGTGGTGTGGTGTAAAATGAAGGAAACGAAGAGTGTATCTACGACATCAGACAATATTGAGACCGATAAGAATATCAAAGAAGTGAACATTGGCAATATCTCAGCAGTAAATAATAGAGATGTCCCATGAATCCACCATATAGCTACAATCAGTTATAAAATATACTAAAGAAATCGAATATAAAATAAATTTAATAGATGTGGGAATTCTGATTGCTTAATTGGATTGTTTTTTGCATTGCGTGTGAAATTGGAGAACTCTTTTTATTTTTCACCGTGACAACAATAAATAAAGAAAATTAACAACTTCTAAAGTTCACACTCTACCTCTAAAATGCTAATATATATTTCTATTTTGTTTCATTGTTAAAGTAGTCGTATATCTTTATATTATTAATTGAGAAGTACATGAAAATTTATGACCAAAAAATCAATCTAATTAGAAGAGAAAATGTTTGGCAACAGATTTAATTAGGGTCAATTTAGTACATTGTAATGTTTGGATACAAGAATAAGAGAAAAATCTATTTGGATAGAAGAATAAATGGAAAAAATTGTTTGGATACAAGAATAATAACTTAAAATAAACCGATGGTTTAGAAAACTTCCGTTTTCCATCTCTTAAAAATCTGCAAAAAAAAAACTTAACATAATCTAACGATAATACCAAATCAATAGAATATGCTTTTTGGATTTTCGGGTTTTTATAGACAAGTTCGGGTTTGGGTGAAAATCTGAGACTAATTTTATAGAGATATAGAGATATAGAAATTGTTCGGGTTTCTTTGAAAATTTCTGTTCGGGTTGGGTTCAATTTTTTTTTTCAGTTTAGGGTTTTCCGGATTTTTTGGATTTCGGTTTTCGGGTTTAGATATATTAAAAAATTGAGTATTTTAAAATTTTGATTAGGTATTTGGGTCGGGTTCCGGGTGAAAAAGTTTCCAGATTTTTTTTGTTCAGTTCAGGGTTTTCGGGATTTTTTTGATTTCGGATTTTCGGGTTTAGACATATTAAAAAAGTTTGGGTTTTTAAAATTTTTGATTAGGGTTTTTTGGTCGGGTTCGGATTTAGGGTTTAAATTTTCTACACAAAACCACAACGTCACACCGCACAAACGTGCGGGTACTCTACTAGTTTTCTATTACTATTTCTAAAACCGTTAGGTTAGGTTTTGGGTTTGGTTACCCATCGGGTCTCGGGTAAGAATCAGACCCAAACCAAATCTGTGGATATGGAAAGAAATTACCCAATAGGGTAAAACCTAATTACCATGATCCAATTGAAACTAATTTTGTCCGGATTGGTTCCGGTTCGATTCCTCGGATCCAGTAAAAATGCATAGGTCTAACTCATATGGTAAGGATGCATAGTTGCTATTCATTATTATTGGATATCTTCTAAACTTGTAATTATAAGACATATTTTTTCAGGTAAACTATTGGATCTGTCATCTAAAAGAAGATTTTGGAAATCATATGAAAGATACTCCCTCCGTTTTTTAAAGATGAATTTTCTAGACATTATTTGTTGTTTCATAAAGATAAATTTTCTACCTTTTGATGCACTTTTTCAGTTTTCAAGAAACAATAATTGTGTTTGTTAGATTTTTATTGGTTTAAAATCATAGAAAGTTATTTTATTGCAAAAATCTATACACTAATGATTGGAAATAAGCTTTTTCTTAATGTGTGTGAAAAGTCTAGAAAATTTATAAAAAAAAAACGGAGAGAGTATTAGATTAATCCATGGTTGTTTAACCGGACCAAACCGGTGATCAGACCGAGTTCAATCATGAACCGATTGGGTTGTTACTTGGGGATTTACTTATACCTATATATAGTTAGCCAATTAAAAACTCAAGTCTGACCAACAAAAAGCCTATTGAACTGAACCAGATTTTCTAATTATTTTTTGGTGCAAACACTGAATTTTCCATTTCAAACTAAACCGGCATAAACCGATTGTGATCAAAGAGTTTTTCGCCAAAGAGTCAGCGGCAACATTGACTTCTCTTGGTACCCAAATAAAATCAATTACTTTAAAAGAGAGTGATAGTTGCAGGATATTGTGTTGAATCCTGTGGAGATCCTTTGAGGAAGTCTTCTTATTGAGTGCTTTGATCAACTGAAGCGACTATAAGGTTCTAACTAAACAATGAAATTTTATATTTTCTTTAATTATTGTTATCTTTTTAGTTTGATATTTTTTTTAAAATATTTTTTAAGCATTATGATTTGAGATGATTTATTTGATTTTTGAAAATTTATTCATTTATTTTAACATTATTCAAATGAAATACATATATATTCATAGAAAAACTATATAATTATATGTATTATTTTAAAAATATTATCATCCTGGTTGAACTTGGTCGAACCAAATTAACCTACGACCCAAAAGCTTTTCCAGTAATTCAACGACGATTTTTAAAACATTGTACTCAAATTAAAAATCGAAGAGAATCCAGACCCAAAAACTTCCAAATTTGGATATTTACCAAGCTTACATGGCTGATGGCTCTACGCATGTTGGCTGTTACTTGTTAACATTAATTAATGACATGGTAGCATTTACTCTTTTGGAGTTCATGTGTGTGGCAAGATACGGAACGGAAACACAGAGCATGCTTAGCACGTGTCAACATCAACATAATACCAAGCTGTTGCTTTAATTAGAACTTGTTTAGCTCTACAGTTATGTTTTTGAGAATTTTATCTCCACATCACCACCAAACAGGTTGCTGCAATGCCATTTTGGCTAAAATAGTAAATCGCATTAGCGTTAACGAGAACCATTTTTATAGTTCGAATTAAAGGAGGAGCAGAAAGATACTTTGGCCACCCCAAAATGCTTTTGCAAGTGGTGCAGTGCAACTTTCTTGATGAGATTTCGTGGAGGTCCATTCATTAGAGTGATAATAAATAGGTTGTTCCTCTTTTTTCTGCATAACCACTTCACTTGCGTATTCTATTTCCCCCTTCCATCATGTAAATGCATTATAATACATAGTCTCTCTTTTCCTTCGCACACAATAAGCCTTCTTCAAATTTTTATCCTTAAAAAACTTTCCTATTTTTTTCACCGGTTTCCATAAACCAACTTGAATTTCACAACATCTTATAGCACTTAATTTTTTTTGTCATGGTCTCTGAAATTGAAGTGGAGGTAGAACTATAGACGAAGACACCGAGGCAAGATAAATAAAGCTTTTCAAGAGGCGAAGGAGCACCAGATAGTTAATGATTTGAGTTGGCATCAAAGTAAAATATAGAAACTGGAGAAATGTGGGTGGAAGTGAAAGCTATAGCTGCAATGCTGGTGGTTCAGTTTATGTTTGCAGGAATGTTCGTTTTGTTTAAGATAACAGCACATGATGGTACAAATCTCAAAATTCTTGTGGCTTATCGTCTCTGTCTCGCTACTCTTGCCATGTTTTCCCTCGCCCTCATCTTCCAAAGGTATCTTCATCTTATTTCTTACGTTTTGTTGTTATTTGTGTGTGTTTTTGGCAATCATGTATAACCTTATCGATGCGTAAACCCGGATTTAAACGCATATTGCCTATTAAGATAATAAGTAAAGGGTATCCAATATATTTCTGTTCACTAAACCTAAGTCATTTAGTTTGTGTGTTTCAGTTAATAATACTCAATTAGTGTTATTTTGTTTTGATGAAATGTTTTGTTTTTGGATTCCACGTGATCAGGAAGAAGCGGCCAGAATTTACATGGAGGCTCTTCTTACTAGCATTTGTTTCGGGGTTACTCGGGTATTCTGAACTACTACAATAATTTAGTGTTTTTTAGCTGAAATCTTATTCTTATAATATCAAAGTCAATAGATAAAACATCGTTGCAATATATTCTCTCTTTTTTATCCAAAAGAAAAAGTTTGTTGACATATATATATATATATATATATATTTATAAAATGCATCATTTAGTGTGTTACAAATAAGAAAGAAAAAAAAAAGTTCGTTGACACATATATATGATGATGAATGTTGGGGCTTTTCAAATCGCAACCACAAATAATATAACTTGAACTTAATTAGAGCACACATGAAATTTGTTGTTACATAGTGATATAAACATGGAATTTCAAGGATTATATCACAATATTCATGTTTTTGAATTTTGACTACTTTACAGGGCGGCGTTACCAATGAGTTTCTATTTGCCGGGTTTGGCACTAACATCAGCTACATTTTCGACTGCGGCCGGTATCCTTGGTCCGTTGATCACCTTGGTACTGGCCTTGATTTTTAGGTAAGTCACATTAAACTTGGTCCATTATTGATTAATAAATTGGAAAAACTCCTGCTGACTAGAAATTAAAAGGCTAATGATACTTTTAATTCTTTTTTAACAGGATGGAGACTCTACTGCTGGGGTCGAACGTAGGGAAGGCTAAGTTGATGGGGACGCTGCTTGGTGCCGGTGGGGCCCTCGTCTTTGTATTATACAAAGGTGTTGAGATTCATATCTGGTCAACACACGTTGACTTACTTAAAAGCTCGAATACTCATCAATCAAATGGCCAAGCCACTTCGAACCAGCACATGTCAATCCCTGGGGTTCTTATGGTTCTCGGTTGTAACGTTTCCAACTCGCTTTGGTTACTATTTCAGGCAAGTGATACACTAATTTTGATTGGCGTATCTAGTAATATAACTAATTACTAAAAATGATTTTCTGTATGTCATAGAATATCATACGTAGAAGAGAGAGTGCAACACAAAAAGAGAATTATTATTTGTTAAACTGGTTCATGTTTTGGGCGTTGGTAAGATGTTGCATGACTTAACGTAAAATGTTTTTTAACAGACAAAAGTAGGAAAGCAATTTGGAGGAAACTATTGGAACATAGGTCTGACGAATGGGATGGGAAGCTTGGTGTGCTTGGTTTTCGCTCTCTGGTCGGAGCATGACTGGAAGCAATGGCGTTTAGGATGGAACATTAGCCTCCTAACTACCATTTATGCGGTAAATAAAAATCTACTCAATGATTAAGGATCAATAGACATATATGCGCATGTGCGAGTAGTGTGTTTGGTATGTAAACTTTCTATACTTATATTCTACGCTGTGTGTAGGGACTCGTCGTTTCAGGAATGGCCATGCCTCTTATTGCGTGGTGCGTTGAAACAAAAGGAGCGTTATATGTTACGGTGTTTAGCCCTGTATGTCTAGTGATCGTTGCCCTCTTCGGATCATTTGCTTTAGAGGAAGCTCTTCATTTAGGAAGGTACACCAAAACTCGTGTGACCATCAAGCTAATGTTTTTGTCATTTTGTGTATGATATATGTGAATCTTATTCGCTTTTCTTTTTTTCTTTTTTTGGAGAAACATAACAGTATAATCGGTGCAATGATAATGGTGGGAGGAGTATACCTGGTGGTGTGGTGTAAAATGAAGGAAACGACTTTGGACAATATTGAAATGGATAAGAATATCAAAGAAGTGAACCTCGGCAATATATCAGCAGTAAATGATAGAGATATCCCATGAATCCACCATATAGCTACAATCAGTTATAAAATGTACTATAGAATGTGATAAAAAAATGTACTATAGAAATATAATTTAAATAAACTAGTGATTGAAGCCCCGCGCATGCGCGGAGTTGTTTGTGATAATTCTTTTATATTTTATTTATCTTTGTTGATTTGAATAATAATAGTTTTGTGTTAATCTCCATGTTTTGATTATATTTTGAGTTAACTCAATCACTCACACTAAGCATATGATCAATTTGTTTTGTTTTATTTTATTAAGATGTTAACTCTACACTTCATCTCGAGCTTTTCGTAGAATCGCATTTGCATTCGATGTATTACTGTTTACATATATGTTTTGTTGTGGTAGCATTTGAGCATAATGACCTATTGATTATTTCTATAATGTTAGTTTTGTAAATATAGATTGTATTTTTGAAACAAACATGTCACAATCCTTAAAATTTTCATGTTTTATTTGGGTTTTTAAAAAGAACTCTAAATATAATTTCTCATTAACTTCTACTATATAAACTAAATTATATTCTTTTTTTTTAACTTTAAACACATTATAACATTTAAAAAATAGGAGAAATCTTCTATAAAAAATTCTAACTCTAATTTTTTTCATGAGCTTTCTACTATATTAATCAAAAAATTATATTCAATATTTTTGAACTTGTAAACACATTATAAACTTTTTAAATAGGAAAAATACTATTTTATGTTGCATATTTCTTTATTTCATCTCCATTTTATATTACAAATGTTTCTTTAAATTTTAACACCAAGTTATCACATACTTTATTTTAATTAATTAATGTATTTGTGTATTTTTTTAGTTTTATTTATTTTTAAAATAGAATATATGTAAAGAAATATGAAAAGACAAGTATTTAATAAATATTGTAAATATAATTTATTGTTTTTGTGCTGATGTGGACACTCTAGATGGAGAGAGCAACTCCCTAATTATATACTCCCTCCGTTTCAAATTAGTTGTCGTTTTGGCAAAATGTATCTGCAAATATTTGGACGTATCTGGACATGTTTTGCATTGCAGATACGTCCAAATATTTGCAGATACATTTTGCCAAAACGACAACTAATTTGAAACGGAGGGAGTATAAGACTAGTAGAGTACCCACATGTTTGTGCGGTGTAACACTGTGGTTTTGTGTAGAAAATTTAAACCCTAAATCCGAACCCGACCAAAAAACCCTAATCAAAAATTTTAAAAATCCAAACGTTTTTAATATGTCTAAACCCGAAAATCCGAAATCAAAAAAATCCCGAAAACCCTGAATTGAACAAAAAATATCTAGAAACTTTTCACCCGGAACCCGACCGAAATACCCTATTCAAAATTTTAAAATACTCAAATTTTTTTAATATATCTAAACCCGAAAATCCGAAATCCAAAAAATCCGGAAAACTCTAAACTGGAAAAAAAAAACTCGAACCCAACATGAACATAAATTTTCAAAGAAACCAGAACAATGCAAGAATTTGCTCTGTTACATCATATTCAAATTCAATCATAAAACACATTTATATATTCATCAGATATACAATACGACCACGTCAATTACTCCAAAACAAAAATAATTTATTTTAAAAATTGACAACAAAATTTCCTATTTCCGAGATAAACGAAGGCATTTTTTGCAGTATTTATGTTGATCGTTTACCTTCTGAAATCATGTTGTTCAAGTAAATTCAGTTATAAATACATGAATGTGAAAACAAATTTTATTTTATTATCAATCTCTCAGTACAAATATGAAAATACAATACGGAGTAAGCCACATATTTGGCTTTTTATTTTATTTTTATTGTCAACAATTTGGCTTTTTATTTAAATCAGTAATGATTCATTCCGGTTTACCACTCTTAAATCAGCATAACCGAACCGAAGAAACCCGGTTTAACTAATTCTTGGCGGCGTTTTCGAAGGACCAGCTCCAAATGTCGTGACGCTCAACGCCACGGCCCATGGAACCAGCAAAACCGGCGTACATGTTCTGAAGAAGAACATCATTGAGCTCTCTGGGACCTTGGATCAAAGGTCTCTTAGGTTTCTTAACGTTTTCAGGCGCGAGCGTATGGACTAAATAGATGAAGAAATTGGATTATCTCTTTTAAATTTCCACCGTGGCTACAATAATAGAAAGAAATTAACAACTTCACACTTATAAGTACGTGGTCGTATTTTCTCGTCAAAAATAGTGACAGCTAATATATTTCTAATTTTCTTTTTAACATTTTTCATTTCTACTTGGATCGGAATCTTGTACGAACGTTCCAACTTCCAATTATACATTGTAAAAGACAGTCTTGATTTTGTAGCTATTTTTAATGGGTTTGTATATGCTTCCGGAGAGATGTAACGAGACCCGTGCTTACCTTGTTGCAAAAGGTGCAAATGACCCTTCAAATTATACAAATTTACAGAGGCCCCCAAATTAAAAAATTCTGGTTTAGCAAAGTAGAAATAGGTAGTACACTTTGATTTGTTTCCTTGGTGGTTGCATAGATGGATCTTTCTTCTTCTTCATGCTCTCACTCCTTTTGTCCTTGCCATTGGGTACCTACAAGAGCAAATTCTTGGGAAGAGACATGAGTTTGTGATTGAATGCAAAAGAAAGATAAGCTAATTGAGTTGTAATAATGATATGGTATAATGGAACAACTCAAGGCTTAATCATAATCAAAGAAACAAAATGGAAATTTCACTTTTCAAAGTTAATTTTCGGATTTTACTGTTCATCTCAAGATTATGGTGCTTAAAATCGAAAATTTTAGCAAATCAAGAGAAATTGAGTTTCTAATCCAAGTAATCACTAGATAAACTAATGAATTGAAGCATGCTAAGCAATTTCACCTTTGAATGAGGGGTTTGGAATGCCCAATAAGTTTTGTGAAAAACTATTCAATTGTGAAATTAAACTCTAAATAACTCTAAACCACCTAGGTTCCACCTAGCTAAGTTCATTACAAGACTAATAAGAATGGCAATTTCAAGTTTAGACAAGAGTTTAGACCAAACAAGAAACTTATTGAAAATTTCGATCTTGCATAAACATGGATTAGAGTTAAAAGACATACCTTGTGTATTGAAAAGTGAATAATGGTTGCAAGAGCAAGTAAATTCCAATTTAGAGTTATGAACAGTAAAAGTTTTGAAATCAAAGCTCTTAGAGTTCCTCTAATGGAGTTTAGGGTTTTGGAGAAGAAAGAGAGGTTCTTGTTGTTTTCAAGGGAAAGGTAAAGTATAAAGTTAATCCTATTAATTTTCCTTTTCAAATTCGAATTTTGATTGAAAACCGGTTTAAGTTGGTTTAGGATTGGTTAAAACCGGTTTGAATTTAATGAAAAGGGGACTTACCTTGGCCGAGAAAAGTTTGGGCCGATGGCCGATGATTTTGTCGCGGCCGTGCGATTTGGTCGGCCAAATGCGAATGGACGAGAAATCCGATTCTTTCCCGATACGTGATTCCGGCCGAGCGCGGCCTGTTCCTTCTCTGTCCTGCGTTCCGCGCGGACGGTTTTGTCGCGCTAAGTTCGTCTGGCCGAGCGAGAGCCGTTTCCTTCCCGGATCGACCGGCGGTCGGCCCGATTGGAAAATTGCTCGGCCAAATTTCAATAGCACAACAACAAAACAATATCATTTTCAAGATCTACGATTCTCAGATTTAGAAAATGAACAGTCATAAACATAAAGAAGAAAATAATTTAAAATGTAGCAGCCAGTTTTGCAGTCAATCAATCGAAGAGATAGATAACGTTAGGAGAAGAATCATGACGCGTGTACATGGACTCGCGGTCAAACCTGGCAACGGCGACATTTCTATAAATAACCACAAAATATCCCTTTTGAAAAGAAAGAAGAAGAAAAAACAAAAACAAACAAGATCTAAGAAAGAAAGGTAAAGAAAATCAAGAGAGAGAATGATGAAGAAGCAAGTGACAATAGTGGCGGCTCTTCTGATTCTGATGGCTTTATCTTCCAACTTGGATATGGTGGCTGAGGCTCAACTAGGTCCCGGAGACTGTTACGACGGTTGCTCCACCGCCTGCGTCCAACGTGACTGTGAGTACTCTCTTCTTTCTTACTTTTCTCCATAGCTTACTCTCTCGCTCTGTCTCTCTCAAGTCTCATCCATAGTTTCTCCATTTTAATATTCTATTCTGTTTGTTTCAGCGAGAAAGACGTCTCGATGCGATCGCAAGTGCTCCATTCGGTGCGGCCCAGGTAAATTAATTAAACCGGATCCCTTACTAAACCGGTCTGTGACCCCTTAAGGTTTTGTTGAATATAAAGAATGTAACAGATCGGAATTTCTGATCAATCATAGTGTAGAACCATCTTGTATCGGATCGTACTTTTGTATCTGAATGAAACCAAAACCGGACTTGAACTGATGTTATTTTTCGTCTTATGTAATTGCAGATGCTAAAAAGGAAAGAGAGACTGGTGCTTAAACTTTTATATTCACTAAGATCTATTTAACTTTATTTATGTTGTATCTTCTTCGTTTTATAATTGTATCTCTGCAAAACATATTCTGTATTGTTGTTTGTTGATGTCATTTTATCGAATAAAAAAAAGTAATAGTAACAATGTTCGCTTAAAATACTAGTGCCGACAAAAATAATACACTTATCTCTTTTAAGAATCTATTGTATTGAAAATAACTTTAGGTTCATGTGTAATTAACAAAAAAAAATGATGATGATGTGTTATTATCACAACTAGATTTACACTTGCGCGTTGAGGAAGATTTTAATATATAATTAAAAACAAAACAAATCGAATAGAAATAGAATTATTTTAATTTTCAAAAATAAAATAAGTATGTTTATAAATATTAATTTTCTTAGAAACAAATACTCTCTCCGTTTCAAATTAGTTGTCGTTTTGGCAAAATGTATCTGCAAATATTTGGACGTATCTTGCAATGCAAAACACGTCCAGATACATCCAAATATTTGCAGATACATTTTGCCAAAACGACAACTAATTTGAAACGGAGAGAGTAGCAATTAGTCAAATGCTTAAGAAATATGAGTATATCTTAAAAGTCATTGGTAATATATATGTGTAGTGGTTCAGAAAAACCATTCTAAAAAAAGGCAAGATTAGAAGAAATCATCAAGATACTAAAAAAGTATGACTAGCCACAAAATGGAGATAGTAGAGTTTGCTTTGGAGGATGCGGTTTTGGCTGGAGTTGTTAATCGTCTTCAAGCTTGACCTTCTTACAGCTTTCAAGCCGCTGAGATTATTCCTTTCCTTTCAGCGGAAAGTGGTGTTAGAAAGGGCGTCAGCAAATAGAGGAGCTAATCTCATTGCACAAAATGTAACCAATGACTCAACTTCAATCTTATGTTGCGACTAGTCATCTTTTTTGGTTAAATAGTGTTTTTGCAGATGAGAGAATTATTTCCTCTGTTTGAGATAAGTTTCTTTAGGTTTTCGATGGAGTATAGACGAGGCTTTTTACATGGATTTTCCTTTGGCTCTTTTAGAGATAGCAAAGTGATATTTATTGTTTCACTTGCTTGCCATGTGTTTTTTGCGGCCTTTGTAAATCAGAAACTTTATATTCCTCCTTGATGTTAATATATTTCACTTAGATGACAAAAAAAAGGAAGAAACCATCAAAGTATAAAGCTTGATTTAGTAAGCATCCAAACTTATAACTATTCTTTTGGTTTAATATGGCTTTTTATATATATATATATATATATCGAAACATGAAAAAAAGTTAAAAATATTCATATGAAAAAATAAAATACTAGAAATAGTCTAAGGTTTGATTGGAAACATAAAAGCGATACGGTTTTCGATATTTTGGCTTTGAATGAGTAATGCGTTTGAAAAATATTAGCTCCCCAATACCTTCTCTCTTCTCTCACTCCTATTTTTCAGAGAGAGAGGGCGATTTCCGATCTGTTTAGATCGGATTAAGTTTATGGCTTTTTGCCATTTTTTGTTTGTTTATACTTTCGGCTTAGACCGACTTCTCTTCCGATCTGATCGGATTTAATAATTCCACCATAGATTTTGTCTATGGATGGATTTGCTTTCTTTTCTTTTGTGTTTCTGTATTACCGACTGAGATCGGTCCGACTCAGTTCGGTCTTCCCCTTTCGCTTGTTCTGAAAAGTTTAAATTCCGGTCATATTTTGATCTCTGTTTTCACCCAATACTTGATTCATCAATTAACTGAGCATAAATCCTTACTTATGTGAAAAAGTACGGTGTCTCTTTGATTGATGAGTCAAGATGATTCGGAGTGAGAATATGTAGATTCAGAGACTCTCGTCGGTTTTGATGGTGATCTGAAGAGTATTCTACAAATAATCCTTCGCGGTTTCAGTTAAGTTGGTGAAACGATATAGATCATTTCTTCTCCGGTGGTTTGCGAAAGGAAGTTGCAGCATGGATCTCGAAGAAGGAGGCTAATTTTCGGTGGTTATGATCAGACGATATCAGATTTCATCGAAGCTACCTCCGGCGGTGCATGACGAAGAGTCGGTGGCGTTTTCCATCCTTCAACTTGCGTTATACACGTGTTAAGACGTGTTAAGACGTGTTAAGACGTGTTAAGACACGTGTCAACATTTGCCTTACTTTGTTGTTACTAAACATATCATTATGGGTGGGCTTAAATTAAGTTATTGGGTTATACGATGATCCATGTAGTGTTGCCCTTTTGGGCATTAATGAAATGCAGTTGCCGTAAAAAAAAAAAAAAAAAAAAAAAAATGAGTAATGCGTTTTAGGAAAGACTACAGGCGAGAGGAAAAATGGTTACCATTCATCACATTTATTTGCTAAGAAGTCAATGTTAATAAAAGTATTAAAGGGACCCACATGACGGTACAAAATGAGTTGTAATGTTATGAAACGCACTTCAATTTGTAACACACCCATTTGGTGTGTTTTAAGTGCGGTTCTTTTATTAACTTTACATTTTTATGTTTCTAATTTTTTTTTTTAAAATCATGCTTATTTATTTCATTAGTTACTAAAATATTATTCAAGAAAAAAAATTATTGTAAGCAATTTTTTTTTTAAAAATAATTATTATATCTATACCATATTTGCGATAGTTACCATTCAAACATTATTCTGTACCACTTATTTTTTAGAAACTGCACTTATCTCACATTACGTTTTTCCTTTGTATAAACCGCACCGTCCCATTATATTTTTTATACCGCACTACTCATTCCACTGTTACCATTCGGAACCTTTTATGCAAATGTACATCAATCAATTTTTATTGTCACAATTTCCAAAAAAAATCCGTACACAGTTTCAAGAGAAGTAAATAACACAACAGATAGAAAACCGCAGCAAATATCTAGCACTCGAATGAAAAACCGCTACTAAAAAGTTAGAATACTGTAGATATTATTTTGATCAAAAGTTTATATATTATATAAATTTAGCTTGATCCAAAAGTTACCATATTGTATTATAAATTGATAAGGTTTTAAAATATTGTAAATATTTTTTATTTTGATCAACAAGTTAAAATAATAAAATATCGATTTAATGGCTGTTTTTTAATAACTAATCAACAATAACGAAATTCTCCCTATGTTCTTCGGGGGTTTATATACATTGTTTGTAAGGTTTCACTTAGATCCAATGTAATAGCATAATCTACGTTCAAAATCTCGTTTCTTGCTTACTACTCGGATGGACAGCAATAAGCGATTTTTTAAAAAATTGCTAATAATTTAGGGATTAACCGAGGTAAAATTTTAGGTTTATTTTAATATCTTTTAAAAATTATAATTATATAAAACATTAATAATATAAAAGATAATACAAAACTTTTCACATTTCTGACTTTTCCCAGTTCAAAAGTATTTCTAATACAAAAAATAATAGTTCCACTCACAAATATTACAAAAAGAATATTATATTGATCATATTAATAACATACAAAAGATATATAAAGAATGGTAACAGATAATGTGGCACAATTTCTAAAAATATGAGACTCAATATCAAATTAAAAAAATATAGTCCAAAAGATTTTATAATTTGTTGGACGGTTATCAGAATTTCACACTGATTTCACGTATCACTACGGTTCTCTTCCGATATACGACAAAGCGGCCGGTTTTTGTCACTTATCGCCGATATTTTGAACGAGGAGCATAATAGACTATATATATTACATGTTGTGGTTTCGGATGTAGGGGATATATAGGCTTCGGCCTAGAACCTCCTAGTAACTCAAAAAAAAAAAAAAAAAAAAAACATTATTGAAACTTAAAACTTAAAGTAATATTGAAAATATTATTGTGAGAATGAATTCTCAATCTCCCTTTATGGCCATATACGTTGGCATGAGGCTATATAAGCCATGCCTCCTTTTCTTGTTAAAATGTAGTTAAGCACATTATCATTCACACAAGAAACAATCCTCTTCATCTCCTCTTTTTTATTGTTTTCTTTATGAGAGTACAAAACATAAAACATGGTTCGCGAGCTTATGGTTTGAGTGATGCAAACATAAGAAGTGTGCAGTTTTATCCTAGGATTCAGAACGCCATGCAACCGTCACACTACGGGGCGTTTACAGAATTAAGGAAAGAGATCATATCTCGACTCTGCAAATCCGGTTTTGTTTCCTTAATTCTTTTTATTTTGTATCATTTTAATATAATGTTATATTATTTTGTTCATATTAATACTTTACATTAATCAGTCGCCCATTGTAGAAATTGCGTTCTTACAATCTTAATTCTGTAAATTTTTGTTTTTGTTTATTGCACTAACGAAAACTGATTTTTGTGAAGTGTTTTTGTTATGTAAACAGGAACTGGAAATTCTGGATTTTATTGATTAATTTTCCAATTTTCTGCAAATCTATTCTAATTATTTTTTGCAGATTATCAGAATTTCATGGAAGTAATTTTCTGTTATTCAGAAATTAACTTGATGATTTTTTTTGCAGGTTATGAAAGGAGAATGTATGGTTAATTCTTCTAATTTTCTGTAATTTATTTTAATTGTTTTGTATATGTTTTCAGAATTATTTCAGTGTTTATATCTGAAAAATTATTCTGTTATGCATTAATAATTCTTGTATCTGTTAAGATGTGTTATGAACATGTGTTCATGGAAGATCTAAATTCTGGAAATTGGAATTAATTTCTGATTATTTTGCAGGGATTTTGGAGAATTTCTTTCAATTATTTTCTGAAATTTGCTTTTCAGATTATTTTGCAGAGAATTCATTATTATTGTTTTGATCATATTTGCTTTATTATTGCAATTTATTTGATCGAAACTTGTCTCTGAAATTTTTCCTTGCTTTATTGTTCTTTTGATTAGTTTAATCAACTGTTGGAATTGTTTGGTCAATGCATTTTAGTCATAATTGTTGATGCTACATTGAATCGTGAGTTGTATATTGCGGCCTTGAATGGTGAGCAGATCTTTCGATGGTTCATACGCTACGTGGTTCGTCCACAACATAATTTGCCATTCAACATAAATACTGATTGTTTTGCATTTCATTACTTAAAATAATAAAAAATATAGTGAACCACAAGCGGTTCATTTTTGTGAAGAAAATTTATAGACCATTGGCAAACCATGACATGCTGCATATCGGGTGTGTTTCTTTTACTATTCATGTGTTTCTTCCTTTTTTTTAGTTATTAAATAATTATTTACTTTTGATTTTTAAAAAATAGATAAATCACACAATACAATTATATATGTAATAAATTTAATATATTATAAAAAATGACATAAAACACTAAATAATGTTTTTATGATAATAAATATTTTAAATTAATAACTTTAGACTAGACTAAAATTTACATGTTGAAATAAATAAAACATAATATTTTGGATTGTCTGCATATATTATTGAAAATTTTTAATTTCTAATTTTTTTATAATTTAACATTTATAAAGAGCCAAATTTTATTATTTGAATTCTACAAAATAAAATAAAAAATTTATATCTCATATTATTATTACAAATATGTACAGTATTTTGGACCGCTTTTCCCATTCAAACATAGTTTGAACTGTTGAAATTACTAGATCCGCTTGATCCGCACTTGATCCGCTCAATCCACTCGATCCGCTAGTTCCGCTTTTGTCACGCTCGATCCGCTTGATCCGCAACGTTTGATCCGCTTTCTCCATTCGGAGCCTGCATCTTGCATTCAAGTATTAATTTCTGATTTGACTAATTCTGATATTTGAATTTAATTAGTTTATGCAGCTTATTTTACTGGCATAAATTGAATTAAATTGGTATTTGGCATTGATTAAATTGTTAAATTCCTGAATTTATTGGGACTTTTTTTTTCTTTTTGTCACAAACTTTTCATTAAAACTTAATCTGCCATCTTACAAACAAACAGAGGGCATTTTCCATCCTCTTAGACAATTACAATAAAGCATAAAGGCAAATAACACTAGCTAGACCAGCTAGATCTTTAAGATAGTTTGACTGCAAAATGGAGGCATGCCTCGCTTGCGTCAATGGGATCATATCGGTGATACCGAGACAGGGCCGGCCCTGAAATTTAGGGGGCTCGAGCAAAAATAGGAGAGGTTTGTAGATATATTTTTGAAAATGAGAACAAATGGTAGATGTTTATAAACATGGGGCTACTTATTAGAAATAAAATAAAATTTTGGGGCCAATTTTTAACACTAATAACAAAAAAAAAAAAAGATATTGGGGCCAAGACAATTGTTTCACAAGGCTGTGTACAGGGACGGCCCTGTACCGAGAGATCGAAGAGTAGTCACTTGGACATATGACTTTGAAAGCCAGTCTTCATCTTCAAGCTTCGTCGAAACGAAATTGATTGCTACACAAGATAACAAATCGATAAAGAAGTTGGCGGGACTTACCGGCAATTAATCCGGAAGATAACAAAAACTTGACACAAATCTCTCCCCATGGAGAAAGGAAGGTGATAAGAGTTTCTCCCAATAAAGAGAGAAAAATGCTATGATTCTCTCCTTAGCGAAAGTAGCATAATTCTCAAGTACAAAGACAAGAGTAGCAGCCGTTGAAGCTCGTGAGAAATAGAAGTTACAAGGGCATAACTCAGGAAGGATACAAGAGTCAAGCCCAGGAAAGATACAAGGGCCAAGCCCAGGAAGTTTATAATTACTCAGCCCATGAAGAGAAAAGAGACAACTAAACCTAATGGGCCAAGCGGCCCATCTCATAGTGACGGCGGCCAATCTCCAAGCAAAACCACTGGAGGAGCAGTCCAAAGCAAGATCTCCGGCTAGTAGGTTCAGTTTGACAATGGGGAATAGGAGATAACGGCGATTATACAGCTCTTCGGAGCTAGATGTAGAAGAGGCAAAAAAGACGGATCTAAGTCGCGCATGCCAAATCTCGACATAACACTTAACGCTCTTGGAAGGTACTCGATAACGAGACAGATCCGGCCAGTCCGGAGGCTTTGGAGGAGGATACGGCAGTGCTGGAGGGAGATTCACCCAGAGAGAGTGGCTCCAAGTCCGAACTGCCAACTCGCTAGCTGGCTGCTCCGACGGCGTGAGAAGAGGGGATGGAAGCTCCGTCCTCAAGAGATCCGCCGCACCCAATAACAGGCCAACGGAGAAGACAAAAGACCAAAGTGACGATGAAAACAATAGAACATATCTCACCGGAAAAAGGCTCTGGTGGAAGAAGAAACGAAACATCGGACCCCAAAGCAGGATCCGGGAAAGAGGGGAGCTCCGGTACAGGGGAGAATCACCGGAGGCGGAGAACCATTCTGAGACCGGAGCTTGACGGTGATACAAGAGGGAGCCTCGGTTTGTGTGCCTGGGAGGAAACGCGTTTGTTCTCTTATCGTCGACGGTTATGTTTCATTGGTATTGGGACATTTTAGTTTAATTATTTGTTGCATTTTTCAGAAGTAACTATATTGCTAATATTTTTGGTATGATGATTCAGGTTTGGATGTGTGCAAATTGAATCAAAAGGTGTTACCAAAAATTAGAACATTTACAAAAATGTTTCTAAAGTGAAAAATCAAATGAGTTGATACCCCATGTTGGGAGTGGTCTACCATTTATGATTTTGTCCCATACCATTAGTGGTTGAAGGGTTATTGGTAACAAGTTTAGTGAGTTGACATACCAAATTTATTTTGGTAATGGTCTTCCACTTGTGATTGTACCAAGTTATGATATTTATCATATTGTCATATTAGTGCTTAGTGTTGTAAACACAAGACTAATGTTAGACAAATTCTGTGGAAAAGAGTTTAAAATTGGTTACAAAAGATATTGATCTTTCTAGCCATTGTTTAAACTTAAAATGTGAAAATGCAAAGTGCATGATTTTTGAGTTATCTCAAGAAATGTGGGGGTAACATTTGACAAAATGTCATATGTTTGAAAGGTAAAGTACATTTGTACAAATACCTAAAAGTGTGGGGGTGCATAGCAAAAGTTGCAATGCCACTGCCTAAAATTGTTAAACAATTGATCTCAAATGGAGTAATCTTAATAGATTATATCTACTTGAATGACAACCTAGGATCCAATTAAAGGTGTGTCATGAGATTAAATTGTAAAATCATCAAGAGGAATGGGTTTAAAGCCTATGACTTAAGAGGAGTTTGATGGTAACCCTACCTAACTGATTGGAGATCCCATGAAATAGGTTCAAGGGGAAAACTAAGTCAAACTGAATCAACTAGCACTGGGAGACTCATGTCTCTACCCAGTTCCTAGGATGATGAACAGTGCTACCTGTATGGTGTAGAGGATAAGCTTTTGCTTTTAATGATTTGGGTCCATAACTTTGAAATATACATGGAGTAATGCAGGATACTCCTTTAAACAAAGTTAATGGCGAATCACCTTGTGAGTGTGAAATGGGGCCGTTTCTAGGAGAATAAATGAAAGGCTATATTCTCCAAGTTCACTCATGATTATCCAGGCAAGTTCACGGCCAAAATGAACACAATAGAGAACCTGATTCTGTGAGAGAATGAAGCTGTGTTATAGCTATTGTCTCGGTTTACATCAAAGCCCGAGAGGTTCAAGACATCATGTTCACCTCTTGGTCGAGTAAATCCGATAGTTTATAACAGTGATTTGGTTCAAGGCTGAAAAATTGCTACCAACTCATATACAGTGGATTTTTCGCATGTACTCTCAAAAGTCGTTTTTTGAGTCTTTTGAGTCTTGTCTAGAGAGTCAAGTCTAGAGTTGAGTCGTCCAGTGTCTAGAGTCATTTCTATTCATGTGGGGGATTGTTGGAACTTATTTTTGATAATATATTTATATGTCAAAAATGAAGTTGGTTTGAATGAGAAATGGAGGTCCAAGTGGGTTGCTTGTATAGCATAAAATGTAACATTTATGAAATGTCCCATATTGGAAGTTTGAGGTGAAATCCTCTTGTATATAAAGTGGAGAAAAGAGATACAAAGTTTAACTTGTTACGTGATTGGAGAAAAGGAACAGTCTTATAAGATTAATCTTTTGACCAAGTATTTTTTTGATTAAGTCAACAAATAAAATATCTCTTTAATTAATTTGTAAGTGACAATTAAGTATAGTCAATTATTGATTTTGTAACTTAAAACTTAAGTCATATTGAAAACATTATTGTGAGAATGAATTCTCAATCTCCACTTTATGCCATATACGTTGGCATGAGGCTATATAAAGCCATGCTCCTTTTCTTGTTAAATGTGGTTAACACATGATCATTCACACAAGAAACAATCCTCTTCATCTCTTCTTTTTTTTGTTTTCTTATGAGAGTACATCACATAAAACATGGTTCGCAAGCTTATGTATTGAGTGATGCAATCATAAGAAGTGTGCAGTTTTATCCTGGGATTCGGAACGCCATGCAACCGTCACACTACGGGGCGTTTACAGAATTAAGGAAAGAGATCATATCTCGACTCTGCAAATCCGGTTTTGTTTCCTTAATTCTTGTTTATTTTGTATCATTTTAATATTGTTATATTAATTTGTTCATATTAATACTTTACATTAATCAGTCGCCCATTGTAGAAATTGCGTTCTTACAATGCCCTAATTTGAAACATAAGCAATACACTTGCACACTAAAAGGGAGAAATGATTATCCCTGCCCACATGAAACACATTACAATAATAATTCACAACAACATACACATATACTAAATTAAGATAAGGAACAAACATCACTCGACCTAGTATGCCTAATAACAATCAACATACTTTTTATTCACATAAACATCTTAACCATACTTTACTTAACACATAATATATCACATACTTATCACATCACATATCACATTACTCAACACGCATTCACATAACAACTAGGCTAGGCGGGCACCTCGAAAAGTTTTCCACCACCTTCTAGCTTGTCAGCCGTTAATGGGCTTCGAAAGAATCGCCATATCCTCGTCCTCAGTCTGACTTCACCAAAACAAACGGTCTCGACGGGATTGCCATGTCCTCGCCCTCAGACCGAATGCGCACAATAAATCTTAGGCTTTTCAGTATGCTAAATATCATCATTCTGCTTACTTTCACATTCATAAAGCATGCCTACTTCAAACAATCTATCTTTTAATCTAACAACTGGCGATCTGCGTTTGAGTTCTAAACAACTGGCATTTGGCTATTCACGTTTCCAATTTCCATGCGACCGATTGTGGAAACGTGAATCGCCAAACGCCAGTTGTTCAGAACTCAAACGCAGATCGCCAGTTGTTACTCTATATTCACTAGGATCCATCCATTTATAATTATGTTGTAATCTTATTTTTATTATCGGATCTCTCTAAAACATATGCTATGTTTGTGATAATGTAAGTTGTAACCAATAAACTGGTAAAAGATTTGTCCTCTCGATCAAATTTTACCAATGACGAACTCTCACATTTGATCCTCTGTTTAACTCATATAAACGTTTTAAATAATAATAATACATATCCGGCTTTCAATATATTTTGGAGGTTATTCTAGTTTTGAGTAGCCTGATATATATATATATATATATATATATATATATATATATATATATCAATAAATAAAACATCTCCAATTTTTGATTAAATGCTAGTGCACAGTTGTATTAACTTTAAGATATTTTGTTCAACATATTAAAGATAAGATGCACCATCATATAAAAATATCGTGAGATTTTATTGTGATGATAATGAAGAGGAAAATTAGAGCAAACTAATCATGAAAGTGGGAAAAAAAAAGCAGTAGATAATATTGCTGTAAACTTTTTTTTGTTGTCAAATATTTATTGAAACAACCAATTATTATTATTATAATTTTTTTTTAATAAATCCTAATAAGTCAAACGAAAGTCTTTAAAATATTTAAATAATTAATCAAATAATAATTAATTCAGTGGAAGCAAAAACCATGATTCCGCAAAACAATAATAAATAATAATTAATACTTAAACATGTTCTTCAACAAAACAATGCAAAATAAATAAAATCTATCATCCCCTCTTCAATCTCGATTCCACAATCACATAAACCTTTTACTAGCAACACATTGGAATAAAGTTGCGTAAGTATTATCATAAACACTTAATGAGGCAATCACTCTGTATACGGACCATTTACGCAATTTACTAGCAATTAGAATAACTATTATAAACACAATAATTATTAAAATATCATTTCTCTATTATTAATAATTTCTATAATTTAATAATAGTTTTTCCATAATTAAAATAATTAAAATAATTATTTTAAACCATTTAATTAATTAAATAACCAATAATTAATTACCAGATTAAATCAATCCAATTCGGATAAACCAATTCCAATTGAATTAACTCAGCCAATTTCAATTAAACCAATTAAATCAATTTAAACCGGGATTAACCGGTCTGTGTCAACCGACACACGCTTTGTGTCGCTGGACACAAACCTTCTGGTGTCGACTAACACACAATTTGTGTCGCTCGACACCGATTCTGGGAATTCTCAGGCCATGCTAATGAACAGTACCCGATACTCACAAAAATGCACGAGTCAAGCAATTGACCAAAAACACTAAATCAAACATCGATATCATCACGAAATCACCATAGGATCGATCACACAACAAAGTTCTAGCAATCATGGACCCACAATCATGCACTCACCTTGATTTCGGATTGAACAAAGGAAGAAATCGAAGGAGATGAAGAATCACAACGAAGAACACGACGAACTACCGCGCAGCAGCCACCACGCACGAGCCCAAGCTCCAATCAACGAGAAACAGCCTCAATCGATCTCTCAAACGCTGGAAATCGCCTCAGAAACTCTTCTCTTCTCAACTTTCGTACGCCAAATGACAAAAGGAGAAGACCCAGGCGGCTGCGCGAGTTCTTAAACTCAAAACCAGGGTTTCCACCCTAAACCGGAACTAAACCGGGACCAATTGATTTGAATTGAACCGGGTTTGATCTTTGTGTCCCTCGACACAGCTTCTACAAACTGACAAATCGGTTTACGGATGTTACATTTATAACATTAGGAGAGCATCATGACACTATCTATGTACATGTACTACTGGTCAAGCCTGACAACGGGAACATATCTATAAATACAAACAATCAAAGAAGATCTAAGAAAAAAAGATCATCGTTGAGAGAGAGAAGAATGAAGACGCAAGTGACTGTAGTAGCGGCTCTTCTAATTCTAGTGGCCTTGTCTTTCAACTTGGATACGGTGGGGGAGGCCCAAACCATAGACTGCTATGACAGTTGCTCCACCGGCTGCGACAAACCCGACGGTGAGTACTCTCTTCTTTTTTAAT